TAGAAGAAGTGCCTTTATTTACAATACATTCATTTGTACACACATAACCTATTACATTACTACAAGGCAAGAGATCAAGCAAGCTCTATACAGCTTTTAGACGATCTCCGCTTTATTCTAAGCAGATGTAAAGAATAAAGAAGGCGGACCTCCTGTTTTACGAACCGATATGAACTAAAACTATTACAATTATTTCTTACAATGTAATCACATACTCTCTGACTTATTTCTTAAACATATCATATTATACATGTTATATAGGTTGAACAAGAGGGGGGAAAGGGTACATCCTTGTCTTACCTCTCTGTCAAAGGAAAAGAAATTGGTTCTTTTATCACCAGATCGAATGACACACTTTAATTTTGAGTACACATCTGAGAGAAGGCCAAAAAGGCGCCAACCTATTTTGTTGTGTATTAATTTTGACAGTAAACCATCATGCCATACCGAATCATACGGTTTTTGGAACAGGGGCGGATCTAGGGGGAGGGTGCAGGGGACGCATCCCCCCCGAGATGACCTGAGGTTTTTCTAATACAACTGGTATTCTGCAAAAAAAAAAAAACTATGTGGCTTATTGGTGTTGAAGTAGAGCAAGAGACGAGTGCAACCCCTCCTAAAATAAATCGTGGATCCGCCCCTGTGGAAGTCGACGAAACAACAGAACAGTTTACCTTTGTTTTCATTGTTAACATATTTATCAATAAGAGTTCTCATCAAAATAAAGATATTATCTGTTGTTCGGTATCCGCGTAGAAAACCAATCTGGGAAGAGTGTAAAATATTCTTATCGTGAAAATATACGCTTAATCTTGTATTTAGGATAGAGAAAAATAATTTTCCTAAACAGCTTGTAACACAAAAGCCTCTGTAATTTGAAGGTCTGATCTATTTACTGATTTGAAAATTGGGGTTATCATGCCGGTTAACCAGCTATCAGGAAAGGTACCTTTTGATACAATGAAATTGAAGAGTTTTACCAAAGGAGCACTTAAATGATTAATACCGCTTTTTGACTGACATTTCGTTTCAAATTTTATCAAAACCCGCTGCTTTCTTATTTTACAACAATTTAACGGCTTTCCTAAACTCTGATTCAGTAACGGGTTTATCCACTGTATATGATTGTAATAATTAACTGAATCTCAGAGTATTGACCACTATCTGGTTTTGAATGCAGGTTCTGAAAGTTAGTATATAATTTGCCGACTGGAACAGACAAATCTTGTGAATTTGCACTTTTTGTCGATAAGTTCTTGAGTGTTGACCAGAATTTTTGTGGGTTGGATGAATTAACAAGTTCTTCCATTTTGTGGTTCTGATGTTTTCGCTTTTTCTGTTTTAACATTCAAGTGTTTGTATTCCTTATTCATACGATGATAATTAAGTCTGGTTATTTCGAATTCGGTGTAAGGTACTTTATGCTTTTGATTTGAGATATGTTTAAGTTTCTTTTTCAGAGCGTGGCAGTCGCTATCCTACCATGGTTGGCATATTCGTTTTTCTTTCTTCTTTGTTTTAACCAGATTTAACTATCTTTTTGCTGCAAAATGTAAATTTTTCACAAATCCGTTTACAGCCGCATCAACATCTAAATGTTCATAGTCGCTATTAATGAAGTCGGAAATAAGCCCTAGCCGCTCTTACTCAGCGGATTCAGTGTGGGGCCAACATAAATTTTTCTTTAGAATCAAGGGACCATTTAAATTGTCTTAGGAGAGTAACAAGTTCTTGCTTGTTATCCGAAGGTGAGTTTGTTGGAGTGTCCAGCCGACTAGTTGACAGTGATCCGAAAAAGATGAAGGTTGACGAACAACTTAGAAAATTTTGAAATATGCCTATTAATTCATCGCTAGCTAATATGTAGTCGACTGGCCATGAAAGGTAATTTTTCCCAAGGAGTCACCTTTGTATCTGCCATTTGAGATTCTTATAACAAGAGATTTGCACTATTCAAGTAGGATTTTGCCATGGTCATTTAAATGATGGTCGAAACTCTTTCGCAACGGAACCATTTTTGGCATTGGAGGGCTGTCTCCTGATGCAAAATTACTAGAGTCAGGAATTATAAAATCGTTTTGTACGTCAGTACGGGTATTAAGCCGTCACCGCCAAGAGTACATAATAATCTTTTCGAGAAGTATTAATATCATTTTCTAAGTTTGAACTGCTGTTAGGACCCCTCCAAAGAATCTGCCAGATTTTGCAGTGAGAAATTTTCATGGGGGGCTTATCGCTATAATTTCGAAAGTTGGAATATGCTCAACTTCATGACCCTAGATGGTCCAGTAAGACCTTGTCATCTCCTAGACTTGGTGATGTGCCAATGACGGGAAAGTAAAACGCCGCAGAGACACTGACCAACCAAGCTCGCACTACAATGTCACCCGATAGAAACTGTTTTAAAAAATGCTAGTTGAGAGCTCAATTATTATACTGATGAATCAGATCCCTCGAAATGTCATCCTAGCCGAGGGTAAATGAATATATCTTTCAGTTCTTTTGTTTGTTTGTTTGTGTTTTACTTCCCATCGACCTCTTCTTTTGCAGATGGCAACACTTAGCACTTACGATAAAAACTGATAAACTCGTGCCCGCTTTACACTGCTGTGAATTAACAGTAAGCTCGGACGTCAGGCATTATTATACGTGGATTAATGCAGTACCGATCACAAAGTTGGGCTGGTAGTTGCAATTAATCAGTCGTCGTGGAAATGTTTTATATGAAGAGACGGAGTTGACATAGTTCTTTTTAACGATGTTTGGTGAGAGTCGAACCGAGCTTGATCTGTGAACAGGACCAAATCACAGGATGCTGATCTTGTTAAAAGAACTTGGTTTTGTATTTTTTGTATCTGTACTTCGGTATCTATGACCGAACCAAGCAAATCCTTTCGTCTGACGGATCGTACTACATCATAAGCAACTGAAGGCCCCTTTTCCGGTTTTCTGATCTTTAAAATCTCGAGAACGGCTTTCCTAAAACGACAGTCTCTGTAGCAGTAAATGAGTGGGTTAACTACGGAATTTGAATACAGAAGTGTGTCCATTAAACGTATCACCCAATGTTTAAGAAGAACTGGATAAACTCCTTCCAACATACCAATAAGAGCATTTGGGAAGAACGAAAGAATTAGGGCAACCGTAACTAAAGCAGTGGTCATAGCAACTCTGCGTTCAAGTTTTGCGTTCACTAACTCGCTGACTTGGTGAATTTGACTTAATTTACGTTTGCGAACCCCAAGGTACACCATGACATAAAAATATACGATAAGTCCCAGGGCAGACATTACCGAAACTGAAAGAACGGTGTGGAAAATCTCCGACGCTAAAATCATAGCATTTTCACTCATGATCCCCGTGATCACCAATAAGGGTAGTGGAGATACAGTTACTATTGCTGATACCCAAGCTATTATCGCCAGCTTTTTCAACCGGCTTCTAGTCACTATAACTTTGTAGTCAATCCATTTTCGAATGGCCACGTACCTTTCCCAAGCAATCATTGTCAGATGGAAAATCGAACAAGCCGTAAGAGTGGTCGTGACCGATATCGCTACAAAGTCCAACTTGCAAATGTAATGGTCGGCCAGTAATTGATAAGAAACTAACAGTCCGACCACAGCAGATAACGGTACACATAAACTTCCTACTAGAAGATCTGTAACGGCCATACTTGATAGCAAGATATTGGAAGCTCTCTGGAGTTCTTTCCTTCGCTTTACTGCTATGATTATTAGTGCGTTTAAAAGAACCACAGTTGGAGAGATTATAGATGAGACTACGGCAAAAACCCAAGGAGAAGTAGTGTCATGTAAATCCCAAACTAGGTGTGGTGCGTGTGAGCAATAAAACACTGACCTGGTTGTGTTCGAAAGGACGGTCGCCGTTTCTGTTTCGTTTGAGCCCATGATACTGACGATTTTTAAAACTGTTTATAATCCAAAATTTTGTTGCCGAATTATAAAGTTCAGCTTAGACTGGATCTAAAACGAGGAGATGCTTTTCGGTAAAATTGCTCTGGGAAAACAATAAGACTTGATGCTAAATGAAGCAGTTTTGGGGAATGGTGGAGTATTTTTTTAATACGTGACGATGCGCAGACAATGGGGTCTATAATCTATTAAAAACGAAAAACAGGAAATTCCGTATTTGATGAATTGGGTTTTTGTGCTGACTTCTATGTACACTTAAATTCAGCGGATGATGCACTCAGTGTTCTTAAGGGATAATGATAATGATATTATAATAATAATAACAATTTATTTATATCGCGCTCCACAAGCGCTTTACATCAACAAAAAAAAATTGAAAATTGCCTTAAAAAATAAAATATAACTTAAATAAAATCTCAAAATCTTGGGACTGATCTCTAACATACGTTCATAAAAAGGTTTGTCTTAATTTTACTCAACACTGAAGCCTTTTTGAAAAGAAAGGTCTTCAGGACTTTCTTAAAACTACCTACAGAATCGCATACTCTTAGCTCTCGTGGAAGAGCATTCCAAAGCTGAGGGGAATATATAGAAAATGCCCTGAACCCGTACAATTTTAAATTATAAGATTGTGTCTTCAGAAGCTGCATGTTCCTGATCTAAGGCTACGGCAAGGTCTATAAAGGTCTAATAGATCCTGCAGATAAACAGGTGTCATACCATTCAACACTTTAGTTTATGGCTAACATAATAATGATTTGTTCCTAATGAATTTGGGACTGACAAGCCACGCGCACCGACACGTGTATACTATTCTAAGTACACAGGTCCAGATAATTTGTTCCTGATTATCTTCACTTTGTAGGATATTTTTCCACTGTGAAAGCGCTGGTCTTAACACCGTCTAATACACATCATCGCCTTTTTCCTGCTGTGACTAGTGTTTAGTCGATTATTTTCATGGATTTCTTTTCTTTTCTTTGTTCGTTCAATTTCCCCTTTGTCTATTCTAGTCAACACACGAAAATGTCCGGTTTTTTGGGTAGGGGAGGAGGTAATTTTTTTTCAAATGGAAATCTCAATGAGTTGCATAATAAGTTCGGATAGACATTATCATGCAGATTTAATTACTAGAAACAAAATTCTCAAACTGGACAAAAAAGTGGAATGCTTTCAAAATATTAAATAATCAGTGTAAGGTACACATACCTCCCTTAGAACTCAAGAAAAATCGACAAAATAGAAAAAAGAAAACATATAAGTTTCAAAACTAAAAGTTAAACCTAATCGCTGTATTATCGGTTCATTAGAGTTCCAAAAGTACGCTAAGTCAAGATTGGGGAAAAAAAACTTTGTATCTGAGTGAAATTGAGAAAACGCTGGTATTTTAACTATCTAGAAACATAGAAGTTTCTCGTTCCTAGAACTGGTTCCATAATGATACCTTTTTGCAAGCTGACCTTTTCTAACTGTTAATTGTACACACTTCAGTTGATAGAAATAGTACACGTTAAATCAGAAACATCTGTTTTAGCCTTAAAAATGGGGCCGTTTCGGTGGTTGAAATACAGTCCTATTTTTGAGTCTAATTTGGCTCCCTTAAATTAGGCCAATACAGTCCAATTACATAGCGCTGCTTTGGACCCAAGGGCTGAAATGGGCCCCAGCGTGGGCTGGAATAGCCTTTTGATTGGGCTGTTTTAGCGCAAATTGTGCTCAAATGGCTCCAGGAGGAGCTGAATCAGACTTTGGCCCGCAGGGTGAATTGACGTTACTTAGGGGCTGAAACAGATCTTTTTAATTTTCAGCGTATAGTCGATCATTCGGTCGTCAAAACTTGAATCTGATTTCTGAACAGTGTTTCATTTTCCTCCATTCTTATCACTGTTTGTTATTAAATGGAAAGTGATTATACAAAATTGTCTTATGTCCCATTTACGACGAAATCAATTTGAAATTAGAGAAAGTCGCGGTAGTAAGGAACATCGTCGAATAACAAGAAAAATCAGCCAGCGTTCACATTTATACTCCGGTGGACACCATTTTTAAAGGGTAAGGGGTTGGACCTCGGGTCCCCGTATAAACATTTGTTGAGTACTCCCCCTCCCCCCCTCTCCACCCGGTGAAAGCACAAGCCTCGTGCCCAAATAAAACGTTTTGAAGAAGGATGATATGAAGAAGAAGTGGCTTGTTTTGATTCAAAGTTGCAATAGGCACGCGACACGTGCTAAAGTAAACGAAGCGAGGCGAATGTCTGCCACGCGAACGTCTTGTACATTGCCTGCAGTGCAAGCGTTTTCTTCGGGGGCGAGAATGTTTGCTCGCGAAAGCACCAGTTGAAACTCGAAAAGAAAGGAGAAAATGGTACGAGTCAAAAGGAGTGGAGGAGGGGGCGGGGAGATAGCAGTAATCTACGCAGCTTAAGTGCCTCATCGACAAGACAAAAGGCTTTCGCGTGTGTCGGAATGTGCAGTGTAAGCTCATGGGCTGTGTGGCACATGACGCTGTGGGATAAAATTAAGCGACACAACAAGGTACATTAATACCTCATTGGGAATTGAGTCGGATATATGGCCTGAAATATAGAGAGACGTGGTATGAGCACCATCAACTGCCAGTGATCGAGAATGATAAAGTGAAATTAATGTTAAAGTTCAGAGAATAACACTAGCTACAAAAGTAAACTTCCAGGTTATGGTTGACAGAATATTGATCCACCTATCCATCCTCATTAGAACATCGATGCTAACGCAGTGTAGAATTAACCCTTCTGTGATTTCAGTCAAGGAGATTTACTCGACCCCATCTACACCTAATGGACAGCAATAGTATTCCAACTGTTACGGACCAAGAAGAACTGTCCTGTTACAAGATAAAATGGGTGAAGCTTGTCGTATATTGTCGTCCGCAGTACCATTAAGGTTAGAAAGACATATACTGAAATAACATAGGCGTTTCAAAAGATGGTCTTGTTGCAAAATTCTCAGTTTGCCTCATTTCAAACTATGGTGATGTTTCGACACCACACGTTGCGTTATTGGAAATTGCGGCGTTACACTCCTCTGATTTTAGCTCACAAATCACATCCACTCAATTAACTTGACCGGCGTCAGAAAGTTGGCACCAAAAAGTCTCCAGTTTGCCATAATGTTTTTCGTATTTTTAACTCAATCTGTGTTCTATGTTTTAAAACCAAGGTTTGCGCCGAAAAATATCGCAAACCATGGCGAAGTTAGAGTCACATTTTGAGAAAAGTCATTCCGTTTCCTATAAATTATCGTATTTTGCGACAGCACGAAATGTGGTTCCCAGATCGTGGACTGTTATAGACTTCTCTCTTCAAGCCAGGATTTGAGTTATCGCAAACTGTTGACTTCACTGAAGGAGTCACATTTTGCGTTAACTCAATCTGTGTCCTACCAATCAATCACCGAAAGTCACAGACACCTTTCTAAGAAAACTAGTGACTCTACAACCTTTACAGCAGTCATAACAAAGACGAACTATTTCGTGCGTTCAATAAAGAATACAACACAAAAAGCAAAAGTACGCATTTTCATATATACTTAAAAATTTTCGCAATAATTTGCTTGAGAACGATGAACACTTAATTTGCATAAATAAGCAGAAATGATCGGTGTCATGTTTTCGTAAGCGTTTTGTTCGAGTTCATAATGATCTGCAGATAAGATGCAGAATGATTATGATCGGTAGAGGGACGTAGATGGTGAAAATGATTTGACACAAAGCGATTTGCCGTGTCCCCTCCGACAACTCTCAGCTATATTAACTGAATATAAGCTGAAGTTTGGCTGATTGATCGGAACTTCACTGTGAGAATAAAACTGCTTAAGGCGCTCTTCACTTTATAACATTACATGTCAAAATTACATTTCCCTGTAACGACCAACAACCGGTCTCGCTTTTTCGAAGTTCTTATTGTACAATGCCAAAACAGCATTAAATCTACTCTCCTTCGCAGCCCTTGAATAAGAAATTGCGTTAATGATTCGGCTCATGAGCGGCGCCATGTTTACTTTAGCCTAAAACCGTCCTCAACCCGCTGGAATTACAAGTTTTGCTCGAAGACCAAACTGCAACGGAGATTCTTTTCCAGTCCTATGCCACGGCTACAAAGATAGATCACATGACCTGACTGGCTTGCATATCACATTACGTCAGAGGACATGTTCACAACAGAGGACAAAGCTGCAACGGTACAGACATGAAAATAAAATGGGAGGAAACTGGGAAAAGGAAGGGAGGCGGAGGCTCTCTCTTCTTTCTCTTCTTTCCTTTTTCCTTTTTCCCGCACCGCCCCCTTTTCGCGTACTTTTCACTTTCGCGTCTCCCCTACTCTTTCGCGTCTTCCCCACTATCCGTGAGATTGGAACGGGCTATTGACCTGCTGACTGCCGATGCCAGCGTGTAAGAGGTCATAGTAAATGCACGCTGGTAAACTTCTCGCAAAGGCAAAGGAGAAAGACCATAGAAAGGAGATTAGCTGCACAAAACAAAAGCTATGAGTAAAATTTTTGTAGGTAGCCGGATATCGACATGCTTCCCCTCAAGACAGACACCAAGCCATGTTTTCCTCTTTATCTACTGTATTTACAACAAACAGCCAAAAGTCCAGTGACGCTTAAAGCGTAAATAAATACATTTACAAAAGAGAACAAATCATATTCCATGTAAATATTTACAATGCATCAAACATGGAAGTATTTAATTCGTCATTAAACTTACAGTGAATATGAGACAAAACTGACGAAACGATTATTAGTGCCTTATTGCTGGAAGCAACGCACAGAATTCAAAGAAAAAACGTCATCAGGAGAATCATGCCGTTACAGCAATTGAATTGACTCAAAGAATTTCGGACGCCGCGCGTGGTGTCCACGCGGCACTTCACTGCTAAATCTGCAGTCTTTTTGCGTCCCTACAAGGCAGCACGGACTGAAGGAAAGACTCATAAATCAAGTGATCTTACTGTGACTGTTGTGGAAAAATTGTTTGAATGTCAGCCGTCTCCTGGAGACGCAAACTCCCGAAACAGATGACAACTTGAGACGAATCAGGTCCCGGTTGTTCAAACGTTAGATAGCGCTACCCACCGGATAAATCGCTATCCAGCGGATAAGTATTAGTGCTATCCACCTTCTGAACAACTGGGGCGAGCTTATAAAGAAAAAGCACCCATTTTGTCTCAACTAGTTTTGTTCAAAGTTAATATAGTCAACATAACGGACAACTGTATACGACACTTCCGGCTAAGAAGGCAGTAGCCTGCGTAGCTGGCGGTATAAGCGTAGGAGTGCTATATTGTTTTGGCGGCGGAGACGCGAGAAGGTTGGGTATACGCGCACTTCGCATGGCGGCTCCGAGAATTCCACCAGCTACGCAGGCTAAGAAGGCAGCGCACACCTAGGGTTAGTCCCGGCTGCATCTTCGTGAATTCTTTGGACTCTCTTTATAGGGCTAAGCCGATTTCTTTAAGGTGGCCTCAACGCTACCAGTCTTAATAAAAGTTGACCAAAAAGAAATCAGAAACTGATTATTCAATTTGAGTTCAGTTGGAGACGCGTACAATTGGAGTTTTAAGGGCCTCCTCAGCGGTTCAATGAAAATCAAGACTAAGTGCGAGTAGTCTGACTTATGACCTAATGTACAAACCATACAATCAACTGTACACAAATTTTTCTAGGAGGCACTATCCGAAAATAAGAAATACATTTTACTAGTAACTGTGATCTATGCTCTACCGCTTGTTTGTGACGGTAATAAAGTAAAATCTTGAGTCGTTTTCCAGTGTGAAATCTTACAGATGAGTGACCATTATACGGAGCAGCGTGGTGCAGATTATCATGCTGTACACTGACTTAGTTAAAGTTTCTGGATTAGCTACTTATAGTGTAACTACTAAAATGAAAGCTTTTGCGTTAGTAATTGCCTTTGGTGCTGTTTCATTCGCTAATACTGTTCACGGCTAGTAGCACGGTTTTCCACAGAATCGTGTATACATTAAGTCATATTATTTCATCGTTAGAGATCGGATCCAATTCTTTCTTGACAGTTGTTTTCCTGTCTTTAAAGCGTTTTTATGTAACATTTCTGACTATTTATATGCAGGGGTGAACCAATTTCAGTGTAGACCCACACATATTTTGGCAGTACATGTGTGGCGCTAGGGCAGATAAGGTGGAGATTATCGGTCTTTTGTAAAACGTAGGTGCCTGTGCGTATAATTTGTTTTAATAATTAGAGGACTGTAATTTATAATACGCTATCAAGATAACTAGTAAATCTATCCAGTTCATCGCCAGCCGCACTGGAGAAAAGACTGCTAATTTTATGAATTTCCACCACACCGCTTTCGAAAACCAAGACCTAAAAAACAAAGAAGCAAATTACAGACTGCTAATGAGAAATGGAGCCACTAAATATTGCCATTGATAATTTAATGTGGTTAAGACTGATCACGAAAACAGAATCCCCAAGAACTTGTTTTTCTTGCTTAACCATAGGAAGATTTGAACGTCGCAGTCCTCGTAAACATTGAAAACTGCCAGTGACAGGGCCTAATTTGAACAATTATCGATAATAAAGCTTGTGTGCGTTAATTCAGTATTCACTTTTGTGAATCGCAACTGCCATACACTTATCGGCCTGTAAGCCGAGTTCACACGGTATGGAAGAATATTCCCGGGATCCCAGATTTGAACAAAATACAGCGCGTAAATCGAGAAACTTTTGACGAAATACGGGATTTGACTGCTACCCGGAACGCGGGATCGGCCAAAATTTTGAGCATGGATTCGGACTGAGATTGAAAATGATATTTGGAATATCGATGAAATAAGTTCGAGATGCGGAATTATCGTGAAAAAGGAACGAGGAAAGCGGGATCAGGTTCCCCTCTTTCAAGACTCATGCGACTGTCAGGCTGAACTGAAGCATTGTCTATGCTAAAACGATTATATGTTTTTATAACTGCATTAAAACAAAAACGAGAGGAAAGTTAACGCTGAAACTATCACTGTTGGTACTCTTTCGCCAACAAGAGCTTAGGTGTTCTGTTTCCTTAAGTTTGAAGAAGAGAGGTTACACAGTTTCTTACCAGCTCGGGATTTCTACCCGGGATACCAATCCCCGAAGCTGAATAGTCACTGGACAGCTCAAAACACGCGACTCTACATGAAATTGAACCAAAAATAATAAGAAAAGATCTCAGTCTCATGGAGACTCAACCAGTGTTTGGAGGAGGGGGTGGGGGTGGGGAAGCACCCCGTGACCATTTAGTAGGTTCTTAAGAGAAACATCCTGCAAGATGCTTAAAACGTGTCGCGGGATGCTAAACGATTATAAAACTCTCATGTCCCTGGTAATGACCGAGCGGTACCTTTAAACTTATTACCTTTTTGGTTTTTCGTTACCTGCAAATGCGAGAGAGTAAGGTTTCAACTGGGTTTTCCAGTGGAGACTACAAGGTGCACCGCAACGGTGGCCCCAAACGAAACGAAAAACATGGCGGAAACAGTCGTGTTGGAAAAATGGCACAGACCCCACCGGCGTTTTGAGCAAAAATAATGTAGCGTTTTCGGGAATTTAAAAACACGCTGATCTATGTTCGTGAAAACGTAATCTATTTCAGATGACATTGTTAAACTCATTAATCATCCGCGTACAAAAGGACATCAAGAAGTTATCAGTGGATACCAGATACTACCACAACATTATCAAATGCATACTTTAGCGTTGAAATTCTTCAAGCATTATTGGTCACTTTAGAAGCTATATAAAACACTCAAACAGATTAAGACAATTAAGAGCAATTTAAAAAAATGTTCTTATCGCTTTTCTTTTTCCCAACCCACAAATTGCTACCGTTAGAATATGACGAAACACTCTTCCTCTTATTTGATACATTAAGTACTGACTCATCGGTTGGATTACAAAAAAAAGTTAATGTCATATGTAAAAAAAGCAACAGCGATAAGAACGTTCTTCTCACTTACCGTCCATGTTTAAATTTCTCTACAGCAACTGGACCTTGATCACTCTTAAGTAAATCCCTAGGTATAGAATCAGAAAGAACTGAACTTTTTATTCAAGATATGTAAGTAGTCAAGAGTTACTCTCATGAATCTAGCACCCAAAGAAAGGAAAACTCGCGACATGAAAAAAGAATAACCTAAAGGGAGAAAGTCAGGAGCAAAGTTGCCCACAAACTATTTTTCTATGAGCAAATTTTGAAAACGTCCGCGGGCAAAGGTTCACTTCGTCACAAGAAAACGGAAACAGTTCAGTTTGTCCGACATCAATCCTTAACAGCTACATCTTACAAGTTTTAATAACATGTAACAAACACTGCAATAAGCCTTACGTGTTCGAACTTGATGGTTACACTGTTATACCAGCTACCAACTACTGCACGTTAATGGATCAATAGTAAAGTGTTTGTTCTTCCCCTTTGTAATTTAAAAACCAATATTCGTTTGACTCGAAGGTGACCTTGATGCAAATTTTCTTGGGCGTACCACGGAGATGAGTACTGAGCAAACCGCTTCTATTCCCATGTTAAATTTGCGGGGTCTGAGGGGTCCGCGGTCGTTCAACAAGTAACAGCTTATTTTATCTTATAAAATAAACAAGAGCCTTACCAAACGTAAAGATTTGAATTTAAATCCAGCACATAAAAAACACTTGGCCGGCTACGAGACCACTGCACTGACATTATTCCATTGCCGCCCGTAGATGCGGGCCAACTGACCAGAGGTAATTCTGATAAATAAAACCAAGAAGAGGCCAAAGTAGTATAAGTTTTCGATAACACGGTTTTTAAAATCAACGTAATTAGTTTAGCCAATCACAAAAGCTTTGGACATTCCAGCGAACCACAATGGATTCCGATAAAAATGTGTTGGCCACAGCAGATATCAGGAAATATAATTATGAAATAAAGAATATACGAAAATCATAGATAGGAACTGCGGAGTGAAGAATTAAATGGAAGGATATCATCCCAGTTATAGACGCAACTTTTGCAGTTGCGAAAATAAAGCCTGAAAAAGTCGTCATCCTTTCATGGGTTTTTATGATACCGAACTAACTAAATGGCCTGCTCCCAGATGGCTTGTTTGCTTAACTGGTAGAGGCGCTGCACAGGTATCGCAGAGTGGGTCAAAAGCGTGCAAAGAAAGTTCCTCAAGGGTTCGAGTTCCGTGCACTAAGCCTGAATTATTTTTCAGGCTTTCGTTTTTAACTGCATAAGTTGCATCTATAACTTCGATGAAGTCTTTCATTCAATTAGCAAACATAACTCACAACAAGTTTTGGCTTTTTCACGATGACAATTTGAGAAGGTGGGTTTGGTTTTTCTGGTTTCTTTTCCATTCGTATTTTTTCCCTTTCTTTCAGTCAATCAGAAAACGAGAGATTTTGAGCCATACATTTTCAAGGTGGCTAAGACCAGTCAGTCTGCACTCAGTTCTAGTACTTATGCTTCAATAGGCTGAAATAGGTTAAAAAAATACTGCGCCTTTCCTACACTGACAAGTAACACTACAATAACATTTTACCGACAAATCAATGGCCAATCATCCGTCAATAAACTATACTCAATATTTTGTTACGACAAGAAACGCAACAGGAGTACACCACTTTCTACAATTTTAACTTTTATTAACTCAAAACAAACTAGGTACATCGAATTACTCTTTTAAGGTTACGATTGTACTTGTACGTTTTGATTGTACTTCGCAAAAAAGATCGAATTAATAAAGACAAAAGGTAAAATTACATGCTAGACTAGCAGTAACCAAAGGTTAGGAAGTGCGGGCGAACAAGTACCTTTACCTTGCAGGTGCGATTGATGTTGGGAGCCGCTTTCATAATTGTGTACGTGAATCAGGGAAACCCTTTTTAGTTCCAGTGTGAACAAAAGAAATCACGGTGGATCATGAGGGCGTGGAAACTGAACTGAACAACTTAGGAACACAGTAAACAAGACTCATTGAATTCAACGATTTTATTTACAGTGGCTTAGATACAATTAGCCTGCGAAAAGTGAGAAGCTAGGAGAGAAGGTTGTATTCGCAGGCAAAAATACAATGAAAACAGTAACACGTGACATAAGGAACGCTCAACGTCGAATGTGTACAGTCATGACTACTTGAAGTCTTATTATTCAATCCGATTACCAGTCCGTGTTCAATGACCAAAGGTCGTTGAAATGTAATAGAAAATCATGAAAAAAGTTTGAAGCTTTCAGATGACAAGCGACGTAACATGCCTGGAAACGTATAGAAATATAAAAACCATGCACTGTAGTGTAACCTGAATTAACTTACATGGATGGACTTAGGGCCTCTTCATATGAGCCCGGTTGACCCGGCTGGCCCGGTTTCCGAGATCCGCCTCACCTCTAAATCCTTTGTAAAATTTTTGATGTGTTCATATGAGAGAGCGGGCTGGCTCGGTTACCAAGATCTCGGTTTTTCCAACCGAGATCTCGATAAGCGGGCTGGAAATTTTGCCATATGAACACTTCATCCGGGTTACCGGGATGAATGGCGGGATGAATTCTGGCGGTCCGGATGGCATCGTCTTGCATTGCCTGCTGTATTTTCCACATCATAAGCATCCCATTTAACTGCAGTGATACAGCTTTAAGAGTTACCGATGCTAAGATAGGCCCGAAAGTTAAAATTTTTCTGTTTCGCTATGTTTGCTTTGCTTCCCAAATTTGGCGCCACAACTCGTACCCAGGATCTTTGACCTTTTCTCATCTCGGAAACTGGGCTGAAATTTCTCATATGAACCCAAGGCAAAATTCATCCCGGTAACCGAGCCAGCCCGGTCAACCGGCCTCATATGAAGAGGCTCTTATAGACTTTGAAATCACTCGTACTTTACTGAAGCGCTCTACTTTCATTTCCCTTGGTAAATAGATTTCCGGCCGACAAGGTGAATCGAGAAGTCTCGCATTTAAAACATAACGTGTACACCTGAATTTAATACGTGCGTTTTCGAATCGAACAAATATTGTTGCATCACTAGCACCCGAAAGACCACCTCGCTATACAGTTTATAAACTGCCGCTCACCAAGAATACTCTGCAGGCTCCTCTTGTCGCCCGCGACAAGTTATAATGCATTTCGAGATGATACGCGCGTTTGAATACAACAAAATGCAGTTTTATCTCTGATAGTATGAAGAAGGTGATGAAGTTCAGTGAGTGACCTTGTGAACTGAAAGGCAATGTATTTCGTTATTGTCACTGAGCAACTGATTACAAGGCATTTATTTCTGCAATTCTTAAAAAATCGTGGAGGGATGACCCACGGTAGCTGACCGCCTCCATAAAGATGTTTTATTAAGGTCAAGAATTCTTTTACCGACGTCCAAAGCGATCTTTTGATTTCTCAACAACAGTAAAGAATACCCGGAATCTCTCTCCTCACATAGCTGATTATAGTGCCGATTACATTGCTGATTATATTACCGATTACATCGCTGATTATATTGCCGATTACACCACTTATTATATTGCCGATTAAATCATATTGTCGATTATACCGCTAAAATATTGCCGATTTCATCCCTCATTACCGTCAATACATTGCTCTTACATCAGTTTCACGAAATTTCTTTGTTGTCTCTCTCTTGCTTATATGCAGAAGAAAGACAGATAAGCCAAACCTCAGTTAAAATTTTAACAGTGGACAATGTTTATCACCTACTCATGGCGTATAGCCCTTTTGAATAAAGTATTTACAATAATGGACCCTCGATATAACGAACAAAACGTAAGGCCAAGGGAGTGCCATAATATACTGATTTCGCTATACCGAATTTTCGTTACATTGAGTTTCTTTTCCATGCATTTTACTAATTACTGAGGCGAACAACATCGTTCGCTCGTTGTACAGAGGACTTCGCTTTATTCAGGGTCCGTTATATCTAGTTTCCACTGTAATGGGATGTTCCAGTATACAAGTAATATACACGGATTTGATAGCAAAAGATATGTAACCAAACATAATTTTTATGTCTGGAGTACCAACTACAAATAGGAAAAGATCTTTCTTAGTCAGCAAAAGACTTATCTACTTTCGTTTTGTTTATTTAATATACCAGATGAATTCCTGGCAAATGACCAAATCACCAAGAATTCTCTCGTACCGTGGAGTGGACAAATTTATCAAAATTCAACAGGCTTATTATTACAGTGTACGTGCATAAATAAAAATGACCGACAGTTTATGGCATTGTGATACACCTAATGCCAGATTGTAGTAATGACTAAAGTCAAATATGAAATTTCGAGATTTATTGAAACCAATGTCGGCAAAACTGCAAAACAGTGTGACACTTTGAAGCAAACCTCGACATCAGGTGGATACAGGTATGTGCCGCCCCAAAGGGTATGGTTTTTGCGCCGTTTCTGTCCGAAAAAAGATATAGACTTTGCCCATTTTGGTCTGGAATCGGGTATGGTTTTCGAGGAAACTACGGGAGTGTATGAACGTATTTGTCGTTTCAATTCCAAATGAATAAGAAAAAGGAATAATATGCGAATTCATAATAGCTGAGAAATCTTTTTGTTGGCGTTCTAACCTAAGCAATGATCACATGGTTTCTTAGACATGTCTCTTAGTCTGAAAACAGTATGGATTCTTAGAGGCCAGGGACAAGTTTTTTTTGAAAGTCCCGATCACTATGTTTCCCGTGTTTGCATTCAAGATCAAATTTTCACTAATTTTGAAAATGATACAATGAAAGTATCAGTAAACGAAGCAAAACTGACTGGTTTGTGAGCTAGGAACTGTGCTACTATTTATCTGGTCTTGAATTCAAAATTTGCATTCGGACTAGAAAAGTTACCGGTCCTTTCGAGAAAAGGGGCCCCAAGTTTTAAAATGGGTGTGGAAAATGACATTTTTTTGGTCTGAAAAGGGTCAGGATTTAGAAAACCGGGCGGCACACCCGTACCAAGAATTCCCAGGAGTAACCCCCCAGTCACTAAGTATCGGCGTACTCACTTTGATATGCACTCAAAACACATAATATGTTTATTTGTAGCCTGTCCGGCGTAGCTGGCGCGAGGAACATTTTGGAAAAACGCCTCTCGTGGCAAAGGTGCTAAGAAGGCTCCAATACTCGTCACAAATCGTTGAAACAGACACCGTTTCTCTTGAATTTTCTAGACAATTTTTGAGATTTACTTCTCACAATTCTCACACTTTTTGTTCGCCAATCTTGAGCCACGTGTATTTTGAAGCACTGAGACCACTGTAATACCCAAATCAACATTGGGGAAGGGAAACGCACACAAGGGTTTCAAGATTTTTGACGAGGATTGTAGTTTATTTGTCATTCTTAAAGCCACTGAAGTGAGCAAAGCTTATGAAAGGAAGGACCACGTGTCTAGGTATCCTTGCATCTATCCACCGTTTCCAGGGAAGTGTAAAAGTAGCCGCGTACTCTACAGTTACATTCGCTAAAGACAAGTCAAAGTTTTAGTTGTCGTTTAGTTGTTCCACAACATTGTTTTCGATTTCTATTTGAGGTATGTCGTTTCTGTTGGCCGGATTGTCATCGATGTTCATATTTCCTTGCAGATCTTGTCCTTCCTGAACTTGTCCAGCTTGAATTCCAGCCACAGCGTTGGTCGCTCCGAAAATTCGCATCTCTATTTGCTCAGCCTGAGCAATGCTTACAGTTCTAAATAATAACTCGATAAAAGCGACTCGAAACTGTCTGATTCTTACTGAAAAAATAATCGGGTTGAGCAGCGAGTTGATGAAAGCTACTGAAACAGAAGAAGAGTGAAGTAAATACATTGTCTCCGCAGTGACTTCCTTGTGAAATCTTGAACACACAATTGTGGCAACTATTACAGGTATGAAACACAATACCAGTACAGCGAGAATGATCGACGTCAGTTTAAAAGCTTTAGTATCTCTCTCAACCTGCTGCCTTGCCTCTTGAGTAACTTGCTGCGATGCCAGTCGTATTTCATGTCTGCGAGTTTCAATGTAAACTGTTAAATGGCAGTAAACCATTGAGCCAATAGATAAAATAATGAATATTAAATTGGTGTGTGCAATGGCAGTTATGTCAAGTACTGAAAGAACTTGCCCAACAATGGACAGGAGCCATATGATAGCAGAGGCAGTCAGTAAACGACTTTCGGTGACGAGGGTAATGTAGGCGAAAGAATGTTTCATAGCGACGTACCGTTCCGCGCTCAGCAGTACCATATGTAAAAGCGAAGCAATAACTAAAAAATTCATCACTGGTCTGAGAAGTCGCCATGCACAATATGCCGAAGGCAAGTCAAGTAAGAATATTATTGACACTATCGTGAAGCAAGGTTGAGCTAGAATCCCTACGGAGAAGTCAATTAAAGCTAGGAGCGCCAGTAAAACATTTGATTTATGGCCTCTCAGACGGGATTTCACCTTTACAGAGATCATCACCAGTGCGTTCAAAACTGCTGTGAGAGGAAAGATGAGGATGTTGACGGCGATGAGAAAGATAAGGAAAGCTTGGCCCGAAGGGGAAATCTGATGTAGAGTTTTGGCAAAGAAGAGGTCAACCCCCGGACCAGCCTTGCATCCAGCAGGGGTACTGTAGCTTGAATTCATCGCCTCCACAGTACTCTGCATGCGACTTGTAACTTACTTCGGTTTTTGAAGTGAATGAAATGTGTTCGTGTCGTCAGTGAAAATGTTTAGTTTTTGTTCATGCTTTACTTTGCTGCTCGTAAAATTTACATTTCTTTACGAGTATATATTCGGTTATTTGGCCAACAAAACAACATTCAGTTATTTTGGGCAACAATTGGTATAATCTTGCGCCCATTGGGTTAATATAAATCGCATAAAATAATGAATGAATAATTCACTAATGAACCCCTTCAAAACCCCTCACCTCCGCTTTTTTTTAACTGAACCCCAACTTAGCCTAACAATTAGCGACCACAACCTCCTTTTGATTGTCAAAATAAATAAAGTAATACCACCAGAAAAAAAAAATTACTTTTATTCAAACGTTCCTGTTAAACGCGACTTTCTCTAATTTCAATTAAATTTTCTCGTAAATGGGATATAAACCAAACTAGTATATTTAGGGTTGTTTTTAAAAATATTATACACCTGAAGAAAATAACAGCTGCTTCTTTCATCATAAAAAGCAATACAACTGTGATCAGACAGCTGATATTAAAAGCCGACTGAATACGGAGATAGAAGTTTAAAAAAAACAAAACGGGGTAACTGGGAAAATCAAAATGATGATTTGATTAAATGGTGAAAATCACCTTTCATTTATTAACTAACAACGATAAGAATGGAGGAACATGAAACAGTGATCAGAGTGAGATTCAAATGTTGGCGACCAAATTATGTTTTGAACACGTTGTCCACTGCACTTTCTGTATAAACTGAAGTCCGGAGTACAATTTTCAGCACAAAAAGCCACGTTATGGCACAAGAATATGTTTGTTTCACCAGATAAAAATTCTTAACTTTAGGAACCCTTAAAATACAGCATTTGGGTTTTAGCTTCTCGTTTGACAGTAAACGTTGTTTTTATTTAAAGGAGTTATGTGTTCTTCACATTATTCAAAATTTTCAAAGCGTTCCATTTTTTCCAGTTTGAGATGTTATCTTTTTCCTGGTTCCTAATCCTGATTCTTTCAACAGCTTTTCTAGCGATACCACTTACAAATAATTGCCATTAAGGAAAATGTTGAATTTTGCACTTTTCAAAGAAGATTATCCCCCAAAAAACGGAATGTTGCGTGCAATTTGGTGTGTTGGCTTGAATAAAAACTGAAGGCGAAAGAAAAGAAAAGAAAGCAGGAAAATAATTGAGCACTTACTGGAGCGGAAAAGAGCGATGGACTGAACAAGACGCTGTTATGACCCGCGCTTTCACAATAAAAACAGATCACACAAAGTGAAGGTAATTAACGAATTATCCAGAACTAATCTTACTGGTACACAAAAGTTCGGTATGCTTGGCTTGCAAGTGCGAACTTCATCAGGAACTATCATTTTTTTGATACCTAAAATCTTTTAAGAAGACTGAATGCATCATTGAATTTATACATTTATACATGTACATATATATGCACAAAAAACTAGGTCATCAAATGTGGAGTTTTCCTGTTTTTCCAAACGATAGGTTATAACTACTGTCGAGTCGCTTACAAAAAAAAATTTCTCCATGCGTTCTAAACGCGTCTCAGTTTTATTCCTAGTGAAATTTCCAATAAAGATGAATAAACAGTTTTAAAAAGCGTTTTATCATGGACCCAAACGAAAGAAAAAAGGCAAAAGTCCTATCGAACTCAACTAGCCTGTCACTGTTTTCCACACACAGTTTTAGGGATTTAAACGACACTACTTCTCCCTGAGTTTTTTGCCGCACCTTTTTCAGAGCCCTTGTGTATAAGCTCTAACCGTCAATAATCTTAAGATAAAATCTTCTGTCGATTGCACATTCTTAGGAGAGCTTTTCACATAAAGTTTCTCTACACTACTTGTGATGTCATTACCTTCAGTTTGAGATTTCAGGTCTGAAAGGAACTGTTTAAATGAGTTGAGCAGGCTGGTTAGTATGGCTGGCACGCTTCATCGGACTGGCTTAGGCTCGGCTCATACCTTGTTTCTAGATAAAATTTTCGTTGCTTATATACGAGAAGGCGGGGTCGCCTACTCGCCGTTCCTTGAGCAACTGAGATATTGAAAAGCTTTAAGGGCATGCCAACCCAAAACATATTTCTGCTTTGAGATATTCGTTTTCCTATAACCTGAATCTCGATGATCATTTGGCAAAGTCAGAACAATGTTCGAATGTACTTTTGCACTTGTACATCGATCTGTAGCTCTACGCATCTAATTTCACATTTAAAACAGCGAAAACAAGGAAAAATTGCATGCAGTATTGCGTGTGAGTTCAGCGAAACAGACACACTGAAGGGGAATTTTTCTGAATAAAGAGAGGAAAACAAGAAAAGAAAAATAATTGTACACGAAGCGGGAACAAGCAATGAAAACACCTGTTAAGAGCCCTTTCACAATGATAATCCTTAAAAGGAGGATAAAAAAACCCCTACTAATCCAGAGTTTATCTCTTATGTTATATCAAGCTTTAGCGCGCTTGATCGGAAACTGGCCATCTATTGAGTGAAAACAAATATAACTACGTAAAACATTTAAGGAAGTTTAACAATAACACAGCAAATACAAAAGAAGGCAAGGATGGACAAAACCGAAGAAGATTAAAACGGATCGCAATCGGTGTTTTGTGGTTCAGCTTAACTGGTTTTAAAATTATTTTTCTCTGTTGTTTGTAATTTCACAAACGTGCTTGTCGTGAAGATGCGAATTTGTCAAATACAAGTACTAATTAATTTGCTAATGTTAAGTTCCATGGTGAGTAAAGCCGAGCAATTGGCATGAGTAGACCAACGTAATATGGTCCCTTAAAACTGACGCAAACTGAACACAAAGTAAATTAGTATGTTAAAAAAATATATTGCGGAAGGGTTCTTGACAAACTAACGGAGACGCCTAAGAAGCTTATCAGCCACAGCAAATTTGAGACTGAACTGGTTGGTCAGTCTTACCACTCAAACGGTGAGCTACGTAGCAGATCATGATGACCTAAATCATTTACTGGGTTCGCGATCTCAAGAGATTAGCTGTCAACTATATCTTTTTTAATGTGGCTTATTTTTTTAGGATGATACCAACCGTTCTTGATGTTAAAGAGCCAAAGACTACCAGATTCACTTCCTGCCTGATAACAAAGGAAAAAATAAAATGAATTTTAAAAAACAAGCCCAGTGACAAACATGGTTACCGTAAAAACCGCCAACAATTTATCAAGGTTTAGAGAGGAGTAGGTAGCCTATTCTAGGCGTTAGCCCACCCCACCCCCCTCACTGTTTCCTGCACCGTCCCCACTATCTGAAAACCTGAAACAGGCTATAAAAAAAAATTTCATATCAGATGACACTGAAAACGCGATTGTCTCCTGTCGTTGCTTCTAACTTTTGTTCCTAATTTCGACCACCGAAAAAAAGTTTACTCTGCAAAATTCCACGATAATTGTACAGGCTTCATATGGACTGACATCATAAGCTTACATTTTTATAACGGGATGTTTGCATGGTTTACTCTTTGCAAACGGGCGCATAAACACAAGTAAGCCTTCACAGTAAAAACCATCAAAAACACGGATGCTGTTTTGGTGAACTGGAAAGTGAATCACTGCTACTCTTACAGTTATCACGTCTCAAGTTGCGAGTCTCCTAACCATTCACTACCAGTGGAGAGTTCACTGAAAAAATTAGGTGCTCGCTTACCACCAGACAAGGTAACTGCCAAGGGGATAAATCCAGAGCAGAAATCCGGACAATGTTTTCTGAAAGGAAAGGTTCATTAAGTATTGATCACATGATTCTTCATAAAACTCGAAAGACATTTACACTATAAGCTTTGAAATTGTGACACTAAATTGTACATCATTGGGCAATTTTAAGCTAAAATTCATTTGCCTACAACCAAATGAGCTTCAAAATCTACAAGTCGATCCTTCGTAATGGCCTTTACTTTAATAGGAGAGCTTAAGGATAACAACGATAACAGCACTAAGATCATTAAAGAGCAATAGGTTTAGTAGGCAACTTGATAACATCTCTGCACATACATCATACTTGAGGGCACATTTCCATGCCTTCATTGCAAGGAATCTGAAGGGAAATATTTTAAAGCGGCAAGCTCTTTTTTAGCCCCCGAACAAAGCTAAAAGAAAACTGGCTTACAAGTTTTATGGATGACTCAGACACACGATTAAGAAGTTTCTTTCTCCTTCTAATTGCAAATGCAGAGTCCCTAAGACGTCCGCTCAGTTCTAGGAAAGTTCGTCTACATTTGAAAACAAGTGAGCGAAATGGGGTGAATCGCGACAAAGTTTGAAAGAACTTCGATTCATCATGATTTTATAAGTGTGGTTTTTGCTAACTTGAATGAATAGACCCATTCGGCTAACTCAATGTTGTACCCAATTCAAATCTCCCGGGGATAAGATTCTTTGTGTATTGTATTTGCATTATAATGTGGCATTCACATTTAAATGATATGGAAATTAATGAAACAAAACGTTTTATTCCCAAAGGGTTTGAATTGGGTACAACATTGAGTTAGCCGAACAGGTCTATCATCAAAACGGTGAGAAAGTGATCAACTTTTTTTCTGTTCCTACCTGTATCGGGTCTGTGAGCTTTTGGTGGGGCTCGCCCTCCGTGTCTTTCACAATGAAGAATGTATCCCTAGGAAAAAAAAACGATGCACTGCTTAAATACAGCGAAAATATAAAGACCTTAACTGAGCGGAAAATAGACACCGGGTCACTTCGAAAGGGGACAGTATCATGATAGTTTTCCCACGTTTTGGTAAGGCTCCACTACAATTATACGATCAACGGCGACAAGGGGTATAAAATGCCTTGAAGGCATACCAAATCCCCTTCTTTATACTTTATACTTTACTCTTGTAGTGTTAAAAAAGGTGCACTGTCACTCAATTATCCCACGTTTTAGTAAGACTCCACTGCAATTAAGAAGGTACACCATCTAAGGTGACAGGAAAGTGATGTCGACAGTTTTGGTTGATATTACGTAAATAACAGGAGAATATGGCGTTCTAAACAGGCCCCAAGGAGGGGGGGGGGTGCGACGAGTGCCCTCGCACCCCCCTTCCCCTACCCCCAACAGGCCCCAGAGGTCCACTTTTTGTTGATCAATGATTTAAAACAAACTGATTTTTTTAATAGTATTATTCTATTCTAATTCACTGATTGTGTACAAAAATTGAAAATACTGTGAAAGAGTTGCCAGCCGGTTAAGTATAAAGAAGGGCATTTGGTATGCCTTCAAGGCATTTACCCCTAACTAATACGTTGCTTGCTCCCTTATTTCCACCCTAACAGAAAAATTCAGTTTTGGAGGATTCGTAGCGTTGCTTGCAGGATACATTGAAGTTCCTATTAAAGCTACCCTACTCTTGTAGTATCAAAAAAGGTAGAATGTCACTCAGCTCTAAGCCCTTTGATATAAATTAGAATAATGCGAGTAACATGACTTTTAACGTTTAACTTTTTGGTAAAATAAAGTAGTCTCTTTGACCAAAGAAAAATCCATTCTGAAGTTCAAAACGTGAAAATATATCTTTTTTTGTTTTCTTTTTCAAAACGCTCGTAACGCAGTCTCAGACAACCTTATTCCTTTCCTAGAACCTTCCGCCTTAGGCCTTATTGGATCGCATCCCCCGAGAAAAAGTCCTGGCTACAGGCCTGCTAAATAATAACTTCTCTCTTTATTATCTGTACAAGACGCTACACAAAATTCTGTTGCTATTATTTTCCGACATTTTCAACTATTGGCCCAAAATTTACGTATTAAGAAATAGTAAACGTGCAGCGTGCAGCCATTGTGCAACCATCGCGAGAGGTTGCTGAGCACGAAAGAAGGGTAATACATTTTGAAGCAGTTGAAATACAGGCCATGCACTCTTATGGAATTCCCTCTGATACAAACACCTTCATTATATTTTCAAGTATCACTCAATACAATCGATCAATCTGTTACTTACCCCATCTGTGCCTATATAAACATGGTTAGGATCATGCGGGAGAAATCTCAGTATTAACGCTTGAAAAGTCATCTCATTTTGTAAACCCCTACAAACAATAGAACAAATAGATTTATTCATATATTATCAATCACATTCAAGTAAAAATTACTAAATTTAATAAACTTCCTTAAGTTGAAAAGGCCACTAGAGTGAGGAATGTGGCTACAGCGTATTCCACTGAACCTTTCTAATATCTATGCTTCATAAAAGACAGGTCATGAGAATTTAAGAAATGATCAATAGATACTTTAACAACTTCTTCATACTAAATATATAGGAAATGTATAAGGACATCAAATGAGAATTCCAATTTTGACCCAAAATAATGACTTTGTTTGAGTTAAATATACTCTACTACTCTACCTATGCGTTAAGTGTATTTATCTGGCTTCCGATGGCCAAAATGGAATGGATAGCGGATTGGGCCAACTCTCATGTTGAACATAAATGACCAAAAACTGATCGAGGTGTTTATTGTTTTCTCGTTTGTTTTTGTTCTGTTTGTTTTTGTTGTTGTTATTTATTTTTTATTTAATTTTTTTTTCACCATTCAAAGAATCAATTGATATCATTCTGTTCGAGTTTCAAGTAGATCCTTGTATGAATGTTTCATTCTATATCTAGATTACCCAGAAGTCGTCCCAAAGAAACATGCTACGCATAACTTTTTCAGCCCCCTTTTTAGTCGTCACTGGATATAAGATGAGACACTGCTTCTCGTGTTCGACAGAACCTAAAACAGTTTAGTTTTCCACCACTAATAAGGTCTGTCCATTATCCCAGTGTTCATCACCTTGTTTGAAGGCACACCCTCTCTTTGAAAAGACTGACTGAAGGAAGTTGAAAGGCAAGATTCCTATCAGTTCATATTTGCCAAAGAGCGAAACGCCCAAGTCAAATATCAACGCGAACAGTAATCGAGGGTGAGCCTTTTAATTAATTAATTAATTAATAATAATAATAACATTTATTCATTCGATAAAACACATATCGAGAGTTACAAACGTCTTAAATTATCAGATTAAAAACTGTTGAATGATGCACAACTAAGAACGAAAAAAAAGTAAAAAAGGAAGTAGAATCATATTGCTGGGTTATAATTAAAGTATAGCCTATTTAATTTCAAACAAAGTGCAAGAAAACGTAACCACTAGTCATTTTTAACAGAAAAATGGCTAAAACCTGCTATCTGTGAGCTTAAGGTTAGCGATTATGACAGCCAATCAGCAGGCGACACCTGTGTTATACTGACTTGTATGATTTTAGTTGATTTCAGATTCTGCAACGGCATAATTCCACCCAAAAAATTTTTTCGCAACTCCGTTAAATTCTCCTCTTGCAGTAGCAGTAAAATAAGACATTAATTCCTGCCTTTGTTTGGTACTAAGCCTTGAATCTCTAGTAAACTGCTATACAACGACCGTCTATACTCAAGATAAAAAAGAAATTACAGACCTCAAGGGCGAATGAAGAGATATTGACGAACTTCTTATAAGCTTTATTTTTCCTCCAGGAGACAACCCTAAAATCCCCCCAAAAAAATCAGTTAGAAATGAACCCCTTCAGCTAAGAATATTCAACATGCGACATGCTTTAATAATTCTAATTCACAACAATCTATAAAATCTTGAAATTCCAACTCAAATCCAAAGCATTCCAAGTAAAAAACATAAAAAGTTTGTTATCAAACTTGTCAGTGGAATTCCTTACTAAAAATACGGTGACTATGAAGCTGTTTGAATGGAAAAGCACTTAGATGAGTGAAACAACAAATAGTGCGCATGGGTCGTACAAATATACAACTGACCTAAATCCGACTCTGAGCCCGCGCTGTTTGCTCTCTCAAGTTCAACAACCACCTGTCAAGAGAAAAAGGGTTGACTGACATGTTTCGGAGGCAAATAAAACAGGAAACTCACAACAAAATCAACCGGTATCAATAAAAGAGAATAAACGGGACAGAGAGGAACACACCCAGTGTAGCCGGCCTTGGGATATGTAAATTTCATAAAAATTATTTTTAGACCAACTAAACTCTTGAATTAATCGGAAGTTGGTTTCCGGAGAGGTCCGCAAACTCTAATTCAGTGTTACAATATTCTGCTTTTTTATTTATTATTTTTTTTTTTTTGCTTTGAGGCAGTCGAGCGTGGACTTGATGTCGTTTAAAACAATCGATTAACATTTGCAGACGTCTCTGGAATTAAACTTCCGTTAAATTTTAACCACTAAGAATAACTTGAGTGAAATTCCCACATCCCGACCAACGCCCTAAGATTCCCTCTCTGTCCCATTATTCTCTCTCGGTATTAACATATATGAATTACCCAGAGGTAAATAACGGCGTTTTCTTCTAAAGAGGCTAACTGGAATGACAATCCTAACATATCATCTGCAAACAAAAGGAAAATAAGCAAAAGAGGTTTATGCAAAAATGTCAAACAAGGAATGCGGTCTTCAATACATGACCGAGTTCAAAGTATTTACTGTAATTTCATTAGCTCAACTAGACTGGGTCGGTGCTGTGTCGAACTGCACTGTGGTACTGTTTTAAGGAACGAATAGACCTTGTTTGCGATACCCGCCATATTTACACGCGCTTTAGGACTGATGGGATAAAAGTAATGTCACATGGTATTTAAGGGTGCAAACAAGTGATAAAATTTACCAACACGAGATATCACGAGCAATGATCAGAAAGAAGAAATAGCGTCCCTCAAACAGTCCCATAGAGAAATTTCACGCGACGACGATGCAGTATCTGGTTAGATCTCTGCAATTCCGTAAACTCTGGGCTTATACCACTTCGTAAGGGGTTTGTTTTAGGTGGTCTTATAAACGGCAGGGGCTTATAACCGGACTAAAAAAGGTGTTTCGAAACAAGCTACATAGCAGTGCTGACTTTTTTAATTTGATTGTATTTTTAAGCTTCAACACATTTCAATACGTGCTAAAGAGGGGCTTATAATCAGGAGGCCAGTTCTGAATCATGATTGGCAGAACCCTTAGTTGGCCCAGTGTATCGAGCAATGAAGCTCGACGAAATTGGTGGAATGTTTGATCTTCTTTGGTTGCTTTTTGGCGATTATATCGCTTACTTCAAGTTCAAGCAACCGCTCACCTGACATCATATTTGATCCCCCAGAAGCCCTCGCGCTATAAAAACAAAAATCAAAGTTAGCACTAATCAATTTAATCTTAAGGTAAATAATTTAAGTAAAATTAATCAGAAAACTGGAAAGTGGCAGTTACACCATAGTTAATACAGTGGAATGGTTATGAAGCTGGACAGATTTCTTTGATATATGTTTTTGTTACCTCATTTTGAACTTACTGACCAATACAAACATCGCATTAATTTATTCCGTCACACTTTGTGAACAAAACACAAAGGATTATGCACAGCCAGGCAGCTTTCAACATAAAATGCAGCACCGTCGTTTTCATTTTTGATGTTTGCCCGCTTTCATAATCAGTCTCAATACGAATTGCACACTATGCTGAAATGAGGTCACACGGACAATCTGAGGTCCTGTTTACATGGATGTGGAGTCCCGAGGTAGGTAAGGTAACTCGCTTTGGTGGGGTAACACGCCTGTCCATAATTATAATCTCTCATTTTTATTTGATCACGTTCACATGATAGGTGGGGTGACCCGCCAAGGCGGGTAGACTATTGTTGAGTAAATGGTGTGAAAGTTTAATACTTACAGTGCAGAATGTTTTAAACAGCACCGGATAATGTGTCAAGTCTTACGAAGATTTCCACGATTCTGAAGAGTTCTAAAGTTCTCAAAATCTGAGATTTAGGGGAAAGTGCGATCATCCAAAAGGCTCTAGAAAAGTTTACTTTCTAAACTGATTAGATGTCGCTAACACACAAATCTATTTAGCTGATAATAGCACTTTAACATGATAACATAAATGATTATTGTTTTTAGATTAACAAACGTTTCCTTTATTACCTTGATGCTGCTGAAATTTCTTGCAACATGAGTCTATGGTAAGCAAGAAATTTATTTTGACTTTAACCATAGCGTTTCGTTGTCTTAGATTTTATGTTGAACATACCTTTAGGTTACAAATTTACACTGAATTCACGTGTTAAGGAAAGGTTTTTTTTTTTTTTTTTCACTTTAGGTGCTTTAGAAGGTACATGAACACAGTTATACGACAACAAACCAAACTCGATTTCAGTTGTTTTAACCTCCCTTCTTCTAAAGATCTACCCAAACAGTTGAGCTCAGCGCTAAAAAAAGTACTGAATAAAAGTGACACTAACAACAAGTAACTTAGCAAAACTTTAGATTACAAACTTCCAGTAAATTTACATTGTAGAAAAAGGTTAAAGGTGCTGTTTTCAGTTTAGGTGCTTTAGAGGGTACATGATTACGCGACAACACAACAAACTTGATTTCAATTGTTTTAGCCTCTCTTCTAAAATTCCGCACAACCATTTAAGGTTAGGGTTAAAAAAAATACGCTTTTCAGTTCACGAGAAGCTTAAAGACTGAATTTAAAATTAATTACGTTTAAAATGTTACTTGCTTTAAAAAACACTACTAGCAATGTTATGTACATTAATATATGTGCAATTTAACCAACTGTAAAAACTAGACCTGTAATAGAGATTGTCACTCCGCGCTCCTTGAAAACAATTGCGTGACAAGTGTATCAACTATGTTGTCACATTACTGACTCACCTGTCTCCTGGCATGACGAGTGGTAATAAAGAAACCACTGGGCTTAGGTGACTCTCGTCTTTCTTCAACACACCAGCTGCCAAAATTGGGCAATTACTCAGCAAGCACTCACTCAGTAACCTCCCACGCAGACGTTCTTAGGGGTTCGTCACGCGTTTCTCCCGGGAGGATTGCGTGACGAGCCAAAAGAACGTCTAAGGAGGAGACTTCTCACTAATGGACGCATTAATTTATTCCGGCTTTTGAAACAAATCACTCAAAGTTGTACAGTTGCAGTAACTTTCATTCTTGGTTGTTTACGTCGCTTGCCCTAGCTACCTCGCCTAACCCAATGTAAATTGTTTCAATGGGTGTGCCACTACTAACATGGAAGTTTCTTAGTTCACAAAATCACATTAAACGTTCCATTTCATTATTGATATTCCTTTTTGGCATTTACAACGTTTATTCATGCACGCCATAAGACCTAAAATTGTATAGATGCAAAAAAGATTTCTACTCGTGTGATTAGGATACAACACAGAATTGGACACAACCAAATCTGGGCAGAAATCGAGAAATACGGTTTGTGTACAAAATTGCAAGTAAATTCATCGAGTACAGCAGATAAATTGCATGAGCTCGATGTTACGTCTTTCTAGTATTCAGAGGTAAAACGCCTAAAATAGCGAAGCTGCTAACATACATACATACATACATAAAACTTTATTAATGTGTCTTGGAATGTCTAGCCGATGGGGTTAAGAACCCCTCTACTAATTGGGGACACCTTTATGATGCTTTCGGTTTACTCGTGAGCAGTTATAGACAGAACATTGTGAAATCTCAACCCACCTGTGCTAAATGTAGGGGATCTTAAGATAACGTTGCTGTCACCAGCAGAGATTCTGGACGCGAAATGCATAGAAGAAGGTTCTCGTAAATCCCAAGCCACAAGCGTTCCATCGTCCTGTTATGTTGATACAAATGCAAAAAAAAAATGTTGCCATTGTCTCCTGAGAATCTTTTCTTTAGGATTGACAGATTATTAGGGAAGAGGAAGAACTCGTAATAGATTAAACTATTAATTTTCTCCTCGTGGTGTTATAGAGGCTTGAAAAAACATACGAATGAACGCAAATGAATCAAAAACTGAATTAAAAAAATCTTCATCTCGGCTGTAACTTGGATAATATACCAAACATCAGCTGACGAAACTTACCAATCCTGCAAAAGCTAACGTTGCCTTAGAAGGGCTCAAACAACAGCACATCGGTGTAGACTCGCAGATTAAAATCCTGAGAAAATGAACAGCACATTCCTTGAAAACTGAGTGACTTGGGTGGGCAAATGAGCAATAAGCCTAAGTAATCAACCAATGCTATAACAAAGACCAGTGAAAAATTTACGTCTAGGTATAATACCATTAACTTACTTTCACCTTCATGCATTAGGCTAACTATGGCTTTAATGATAAAGTGCACGCATGTCGCAGTGGTGAGGGCACTCGCCTCCCACCAATGTGGTTCGGGTTCCAATCCCGGTGTCGATGCCGTGTGTGGGTTGCGTCTTTATTGAACAAGCAAAGAGGAGCACGCACGTGAAAGATGGTTTCGCTGCACTGATTGAACGACAATTCTACAACGCAACTCCCTGGCAACATCTCCGATTCCAAAATATCTCACTTTAAAGTCGAGGCTAAGTGCAAAACCTTTCTTGTGATAATGAGTTTATTTGCATAAGAGTAAAGAAATCATTTTCGTATCAATGGCTTCGCACTTAGCCTCGCTTTGAAACAGAGGCTTGGGGCAACTTGGAAATGGCCTATTGCTGAATTGGAGGAGTATAGTGGACTGGAATGTGCTGTCTATCCAGTAATTCAGAATTCTATAACCCTAAGCTTAGTGCGTGCGCACTTACCTCTGAGGTTCTGAGGGTTCATTAGTGTTCCAAAAGCATATCAAACCTTTCTCTTGGACACTGCTATTGATCTTAAACGAGAAAAATATAAGGCACTGAATCAGAAACTCATTCATCATAACCGACAATAATAGAATTGCTCCAGCTTTGCGAAGTAACTTTGACTGTGGCACCAGCATCATCATCATCATAATCAGAATAATAATAACAATAACAAACTTTATTTATATAGCCCTATTTCCAGAAGCTCAATAGCGCTTTACAGAATTCATAAGAAATAAAAATAATAAATAAAAAGCTGACATCGAGAGATGATAAAAAGAATACCTAACGAATTCAATAAGTTACGATAAAAATCCTACTTACAAATTCTAAGCTGCAACCAAAAACTAAATCCCTAAAACTTACGATAACATCTAGAAGATGTATGATTTTATATTCTATAATTTTATAACATTGGCTAAACCTAGTCCCCGTAAGTAAGTTTAAAAAGGTGAGTCTTGATGTTGGTTTTAAACTCCGATAATGAGGCACTTCTGCGAATATACTCATCAAGTCGAATATGCGTGTTATGTGGTTGTGGTTCGTGTTGTGTCTTGCGTGCTTACATCGCCGCTTCAAGACAAGAGGATAAAACTGGAAAACAATGGCTATCGTTTACTGGTGTTGAAACAGCCGTTTTAACACATGCACCAAATAAGATGACTACCGAGGCGGGAAGCTTGAGGCTTTGACGAAAGTGAGTTTATGTGGGGTAACGAACTGTTTCCCCCAGGGGGGGGAGGAGATGGTGAGAGTTCGCTGTCTCAGACCAAACCTCAGGCAGTGGAGGGAGGGGAGGGGAAGTCCAGATCAGTAATCTCACCTTTGAAGTAGCTTTTCCCTTTTCTGTTACAGCACTATACGCAATTAGTAGGAAGTGCGTTTGAACTGGAGATATATGCACACACGTGACTGGTCGGCCTGAAATATAATAAATGGTAAGATAATGTCACAGTAAATACACACAGCCTATTTCTACAGAGGTAAAGACAGTCAAAGCCTTCGTTAAGAGACAGAACTAGGTATCCGTTTCAAAGAAGTGGCCTTGTTAGAAAAGTGGGGTTGGTAATGGCAATGGTTTTGGCGGAGGAGGGATGGAGAACTGGTCAATAATGTTTCCCTGACATGGTGCAAGGCATATTCGAGTACGGTACATATTTATAAATTCCATTTATCAGGAGAGAATTCATTTATCCTGCTACTCTCTCTTTATTTTTTCTTCCGTTTACATATTCAAATTTTTTTTTTAATATCCTCTGCTTGCAATCAGCTAAGCTAGTCGAGGCGGAGGAAGAAAACCATGAGGTACACATTTACCGGATTAAGAGTCCAAATGTTGGCGTCCGTACAGTACTAAAACATGCGCAGACAGAACCGTTCAATACCACAACGATAAAGGACTGGTTAGCCGAGATAGGATGACCGATTTTATTGTTGGTTAGACCATTTTGAAAGACTCTCGGTATTAAAAGTTGGTAAAAGATTAGCGTCATTCTCAGAAACATTTTAGGCGTGTATGCAACAAAGAAAATCCCAAACGATCAGCAACGGACTTCTAAAACCAGAAACAAACAACAGGTTAATTCAGCACAGACCTTCAAGATACAAGTGTTTGGTTGACAGCTGCATGAATCCGTCACTACATGTCATATCCTTTCTTTCTTTAAATTGAGTACTTGTTTGTTCGCTGACGTTTTCTTCAAGTAGAATTAAGCACGTCTGTAAAAGAAACGTACAAACTGCTTAGAACAAGCACCCAATAAATCCCTAATTTGGCTCAGATTGCCGCAATCAATATGAAGTTACATTCCCATGGTCTTATGAAACTCAGAGCTAGTTTGTTCGCTGTTTTAATGAGAAAAATGCTTTTATTTCCAAACTTATCCTGTTTTACTTAGAACTGCTTAAACAAGGAAGGTAAGCTCAGTCGGTAGCGCGCTAGACGAGACAGAAGGTGACGGATATGATCTCCGCGGGCCGGTGCAATAGTCATGGTCTTAAAATTTCACACTTCAGATACTTTAGAGAGAATGGGTGCAAGGGTTAGTTATGAATGGTCGATGGCACTCAAGGCAACCATTAACCAATCATAAGTTACAAGGTACACTTGTCCAGCCAAACGATTCCAAAAATCGTGGCGTCGAAAGCTTGTACCCATATCTTTTATAGTTTTTGGAATGGGAAATTCCTGACAACTATCTTTGACCTGCAAACGATAAGAACTTCACGTGGTTGGGATAAAAACGTAGAAATGGCTGTCCCGTGTCCCGTAGGAGGTGTAAAAGCACACAGTAATTTTTAGAGAGTTATTATAACTCCAAAAATGGAGTAAAAATTTTAGGTACAGGATAACCTCTTTTATGGGGTTACTTTAACTCCTATTTTAACTCCAAATTTGAGGTCACTTTTCCTCCTGAAAAAGAGTTCTTTTTACTCCCTGTCTGGAGTTAACATAACTGCGAAAATGGTGTTAATTTTACTCCTTACATGGGTTGTTTTTACTCTTTTTGGAGTTCCTTTAACTCTGAAAGTGGAGTAAAAATTTTAGTTACAGGATAACTCCTTTTTTGGGGTTATTTTAACTCCTCAATACCTGGGGTGATTTTGACTCCTGAAAAAGAGTTCTTTAAACTCCTCTTTGGAGTTAAAATAACTCCCCAAAAAAATAACTCCACTGTAAGGAGTTAAATTAACCCCATTAGCGGAGCTATTATAACTCCTTCAAAACTACTGTGCGGTGTCTTCTTGTTTAATACACCGACACTTGCGTAGGTAGTAGTTTCGTTTTCGTGGAGAACAGGAAAACTGTTGCTAATCTTTTGTCCACAAACCTGTGCAGCTCTTTGAAGGAATTTTGACAGTCTTAAACTATCAATGTTTGCCTTTTCTGTTAAACTGGACAAATCTTCCCGCAAATCATCCTCATCATCTGACAGGAGACAAAAAAAAGCTTTAATCAATAGACACGGTAACCAAAACAACCATCAGTGATTACAAGATTTCTAGAAAGCGAAAAGCATTGACCCAAGCGCTTTTGACGCAAGGTCTAAAGAAAAAAAGGATCAAAATAAAGTTCATTGCAACCATTTTTTGTTAACCATTTAAAGCAGCAGTAGAGGATAGAGATAGATGCAACCAACGTTTTTACTCAGAGAAGTCGAAAAGAGATTTATGATTGACTTCTTCCAAAATCCAAAGTAGAGGCTTGTTACAGATTGTTTATAGTTTTTTGGACTTTTAAGAATGAATATTTGGCTTTACTTACAAAGGACACTTCTTTTCTTACCTCCAAACCCTGCAGCATCACTGGCAGGATGTTGTGTCCATTTGGTTCTCATCTCTTTTTCCTCAGTTTGTACCTCTTTTTCTAGATTATCTTCATTGCACTGGATATACGCCTGTAACATATATTAAAAATCATTTCCGTTTAGCTAAAATATAGCTCAGTAATGTTTAGTTTTAACAATCCACACATGATTATCTTAAAAAGGCTCGAAACTTGTCCCAAATAGATACATTATATATGTATTTTAACAGGGTAATGGCTTAACTGATTCTTACTGATATTGGATATTCCTAGTAATAACACCAACGCAAAAGTACCCTGCGAGCAGAGGCTACATTTTCGCGGTATGAGCTGGCGTGCGAAAAGTAGCTACTTTTCGCACGCCAGCTCGTATCGCGAAAATGTAGCCTCTGCTCGCAGGGTAGTGCAAAAGCAGAACATAAAGTAAACAAAATAAACGGTTTAACGACAATTCGAAAGGAAATGACCGTGCCTTTTTCAACCCACTTTTCTCACTGCATCGTGATTCCAATATCCACCAACTGCAATTTACCACCAATTAAAAGTTGCCTTGGGAATCTGGTTGCCTCGTTTCAAAGCGTTTAACCCCTTTACTACCTATAGTTGGCGAGAAACCAAAGCTCACTAAAAACCCAAATTTCATTCTCCAGCAACAACAACGAAAAAAACCTTAAAACAAAAGAGGACCAAAGAGGTTTTATTATTATGAACTGTCACGTTAAAACGCATCACGCACAGACGTGCAAGTGAGAATTGTTATTGAAGGCTTCATGTTTCTCTTTGAGAGTAAAAGTTATATACAGTCACCAGTTTGAGACTAAAGAACATCAAGAGGCATCTAGGTTTAAATTAACTTTACCCGGTTTTGAACGCATACAACTGTAGGTACCAATCATTTGCAGGTAAAGTCGCTTATTTACAAACCATACAATTTAATGTCAATTCTAGCTCTCTTTGAGAGTCGTATCTGTTATTACCTGCTTGGTGTCCGATCGCCCAAAGTTTTTAATGTACAGTTCATATTCGTTAAGAGGGGGCAAATCAAATATATCAAACGCAGCAACATCAAGATCAATCAGGTGCATCAACTCCTAAAAAAAACATGGTCATGAAAAAAACGTCAGTAAGTCAGTGGTGGTAGCAATCAAAGATTGAGCCAAGCCTAGAAGCGGACTAAACAATCTTACATCTAGAGCTTACTTATCAGTTGATCAGGGGACAATTCAAAATAAAAAAGTGACCTAGATGAGCCGCGATACGGTCATGTGACAGTTCAAGAGAACTACAACCTGATGGCTTTGAGTTATGAGCCGTGTGAAAAAGCGTCAGAATGGCATCGTGCTCAGCCGCGAAATCTAGTATTGTCAGTATTTTTATTATCATCCGCTAACGGTAAGGTTACCTAGTTTAGATAACCACATGGTATTTTTAAAATATGGGTTATACCAGGTTGCCATTAATGGACATGAATTGTTTTATTTAATTTTATCTTTATTTTATTGGCTTCGCCTATAACATGATACAAAGAGAAAAAGAAAACAAAAGGATAATACACATATACTGAAACAAAGAACAATAAATGCTTTTTTAGGCAGGGATGCCACAACAGCGGTAAGCTAATTACAGTGGTCCCAGAGCCTGAAAAATATGTTTAAAACAATAGTAAAGCTATATATGACGATAAAAAACAACAACGACGACGGATCAGGTGGTTTTCCGGGATCGTAGGTAATACACAAGTCTGATGCAAAGAGCAAAAAAATGGTAATAAGGAAGTTGCCGCAAGCGGCTGCCGCAAACTGCCGCTAATAAGCCCATGGTTATACATCTTCGTAAGGGGTTTTAGGAGAGCTTATAAACGAAGGGGATTCTATCCCAGAGGGGGCTTTTGAAACCATATATCGTAAACTGCCACTTATAAGCGCTGAGCTTATACATCTTCGTGAGGGGTTTTAGGAGAGCTTATAAACAGAGGAGATTATATCCGAGGGGGCTTAGAACTAGAATAGAACAAATGCTTCGAAACAACAGAGCTCGAAAAGACGTTAATTCAAGCCTGTCCTTTACATAATCGCTTTCACCATGGTTACACTAGGATAAAATATACATTGGAACAAAATTACAAGAACAAGCAACGATGGTGCGGGAGCCACAAAAGAGCGAGGCTCCAAATTAAGTGTTCCCTTAAGAAAACATCACAAATACTGACCATGTTACATTAAAACTTAGAAAGAAGTATAAAATCCTCTTTCCAAGTACTATAAAAGCGGCTCACTCCCGCAGCTGTGAAAGTGTAAAAAGATTACGTGACCTGCTGTATTTGCAGCAAATCGACTTCCAGTTGTTAAAGTTAGTGGCGTCATAGTTTGTAAGAAAAGCGAGGAAGTAGCGTTGGAGAAAGTGAGATATAAACTGGTTAAGAAAAGTAAGAGTACAGGTGGATTCAGGTAGAGTATTCCAGAGTTTAGAATGATTACAGTAACTAAATTGAAAAAGCTTTGTGCGACACTTAGGAATTAGTACACCTTGATCAGACCTGTGGCGAGTGAGACGACTGAGTGTCTTAAGGCTTGACATAATCATAATCATAATCATAACCTTTGTGCAAGCAGCTGTCACATTTTGCTTTTACTTGCCCGGGGGCAATTCTCGATCGTCTTAGTTGCTGATTTTTTAATGGGGTCTAAATCAGTGCGGGGCTTACAATCGAATGTAATTTTCATTTAGACGTAGATAGGCCTATAACTGAGGGGGAGAGGGAAGGGAAGCTGATAAGTGGCAGTTCATGTTTTTTTCAAGTTTATCAAAGCAACGATAGTTTTTCACACAAATTAGTATTTTTATATACTCAATCACTGATCGATTGTCGATCTTTTTCACCTGTCCTCTTCTCCTCGTCCGTGAAGCTACTTGATCAGTGATCTGCTTCTGTTTTGCAGCAACAAAGTTTATTCTTCCATGAGAAGAAGTTGATGGTCTTACTTTTGCCTCTACCAAAAGAAAATTGCATGAAATTATTCAATCATTATGATTTTTGAAAGTAATATACAGTGAGAACAAATCTTAGGTCTAAAGTGAAAAAACAAAGATTATCATGTCATACAAAGGGCATGTTCGATTGTCTGTGTTCCGGAACAAAAATAGATCAAAAAGAAAACAACAATACCATCATTCCACCGTATGTAGAGTTCAAGAACTGTTTGTTGTGTTTGCAGATATGGGCCACCGTAGCAAAGTGATGGTTAAACCAATAAAAAGGAAACGTTTCTCATCACCAAGGCAACAACAAGAGCTGCGCCTACAGACTATACCCACCTTTCTGTGATTCTTTGTGATCCTAAAAAAAAACATTTTAAAAGAGTCACGTAAATATGTCTGTTCGAAACAAAACAACAGAGGACAGCAGGTAAGACTATAGCACATGGGAAATTAATTGCGGTCGACAGAACGCTCCCTCCTTCTGTAACACAAAATTTCTTGACTCGTATTAACGCGTTAAACTATGTGATATAGCAGACGAATTGGAATCTTGACGGTGTTTACTACTCGCATTTACGTTTATTACTTTGATGATTTCAGTGACTACCTCTGATTCAAATTAGATAATAATCTGTAAACCCTTATCAAAACCGTGCAGTTACTAAATCCAACCTTTTTATCTTCTTTTCCTTCACTGGATGAAGCCCTTGCATCCTGATTCTCCGCATTTATTGCTTGAAGAAGCTTTTGAAAAAAGTTGAGAGAACGAGAAAGATATATACTAGCCCTCTTTTGACTTAAAAATGAGATAAAAAGCGGCAAATTTGAGGAAAATAAAACGTTCATTAAATTTGAAACACAAAGAAATCTACAGACAACGTTTAAATGACTTTTCCCGTTTTAGATTTGTTGACTGATGCAACACAAACCGACGAACAGAACCTACTGTATTAGGTAGAAGTGTGTCAGACGAGACCAACAATCAAGTGAAAACTGAAAAGTCGGCACTGGAACCTTTCAAAAGACGCATGCCCTAATCCCGTCTCAGTTTGTAATCACATTCTAGACAAATCAAACCTTTGCCTTTTGTGATGAATAATTTGTTTGATAACAGACTGACTGAATTATTACCACTAAAACACAATCATTTACCTCTTGCATTCCAGAGTGATCCTACGAGAAATAAATGTACAGCATAAGTAAAGCTTGAAAGCATCTAACATATCTACTGCAAGAAAGGTTTTCCTCTTTAAAGTATTTTGAGCCGATCACACCCAATACAAAATTGGTAAAAATTAATACCAAAACCTAAACTTCTATGATCCAAACTTAATAATAGAACGCTTTTTTAATACCGTATGATTTGAGTTGCCATAAGATGACTTGTTTCAGTCATTTAATACGATCAAATAATTAATCTGTTTGAAGCGTTGAATTTTTTTTACCTGCAAATCAACACTTGTCTCTTCGTCTTCTTCTTCATCATCTTCAAAGTCTTCATCATAATCCTAAAAACAGGTTCTTATTAGCACATTTGAAACTCGCCGCGATGTGCTCATGTTAGCTACGACTAAATAAAAAAGGTAACATAAATAGCGTAAAGATCTGACTGACAAATGCCCGTTAAATTAAGAGGGACATAAAAATAACCGCTTAAAACTTTAAAGGAAGGTTAAAATAACATAACAGAAACAACACATGCCACGGATAGGCAAAACTGAAGAAGACTGAAACGGATTGAAATTAGGGTTTTTTAAAACCGTTCAGCATGACAGTTTTTCAAAGTTGATCCCTGCTGCTTGCAAATTCAAAAATAATGCTCAGGAGACATATTTGTTTGTCTCGGATCTCTGATTTTGTCATTTACCTGTAATTTCTTTGCTTACTTTAATTTCCATAGCGATTGAGGGCGGGTAATTGGCAAAACTAAACAAAATGAACTGGACTGCCGTGACACAGCCCCTTTAAGTAAACATGTCACTGAGATATCAAGCTGAGGTTCAGTCAAATGTTCACACAAAAGAAATGTCATAAGTTTCTTCATAAACTGGATGACCACTGTTTCAGGTTTTGTTACAGATTGAAGCGGAGTATTCCAAAGTGTCGTGGCGGAAAGAGAGATAGTTCTTTGACCACAGGTGGCTGTTATGGCAGAAGGAACTTGTAAAAGTAGGCGATGGAAAGAGATAAGAGAACGAACTTAGGAAACGTTAGGTTAAAGGAGCGTTTGTCCATTCAGAATTTTATAGGTTAAAAGTAAAATCTTCAGGAAATGATGCGAGATCAGGAAGCTAGTGTAGGTGAGGTTCAGAAATGTTCTTTTCGACTTGTTCCTAAAGCTAGATGTGCCACGATGCAACGAAAGTATTTACAATAAACTGTACGTTAAATATTACTGTACTTCAGTAGTAGTAGACTAGGGTCAAAGATAAGCCTCGTTAGTGGGTTCCCCTTGAGTTCCGTGTGGGTTCCCTCGCAAAAAGTGGGTTCCCTTTATTAATATGCATATGGTCTAGTCAATGACGTCACTCTACTACAATAGGAACAATAGGCTTGCCTAGACTTGCCCGTCAAGTAACTTGAGCCCGGTTTTCGGACCGTCTATTAAGGTGACTCGACCCAGTTTTTGGGGGGGGTACGATCCTACTTTGAAGCTCCCTGGTATCCCCACCTTTACTTTTATCGTAAGTCTAACACATAGAATGGATAACATATAGATCAATCTACAATATAACATAAAATTTTTGGCGATCGGAGTAAATGCCAATGTCGGGAAATAATAGAAATGTGGCGGTGGTGGTGGTGAAGGGAAATAATAGAAATGTGGTGGTGGTGGTGGTGGTGGAGGGAAAATAATAAAAATTGTGGAGGAGGGAATAAAAAAATTGAGGAGGGAAAATAATAAAATTGTGGAGGAGGGAATAAAAAAATTGAGGAGGGAAAATAATAAAATTGTGGAGGAGGGAATCAAAACATTGAGGAGGGAAATAAAATTGCAAAGGGAGAGGGGTAAGTAAAACATTGTGCGCAATGTAAAAAAAAGGATGGCTACCTTTCTTTGACTATTTTAATAGATTTCTTTCAAATCAATGTGTATTTGACTCTTTTTGTTTTAAACGGTATCTCTCGTCTGATTTTATTGCTAGCAATTATTAGTCGCGTGTTTAATCAATTGATCCTTGTTAAGTTATTTGTTTTATAATAATACGTCAATATGCTCCCTTGAGGTTTTTCCTGTAGAGCTAATTTGTATTCAACTTTAGGCTTGTGAACTCGCAAAATTAACTGACTCACGGTGCGTGAAACGTTGAGACTTCAATAGTTTTTCATTTCCTCGAGTTAAAACGGAGAAAACAGTTCTGTAATAGTCAGACAAACTTGAAATAAAGCGTTTTCAGCTCTATTTTGTGTATGTTTTGTTTATATATATCCGAGTTTTAGAGCTAAAAAAGAAGACATAAACTAAATTGAAATAAAGACTTTTCAACTCTACTTTCTGTATGTTTTGTTTATATATCCGAGTTTTAGCGCTAAATAAGATATAGGAAGCCGTTTCTCGCGTTGCTAGGTGATCGCTTCTCTTATTCCTATTTTCCCGTTTAATAGACGGTCCGAAAACCGGGCACAAGTTACTTAACGGGCAAGTCTAGGCAAGCCTATTGTTCCTATTGAAGTAGAGTGACGTCATTGACTAGACCATATGCATATTAATAAAGGGAACCCACTTTTTGCAAGGGAACCCACACGGAACTCAAGGGGAACCCACTAACGAGGCTTATCTTTGACCCTAGTCTACTACTTTCAGTTGGAACAAATTTTACCGTATCCTACTTATTGACCTTATTACCAAGATAGCCCTTTGGCAAATATCGTTAACGTGCCTGTCGTAAGTTGAACTAGGTTTCTTCTTCAGTACCACACTTCATTGGACAGTGCTATTGTTGTGTCACTGAATGAAAAAGTGACCGGGAACAAGATTGCGAAAAAAGGAAGTGAATTGGATAACTTTGGTTTTTTCAGGGTACATAAGAGCATGTTCTGATTGTTCCAATTAATAACCTCAACGATACAAACCCGCAAAGTGTTTTATTTGACCTTTCACGGTGTACCCAACGTTTTCTTTGTTATGTTCCTAGGTGGCATCAACACTGAGCAACTCATTCTGTGATCTTTACATAATGTATGTCTGGAAACGTTGATTAAGGGCCAGGAGGTGGGGGAGCCCAGGTACTTGTACGTGAGGTAACCCGCTTAGGTGGGGTAACCCGCCTGTCCAAATAATCTCTTGTATGGTCACCCCACCTATCGTGTAAACGTGATCAAATTAAAATGAGAGATTATATGGACAGACGGGTTACCTCACCAAAGCGGGTTACCTCACCTACCTGGAGTCCCCCACCTCCATGTAAACAGGTCCTAAATCCGTGATGTATTAAGGCGCCTGCCCGTGGACATATAAACGGAGACACGGTAAAAAAATATGATTAGACACATTTAGGAGAAGACTAGTTAGTACCTCAAACTCGTCGTCCTCATAACCATATCCATTATTCTCTTCATCATGGACTTCATCAGCAGCAGCAACAACAGATGCCTTTGGTAATGAAGCCTTTCTTTTTTGTTCAACATCTTCATCAACAGTATCCTTTAGTAAAACAGACAGGTAGTTACAAGATGGCAGTCACAGTAACGTTTGTAAAAGGAGATCGACCAAAAAAAGGGTTATCATAACTTTTGGTACTTAGCAGTTCTTCAGTCTGGTCTTAATGAGGCTTTAACTCTACGTGAATGTGTATAATGTACTTAGTATTGCATCCTCGTTTAATTTTTTTTACTTTTAATTCTGTAAAATGACACTTTTCATTGCTGCAATCCATCTTTTCAAACTCACCCAAATCACATTTATTTTCTTTTGTTTTTTTAATTTTGAAAGAAAGAAAACAATTGTTAGAAATCTAAGTTCTATTTTATTATTAAGTTGTACAGATTGCCATATGAAAAGTTGAGCGGCACATATTGAACATCTACGATGGTTTCTTATACTGGGCAATCACCTCACCAAGTTTTACTGTATATCAACTTAAAATCTGTTTGACTTACTGCTTCTTCTATAGTATCTGATCTAAATTTCAAACGTTCTTTCCTCGATTTCTGTTGAGGGTAAAAAAACAAACATTTATTATACCTGAGGTCGGACATAATGACAGGATAAATCAAAGAGTAGAGACTATCATTAATTTTGTAGCTAAAGATTTGAATAGTAATTGCAGTAAAGAAATAAAGACCCAACACGACGTATGTCGAACAAATTTCCTGATCTGTTCTGCTAACGGTGACCAAATCAGACAAACTTATTTGCATGCTTGTGATACTGACATCACTAACACCACTAATTAACCGAACTTAGCTTCAATGTGGCATGCATACACCTGCAGTGTAACAGACGTAACTTAAACGACAGTAAGAAGTCAAGTTATGCCTGAGAAATAACAAGAATGATACAAAACTTTCCTTTTCTCAAAAATTGCCCTTATTATAATGGATATAGCTTTTGCTCTGTGCGGGTATGTAAATGGTTTTATGTCATAATTTTGTGGCGTCTATTATGCTTCTTTCATTCTCTGTGTCGGACATTTCAAAGTTAAGTCATTATTCAACCATCCCAGCAATGTATGATCGGGAGTAAATATTAAAGTTAATTCTATTAATTTTTTCCTTTCTCTGGTACACAATCGTGCACTAATTTCCTCAATTACTATAATATTGTTGTCTAGACTACTGAGGTATTTTGTATTAAGGTTATAACAGTACATACATCACTATTGATACAAATTCAGCATTTGACGGTACAGTTAAATTTTTACACGAAAGGAAAGCTCAACAAGAAAGGTCAACAATCTCCAATACTCTCAGGTTCCTTAGGGTAATTAAACACGTACTGCCAGAGACCTAATATATAGACATGAGTCTGAAAAAATAAACACTAATATTAATACCTCCTCTTGTTTGAGAGAATCCATCAATTCTCTTTCTCTTCTTTTTATTCTTTCTTCTTTATCTCTTTCCTCAGATCTCTAAAGCAATTTTAGGTAAAAAATTATATAGCGTTATACTATTTAATGGTAACTGTATCAGATACTTTTTTACAATATGAAATGGTTCACGATTTTTCTAAAATGCTAGTCAGTGATCGGATACCACAATTGGCATATGGTAAATGAAAATGTAGAGCTGGTGACAGGTGTTCAGTCCACTGGATGAAACACTAATCAGAGAATAACGCAATTGGTTTCCATAACACTTTTCCACTAGACAGTGACTTAGCCGGTGGAGAGAATATTTCCAAAGTCACAGATACACACACTGTAGTGGCATTTTAAGCCTTAGCTTGTACGATGTACACAAAAACCAGTAAAAATATGTACACTGTACTAATTAAATGTACCTCTGCTTTTGACCTCCTCTCTGAGTCCTTGGAATGTCTTTCACTTTTCCGCCTCTCATCTTTGTCAGGTACTTTATCGCCTTTTTCCAGCCTATCTCTGTCCCTCTCTTTACGTCTCTCCCTGTCTTTTTCCCGTTCCCTGTCTTTCTCTCGATCCCTGTCTTTCTCTCGATCTCTGTCTTTTCTCCGCTCTCTGTCGTTATCTCCATCATGATCCTTTGTTCTCTCTTTGCCTCTATCCCTGTCTTCTCGTTCTCTATCTTTTCTTCTGTCCCGACTGGTGTCCCTATCCTTGCCGCTTACTCGTTCTTTCTCCCTTCTTCTGTCTGGACTAGTGTCTCTAACTTTGCCTTCTCGTTCTCTATCCTTTCTTCTCTCCCGGCTGGTATCTCTATCTTTACGTCGTTCATGCCCATCTGCTTCTCCTTTCTTTTCCTGTTCTTTTTCTTTTCTTCGTTCCCTGTCTCTGTCCCCGCTACTCTTTTCTTTCCTCCTGTCTCGATCACCATCCCTCTCTTTACTCCTATCCCTTTCACTGCGTCTTTCCCGTCGTTCATGTCCACTGCCATCTTTGGTTTTTTCCGGGTCACGCATTCTCCTATCCCTGTCACGTTCTTGGTCATCATCGTCCCTATCCTTCCGTCTTTCTCTATCTTTTGATCTTTCCGAATCTTTGCTTCTTTCTCTGCCTTCCTTTTCCCGTCTTTTGTCCTTGTCATGATCTCGATCTCTTTCTCTTGGCCTTTCCTTATCTCTTTCATCATCTCTTTTCCTTCTTTCTCGTTCCCTGTCTTTCTCTCGATCTCTTTCCCTGTCTCTTCGCCTATGATCCGTCTCTCCATTGGCTACGTCATCATGACCCCTTCTCTTGCGATCATCATCTCTTTCCTGTAAAATATTTCAAATAATTATTAATTCACAAAATTATAACTGAATTTCGCCAGTTTTGGATTGCATTTGTTGCATTATTACATTGTTTCGATATTAATATGTAACTGTGGTTCAATAAAGGTAGATTACTAACATTAATTAACCAGTTTTCTCCATTACTTTGGTACTTTCTTTTCAAAGGGAGGTACACCTTTTAACCTGAAGCTACAACGTTTTACTGAGACCGCTTTCCAAAAGACAGAACTGGCCGGCCAGATCAGTCATCTTGCAAATAAAAATTAATATTTCAGGAAATTTTTACCTGTTAAACCCCATCCCCGCCGTGCATACTTTTAAGGAATCAACTGATCTGGCTGGATAGCCCAGATTACAGCGGAACCTCGATGTAACGAACCTCTATATAACAACGTCCTCGATACAACGAGCGATTTTCTTTACCCCAGTAATAGTAAAATATATGAAAAAGAACGTCGATATAACGAAACCTCGTTAGAGCGAACAAATTTTGGCAGTCCTTTGGCCCTTCGTTATATCGAGGGTCCACTGTTATTGTAGAATTCCTCTTACAACTTGACTGGTCTGGCCAACCATGAAGTTCTGACAAGTGGTAAGTGCCCCGACTAAGATAGACCTGATCACGTGTTCATCTGTCCTGGACTCTTAGTTTTTGGAAAAGAGTGATTTTAGTTGAAAGTTGTTTTGGTGTTCGCTGGGACGCTGGAAACCTTCTCTATGATAAGGTGATCACTAAATGAAAAGACGGATTTTTTACACTGTTTACTTAAGCAAAAGACCACACTTTCTATGGGTTTACCGGCGTAATAACCTACGCGGGATGTTGGGAGAACACGAGAAAAGCTTGTAAATCAGGAGCCGAAGGCGAGTGATTTACGAGTGTTCTCCCAACATCCCAAGTAGGTTATCACGCCGGTAAACCCATAGAAAATTTGATCTATTGCTTTCACAAAATAACTTTAAGTAAAACGGAAAGTGTTTCAGTTTTCTATGAGTTTACTGGCACAATAAACCATAGATTTTTAACCAAACAGAACGCGCGGCACTATCTTAGTTATTTTATAAAGTACATTAAAAGTCCTTCAAGCTGGGGGTTGGGGTGAGGGCTAATAGCCCTCTCCTGTATAACCCTGTCATTACAGAAACCACAAGCAGAAAAAATTCACTTTATCAAGGGAACACTGTGGCCGGTCCTCACAATAGGGGCGATTCTATGATGCGTGGGGGGTCAAAGGCAACAGGACACCACCGAACTGCATAGGCAACCGATACACCCCAAAAATATCAGGAAGATCAGAAACTGGAATGTACATACACTGTACAGAAGTGGTAACATTGCGCAGGTAGCGAGAAAAATGACCGTTAGAAACATACACATCATGAGTGCCAAAGACCACGCGGAGCAAAACGGTTGAAAAGGAAAGAGCAAAAGCAGGATGGCAATCATGTGAGGAAGTGAAGACCACTGCGGCTCAGCGAGAAAAATGGAAGGACTCTTTGGAGGCCTTATATGCCACGAGGCATGTCAGAGAATCGTTGAGGTGACGTGAGTACATTAATACATGTACATGTAAATAACCAAGCCATGAGTAAGTAACCACTAACCACTATAATTATTTGAGGTAATTCTCTTGTTTTGCACAATGCTACATGAAAGGTGATTGGAAAACTTTCCATTTTAACACATTTTTTGCAAGATCGTGGAATTTGAAGTCACTTTACTGAAAAATTATAGATAGCTAGAGATAGGTAAATACTTTATTAAGACATCTTCGGCAGCCAAAAGGACGGATGCAGCGGCGTTAGATGTACATGTAATACAGTCTGCAAAGTTTCGCTGGTATCTTCCAGCCCAGACAAACAAACCGACTCTAGGTTTTAGTAAGACTCATAGTTTTTGCAAAATAATATTAATTTTTAGCGGTTATTTTGTGCACAACTAGAAAAAAGAACAGTTACTTAGAATTACAGGCTCCCAGCGCGAAAACAAGGAAAGTGACTCCACCTTTTTATAATTGTAGTTTTTCAAAGTCCTACATGTGTAATGGTTATCAATAAAAAAATTGTGCCAAGTTTGAAAAAAAACTCTGAGAGTACAGTGTATGTCCTCTTCAAGGGAATTACTGTAACTTACATGTAACTTAAAGGATTGATGCAAAAAATGGAGGGGAAAGACATGCAAGCCTTCAGGAAACAAAGATATCCAAATATTACCCATAAACAACACACTACCTTCTGTTCTCTCTTCTCTGCATCAGACCTTTGACTTGAACGCTCTTTTGATGATCTCTTACCCTGTTCATCTTTTGATCGTTTCTTATCGTCTGGCTGCAATTGGGAGATAATAATGGACATGCATCTCATGCATCTAAAACAACTGGAATAGGCTAAAACATTACGGGTCATCAGCAACCAAGCAAAATAAACAAAAGCCACGCCTCTTGAGTTGCAATTTGTGATTTAATCGAAAAATCCAAATATTATATACATGTAATCATATATAACATCAGGGCTCAGAAAATCTGCTTATCCAACTCCATGGGCTAGCAAAGATTCTCATGATTTATGACTACTGCTAAACACCACAACAGACTAAGAAGCTTGTTTTGAGAACAGGCAGGTAATTATAATTGTAATTATTCCTTATATACATGTACATGAACATAAAGCACCAGAAATATCCAACCAGGGGTACAATTATCCGATACACTAACTATGGTTCATAATAAATGATTAAGGATCAAAATGAAAAGAATAACACTGTTACAAACAACCAAACATTTAAATCAGAAACTGCCTTACAAACTTGTAGGTGTGTTGGGAGGTGGAAAAAATACCTACATTCTGTAAATAAAAAAAAAATTAAAGGAACAAGTCATTTTACATCAGAGCAAGGTCTGGAGCAATTTTATAATGCTTCTAAAACTGAAAAGTACTGTCTCTACAGCCTCATTGGCAATTGACTTTTGTTTTATCAATAAGCAAACCCCGCAATTACTTGCCCTGAAAATTCAAACTGGTAGCTCGTTCTACCTCAGCGCAATTTATTTTCGAAATTCCGCAAAAAACTATTTACATGTACGATTTTTAGCTACAGACTTCTGCTCCGACGCTTTGCCTGAAATTTCTGAGGCACATTTATTATGTCACTAAAAGCCAAAACTGGAAATTTCAGTCCAAAATATGATCAAAATTATCTACTACATGCAATTTTTTTAAAGAGTAGGGTCATTTTAAGTGCTAATTTTGCAAAACATACATGTATTTACCAGCAATAAAATCAGAATATTTCATATTATTGCTGAATGATATCTGTTGTTCTTTGCAAAGTTTCAGAGCCATCAAAGTTTGTCATAGCTCAATATGCCTGTATTAATGACGAAGCCACCTGAGGGTGGCTCAGTGGCCAAGTATGTTTTTAGCGACACCTTCCATCTTTCAATCTTCATTGTAAAACCATTATAACACATGACCTACAATATATTACGCATAGACTAAACTTTAAAATGAGATACATTTTTGGGCAAATATACGTCACAATAGTTTAAGCTCTAAATCGAATTTTAGCCCTTTCGCATTTTCTTTGGAAATGCTTTACACAACATATACTTTAGGTGCTTGTCTTCTGTTGTGCAAAGTTGAACACAAAAATCTAAAAGAGGAATTTCAAGATACAGTGTATCTTGAAATTCATTTTTTACAAAAAGGGTACATTTGTGTCAATTATACATGAACTGAAGATTGGACTTAATGCAGACAAATTTGCTTCTTTTTGGATGTTTCCGAAAAGTTTTTATCGGTCATTCATTTTGCAAAAAAATGACCCTACGACTGGCTAAATGCAAGTAGACTTGCACAACTTTGAAAAACTTGAAAACATGTGAATCAGAATAAAACATAATGCTGAGCTCTTTTTAACAATTTCTACAGCCACTTTCACAAAAACAGTGCTGCAATTGGCCAGTGTTCTATAAAAAAATGTCAGAATTTCATATCCATTGAAAACTTTTTGCATTGTCTAATGTGGCACCAGTGATTTGTATAAAAAATCAAATTTGATTTCAGTTGAATTTCATATTCATTTTACTCTGGGATAATACTTTTGCAATCAGAGAGTTTGGGTCTAGAATAGGGTATCATTTTTCAGAAAACTGATCAGTTGGTTGAAGATTTTATCTAGACTAGGGAAACAGCTGCTCTACATGTAGGATACGCGGGATTTGGGGAGTTTACTCTAGCATAGGGTAGCAAAATGTAACTCTGGTATAGGTTAAGGGTTCCAGGGTCCCAGCGGCACATCCCCACCCAAAACTTCCTAAAGTACCCCCCACCCCCACCCCCCGGGTTGATTCCCAATTTCCTTTGTTTCCTAGCCCTAATTCATGAATAATTAGGGCTAAGAGACAAAGTAAATTGAAAATCACCTAGGTTAAAATAATGTAACCTGAAATCAAATTTGACCTCTACCATACGCCTATGTACATGCAGATCTGGTTAAGTTTTTGCTCTGACATTTCCTATTATTTCGAGTTTAGCACAACATCAAATACCCATGCAGCAGGCAGCAATTTACCACACTTAGTTGCCCTCCACAATCTGCTCACTATTGTTTCCTCCCTTTCTACAACATAACCATATTTCAATGAGAGTTTAAAGGGGTGTACTTGTAGGTTGCACCCTCATTGTTTCTCACTTTGACAGTTTTTGGTTACATATGAAGCATTTTTTTTAACTAAGTGTTTTCTTTAGTTAAAAGATCCTTCCACAATTTTTTCAACTTTTGACATGGACCAATTGGTTGGACTGAAGAGCACCTTAAAATTAGTAAAATTTCCAAATTTGAAAGTTATACGCCTTAAGCAAGCAAAGATATAGCTCCCCAAAGTTGCAAAAACTTACAGACATTGATATGGTGCGGACCCCACCATACAAACATCTGTAAAATTTTACTTCTTTGAGGAGCTATATCTTTGGTACTTTTCAACAAATCCCTTTCAAACTTGGCAACTGTACTAATGTTAAGGTGCTCTTTCCAGTAGTGCTGACGGATTTCCCCTTACCTGTCCATGTCAAAAGTTGAAAAAAACACGTGGAAGGGTTTGTTATCAGGTATAATAACAGAGAAAATTAGACGGATCATTTTACATTCCTGTGAAACTGCCCACCTACAACTGTTCCCCTCCCCTAAACCAACATTAACACTACCTTAGTTCTTACTTAGGGCAAAATGTTGGCTTAGGGGAAGGTTAGGTGGGCAGTTTCCCAGAAACGAAAAATAATCCAATTAGACTTTGCTCAGTCTCATTTAAATTGTCTAGTTTAATCACATCGTGTGAATTCATCTTTTTTAACTACATTTACATCATATCCTTACCTTTAACACCTTTTTGAGGTCAGATTCCTTCCACGTGTCCTCCTTACGATCCTAAAAAAAATAAGGCAAAGATAATAAAAATTCATACAATTTTCAGTAGAAATGTATCACTGCAACTTTGGCAAAATTTGTATTATTATACAGTCAACTGTCTCATAAGCCACCACCCTTGGTGTACAAAAAAGTGGTCGCTATGTGAGAAGTGGTTGCTATGAAAGAGTTGACTGTAGCTGCACCTTTTATAAATTCTAGGCTCAAATCTAAGATGCAGCTTAACTACAAGACAATCTCCTTGGGTTTTCTGTACACGTAACATTAATTGTTGAGTGTGAGGTAAAAAAAATGACTAATAACAGTCATAATAAACTAAGTCAGGATGGAGGAGTGTGAGAGCATTGACCTTCCACCAAAACCAAGTGTCGACGCCATTATGTGGGTTGAATTTGTTGTTGGTTCTCTGCTTTGCTCCGAGAGGTTTTTCTCCGGGTACTCTGGTTTTCCCCTCTCCTTAAAAACCAACACTTCCAAATTCCAATTCGATCTGGAACACACAGATACAAAAAAGTCCCAAGTGCTCCATGGGTAAACAAATTACAATATTTTCCTTCAAAATTTTTAAAAATTAATTAAAATTTGTTGGTTTCTTTATGTTGTAATCTGAAAACTTGTTCACCAGTTATTTTTTTGAGTGACAGAGTTTTATCTTTCTTAGCTACAGACAGCTTAACTCTAACTGACATCAAATCTCTATTTCCTCCCCAAAGTTGCGCAGTTATGGTTGTGGTTGTTCACTGCATCTTTCCACCACATGTGAGAAACTAAATATCACGCTCCTCCAGACAAATGACTAACCAATTATATTTCATGCTTTGCATGAGTTTAAGGTCACATTCAGATGCTGAATCAACTACATTATTTTGTAGGAATGCTTATTACAATTTGGAACAGCTCAGCCATTCTTCCTATCTAGCCCAGCCAGGAATTTTGCCTTTGGAGCAAGTTTCAAACAACTTTGATTTTGACTAGGTTGACAGCTTATGAAAAGTTCAGCATACTAATCGATGGGATTGATCTCCTACTGGAAGCTTCCAAAAATCTCAATAACATCAGTGAAGTCAGTTATTTTTAAATTTTCCAAAACATTATTGGTGAGTTCCTGATGACCAGTAAACACCTTTAAACAACTACTTGGTTACAAAGCAATTGCTTCCTTACAAAGTAGTATTAAACCATTTCGTATGACTAGCTCTGACATTATCCTCCTATTTCTGCACAAATTAATGCTACCTTTTTCAATGTACTAATCTACAACCTTTAGCAATAAAGACAACAATTGGATTTAATAGTCAGAAGTTTCAAAGAGGTGATTTCAGAGATGATTAATGTAAAACTTGCTGTAAATACATAGCAAAATGAACCTTATCATGAACGATACAAAATAGGTAAACCTTAGCTTACATGTAGATTTTTAAAGATTCTTGTTATTTTTTTATTTTGACAATTACTGCTGAATACAGAGAAGTTTGTGGCTTACAAACACAAGTTTGGAAACTGTACATTTAATTATTAAAGTCTGCTGAGGATGAAAAACAATGACAGAGACACTGTTGTACAGTTGATGTTTTGAGGTCTGGTTGACTCACTCTTTCCAAGACGCTGTTCCATTGCTTTTGTCAGATATAGGCACACGTTATTACAAGTGTAAGTTTTTTAAAAATTACAAGTGTGAGCATTTTACTTTAAAATGCTTTGCATCACAAATCTTAACTGTTGTTTTACAAAGTTTTTAATCAACTGGACCACAATGCAATACATCTGGAAACAAAACTTAAGCATATACAACAACAAGACAAATTAGTTGAGACAACTGGCCTCAAAAGGCCTTTGTGACATTTAATGCTGACTGCAAAAGTGGAAATACCCTCCCCCCAGCTGGGGGTACTCCAGATTTTTTGGGTTTGAAATTTTCAATTTGGGGATTTTTTGGGGTAGGTAAATTTTGGCAAGTATTTTTTGGGGTAGCTTGGTTTATACTTTAAGTAGGGGTTTTGGGGGTATTCATAACAATCTGAAGATTATGATGGTTCCCACGTATACCAGCCACGCAGTGCCATGAATAAAGTAAAACCAAACTAGCTCTGTGCCTGTCTCTGCTTTCTGGAAATTTCTACAGCTTGGAAATTCAGTATGGAATTTTTGGGGGTTAAATTTTGGTCCAGGGATTCTTTTTGGTTTTGATTTTTGCCTCCAATCGATCATCCCTGCCACTTGAAATCCAGAGTACGCCCCTGGGTCCCTCCCTCACCCTCTCCAAGCAATGCTGTGCTGCTGTGCTGCTGTACTGTATGAGCTACAAGTAAGCTATACAGTAACAAACACCACAACATTGAATGGTGGGAAGAGGGGAGGAGAGCAGACTGCTTTTTCCCTCAAGAACCCCATTTGAAGACAGTGTGTCAACATTTTGTCAGCGATTGCAGCCTGCTAAAATTATCTCCACCACAAAGGTTTGAATGTCAAAATGTTTTCCATGAACACAGACTGAGGCAAAGACAAATGCAAATCACATTTTTTCGACGTGTTTTAGTGGAAAATAAAGATCTTAGAGAACATGACATAGGTTTTATACATGAAGCAAGTATGAAATGACTCTTTTCGCTTGACCCAGATGATCATTAACCTGAAAATAACAATTTATCATGCACGATATTTACAGCTGCACTCCTTTTTACAACCAATGATACCCGTAAATCTTCCAGGTAGTAAGACAAAAATTTTTATAAAGAAATTTCGAATATATAGAGACTAATAAAAAATCAGAAATGAAGAAACTGCAATGTCATTCTAATGGCAAATTAAGCTTTTTATAAGTTTAAATTTCTCGATCCATTTTCGTGACACAGCAACATAGCAACGAAACAGCAGGAAACTGCGAACACAAAGAAGCTATCTTACCTTCCCAGATGGCATTCTTTGATCATCTCTGTCTATATTCTAAGAAAGTGCAGAAAGAACCAGATAAATTGACAGAACTAGCGGCTAAACTCGGCCTATGCAAGCTGTATTGTTGCTAAGTACACTGTCCCAACCTCGTCCCCAGGGTCTTCTCGCTTTCCAATATGGCGGCGGCGGGAGAGAAGACCCTGGCACACAGCAGAAATCACGTGACTGATTTGTCCACGGAGAGTGGAAATTTATTCAAAATGGCGGCCAAGATAAAGAGTGAGAGGATCTGGGTACGAGGTCTTGAGACTGGTGAAAAACAAACAAAATGGCGGCAAAGGCAAAACTCAAAAGAAGCTAAAAATATGAAAGAATACACTTACAAGCCACAGGAATACGGTAGAATGATATAGCGATCTTATTTTCTGTTCAATGACCTTCATTTGTTTTAAGCCTGAAAGTTCTAGCGCACACGGCTGTCTACAACTTAATTTCTCGATACCGACCTTTTTTCACCGTTTTCTTTTTTTGTCGTACCCTGAGCGCGCAGAGGTTCAGGTTTCTTCTTTCGTGAAAGGGGGAGCTTTTTCTAACCGTGAGCACAATTTTTTTCTTCATGTAAGGAATTTCGAGAACAGACCTCTGAAGCCAGGGAATTTTTTGTCATGACGTGACGCTCTAAGACCTCTTCCGCTCCGAAATTCAACTAAGCATTAAATTGAGTCGCACACACTTTAAGCTGATAAGTTATCGTCAGTTTTGTTACAGATCTTCATGAGGTTTTTGACTATTGTTTTTCTATCTGCACAAATTTTAACTGAACTCTGATATGTAAAAAAACAATTTTTTTTTCCTGAAAACAAGAACCAGAGAACACTATTTTGTTAATATAATTTGAGGAAACTTTGGTTGAAAATTAAACAGTTCCTTGGTCAGTTTGGATATTTTGTCACTTGAACTGGTACAGGTAATAAAATTATTGTTAATCTTCATCTACTTCACAGTTTTTAGACTTTGTTATTGGCTTTTGATATCTAACCCCGTTCACAGTGCTTCCGGGCAATAGAGATAGGGGCCTTATTTAATCTAGCAAAGACGGTGGTATTAGTTCCCCACCAAAAAAAATGCCAAGTGAAAAAGCCCAAGTACAAGAAGGTTGGAGGTCAAGCAGCCGAGGATCAAAAACAAATCCGAACTTCCAGTTGGTGAATAAATCATCCTGGATCGGTCCACAGAAAGCTTTACAGTTTTCATTGATTTATACAGTCTCTTATTTATTAGTGAAGAATAAGAAAATAATAATAACTGTTTATTCACGAATCCAAATCGGAAAGTGAAAAGGAGATAAAAGAGGTTATCCCTTTCTAGTTTAAGGTGGGATGGGGGTTAAAAAAGACGGGGGCTTATTGTTAAAACTTTCTTTCACTGAAAAGGAGGGCTTATTTGAGAGAGGGGGCCTTAATAGAGGATTTAAGATGTTGTTATTATTGTTTTTTTTTTTGCCTCTCAGATGTAAAAAAAGCATTAACCCCGCTTTAATAGCTAGCAAAAGGTGAAGAGTGTTTCCATTGTTTGTAATATAGCAATCCAAAATGTATTCTCCACTTTGAAATAGATTTGATTTTCAGAGCAAAAACTTCCTTAATCCCTGACTTTGGTTTATTTGACATATTACTTGGGGCTGCACTTTGCCATGTCAATGTGCAAATTGACTAAAGGCTAGACTCCAGTTCAAAAATTTGATAGTCCTATCTGAGTCATGTGCACAGTAAAAGTTCCTGTCTCATTTGGAGATAATAGATGTTTTAAGTCAAACACGCTTTGCTCGTCAGATGGGCCCTTTCGTACTCTAATTGAGACATGACTTGGTAGCGGTGTGCTGATTATCAATCATAATCTATAAAGCATCAGAAACCTAAAGCAAAGTGAGTATTGCTTATACAAAATTAATGTTCAGTTGATTGTTGTGGAAAATTCACAAAAACATTGTTGACAAATAAGGACATTAATACACCTGTGTTGTCTTTTTGATGGGCTCTTAATGTAGTTTATATGTTGTTTAGTTGGTTTAACTATGTGACAGATAAGCCTCTGCTTGCAGGGTAGGTTTTTTGTTTTGTTCACTTACAAAATTATTTTCAGTGTTGAAAGTGGCACACAGGGGGCACAAAACTATAATCTACTATAATCGATTATCAGTTTAATAGTTGGGTTAATCTGATTATTTCTGACGATATGATTATAATACAGACACTATTACTAAGACTAACCAACACCTTAAAGTAGACTTTGAAAGTATTTAAGCCAGCACATCTAACAGCTGCAACCTCACACCGCAACACCTAAACAAGATAAAAGCCTTGCCTTGTCCCTGTGTGGCATTTTCCCAGGCCTTAATTCTTGGTCAATTCATTTCGGTGACTTATCTTAGGCAAACTGGAGGGAAACTGTTTCACTATTTCGCTTGGGACCACGTGACCTAAAACTCATTGGCCATGACTAGGCAACTAAAAGCTCACTATGCTAATGGGGACTCTGGCACAAAACACTTCAAAAGCCTTTGCATCTCGACATGAAAAATCCCATGATCGAGATGCTCCAGGCCCCTTCCGCTCTTGTTTATTCAGTGGATAGTGATATATGCACCCTTTGAAGTAGTTTATTTTTTTTTAAATCCAAGGTTTAGAACTGAATTATAGCTGCTTCACAATCATACCCAGCTGGTGTTGGAATACTACAGTACCAGCCACTTTTTCACCTGGTCCACAAACCCCTTTTCAAGGATATAGTGACAAGAACATCATGCAGTGACAAGAACAACATGCACACTTAGCCTACAGTAATTAGAAGCTCAATTGACAGGTTTTAGTTTGACAGAAAACATATTTATCTTGGGGTCACTGTCACCCCATGTCTGGAATCTGGGAAATTTTTCTCTTGGAATCTGGAATAAAGGTCCTAAAGTACTCCGGATCCCACTTATAACTGGAATCCGAATCCATGTTCCACTGACAAAGAATCCAGAATGCGGTATCCATGGCGCAAAATTGAGAATCCAAGACGGTCAGATTTCCTTGAATGGGCTGATCACTGTTTTCAACTTGATAAAATAAAAGACATCATGTGCTTTCATTTATTTTATTTTTGCAACTAGAAAGAAATCCCACAAGCTTCAATACATCAATATGTAAGTTTTTCATTTCTGAGAAAGGAAACAGTTTATTTTCCCAATGTCTCTGTATTTAGCTGTATTTTACTGCCACTGAAATGAGCAAACAATAATAAATTATCATTATTGTGACACTAAAAACTGAATAAATGAAAAGTCAGGATTAAAAATATCAAATGATAGCGACACTATGTTTGGCTTCAATTTTTAGTTTTGTTTCGACATCTGCCTCTCTCGCTCCTCGTCCCCCTTCAAAATCACAGTGGAAAAATTAAAAGAAGGCCAGGTTAGGCCCATGAATGTTACGATCAAAGGAAAAGAATGTTTCACTTGACAAAAACTGCTGAGACAAAGCGCAGATTATGCAAGATTTCCGTATAACCACATACATTAATAATATTAAGCATACAGCTTTTGTTCAAAGAAAACAAAAGGCAGAACAATACTACACCTTTGCAACGGGCAGCTAAATTTATTGATAAGCTGAAGCCTTGCAAGTATTCTTTCACAAATCGGGAATTAAAGAAACAAATCTTTAGTAATTTTCGGAACACACAAACCAAATAGCACGAGTAACAGAAATACCTCTACGCGTTATAATATTCCCAGCGATTACCAGATATCACTATATTCGAATCTTTGCCTTCCAACAGTATAGTCACAGTTTTCCGAACAATCAGACCTGAATTCTGTCCACCTTTTAGGTCTCAAACACTGAAGAAAGCACTTCTCAGCCTCTACGAAGCCCTCAAAGGTTAATCATCTTTGTTTTGGAAGGAATAAACCAATGAGAGCGCACGTATGAACGCGCTATGAAATGCACCAATCAGCGATCGTTTTAGTTCGCTGTGTGCCAGGGGTCTTCTCTCCTGCCGCCGCCATATTAGAAAGCGAGAAGACCCTGGGGACGAGGTTGACACTGTCCGCCATTACTATTTTAGAAATCGCATCCGGGGAAGTGAATCTAGTACCCATGACCCTCTCTGACTCCTCCCGCGAAATTTCAATTTTCGGCGATAAATAGCGACGGACGTCAAGAACGTGTTTTTTGTTGTTGTTGTTGTTGTTGTTGTTTGTTTTTTTTCTGCATATCTCTAAGTTTTCCTTCTAATTTCCTTTAACTGTCTTAACACTTCATCAATGGGATAAGTCTTTTACCAGATGTAAGACATTATTTTTAGGAGTCATCGACAACACTGACAACAATGCGAGCACAATTCAAAGATACGATTTTCTGTGTTACTCATAGTTAACTAGCCTGTCTAAAATCATGGAAAATTCGCACGAAAAATGTGTGTTAATAGGCCTTAAGTATAGCTTCTTCAGGTTTGATTGAGAAAAGAGTACCATATGTTCTGAAAGGTCCGTATACGAGATCACGTAGATCTCATTATGCGACTACAATCTCGCGCTTAGGTTTTTCAATGGCGCGTAATATTTCATATCGTTTACTTTTGCTTTGAAAATTTGCTGAAGCTAAGACTCCTGAGAGACATTTCTTGGCCAAGAAAACACAAATGCGAAAGGTCTCTTAATATTACACTGTCAGGTCAGATGATGTAGCCTGAAATTCATCCGATTGCTTCGAGTCGTTTTCTCCTCTCAACAAGGGAGTAATAACGACTCGAAGAAATCGGATGAAATTCAGGCTACAGATGATGTAAAAGTACTCAAATCGCGCTGAAACTTCGTAAAAGCAAAGACAACGACTCCAGGTAACAGTATTTACACTTTATTGATAACTTTTATCGCTTTTACCAGAAACTCATATGAGTTTCTGCTTTTACTTCATTTATTTCATCTAGGTTTCAAACTCTATTTTTCCCATACAAACTCTCATATTATGCTTGGGCCACCTGTGGCTGAATTAGAGGTGTGTCCTGTGTGAGTTAATTAACATAACATGACACAACAGTTTATTTATGCGAATTAAAACTTAGCTAAAAAGCTATTTTACGGTAAAACTCATTTTAAAAGAATATGTACAATGACAAAGGATTCAAAATAATTATCTCTACTACTGGCGAATCTTACGAAATAATATATAATACGGGATAAAATGATAAGCCTCATAATGCAGCTGATAAAATCAGTAATAGAATAAGTTAGTTACTTATTCTATATTTGAATTTCTGTTGTTATTCAACGGTTGCTAACTTGTTCAAACCATAAAGAGTAGCAATGCAGAAACCCTTTATTTTTTTCTCTTGTTGATTATGTCTACATAATTCTTAAGAGTTGTAACAGAGAACGCAAAAAAGTTTTACATCCCAGGCTACGCTCCTCCTGTAAACATTCGAAATGACGACATAATCAGTTACCATAGTGTTGTCATAACAACAGGTCACACTGAATTTTTTTCATTTGGTATTAAACGCTTGTCGTAAAACAAACATTATGGACACTTCCTGGATATCGAGCGCTACAAGCGGCATGTTAAACTACGTTTACAACTCAATTACAGGAGACGATGAGAGTGCGGCGACGCATCGTACCCGGAATGCGACAATTTGTAAAGGAATGGTGGTCACTGATCTTCCAACAAACAACTACGAGCCACTTGAGGTATCCCATGCCCGAGCCATGGCTAAAAAGGTGCGTGTTGCCCCCCCTCCCTCCTCTAGTTTTTGTTTCTTCCTTTCTTTCTTATTAAATTTTAGTAATCAGTGATCAGTGTTAACGCTAATCTAGCGGTAGTAATTATTTGACACTGAAGATGGAACTACTGCTTGCAAGAAAAAGGAACTCCCGCGAAAATGCGCGCAACCTACATAAAAAAAAAGAAATTACTTTTTTCTGTTTATCAACAAATTATACCATGGTTACACTTAGGTGACAAAAATTTTGTTCTTTCAGTCTTAACTTAACAGCAACGCAGGACTTTCTTTTCATGGTCATAAGAACTATTTTAATCTTACTGGAAGTGAATTTATGTTGTTTAACTATAAAAAAAAAAAGAAGCGCGTGCGAACAATTTTTTTAATTATGACGCAAATGACATGGAATCAGTTCTAAATCTTGCGTCATAAAAGAAGGCGCGTGACCGGCGCGAGCAGTATTAGACCATGCAAAGAAAAATAATCGTTTGTAAAGGAATTTAAACTCTACTACATTAGAAAATTTAGTCTTTCCTCTAGGCGAGCCAAATCACGTTGAACAAAGTATTGCTATGCTTCCCAGTCTTTCTCCTCACTTTGTTTCTTTAATTTATACATGTCTCTTCCTTTGTCTCATTAAACAATTCCTTTTTCTTTTTTTTTTCAGTATAACCGAGAAAAAGAACTAGAAGAAAAAATCGCAGTTCTTAAGGCACAGTGCAACGGTGAGTTCTGAAAAGATTTCCTATCACATTGAGTTGTTGTGGGAATAAAACACTGCACTGCCAATTTTACTGTTTTGTGGCGAAAGTAAAAGATTCTTCAATGTTAACTGCCTCGTAGGTAAAACCAAATGTTTAAATATATTTATGGAGCAGAGACTGTGGCTGACGGAAAATTTCGTTAAGCTAAAACTGAAAATCTTTTTTTCCTAGTTTTACTCCAGTTGAAAAAAGTAAACATAATTCATATTTCAAATGAACGTTAGTTTAGTTCAGTTTTCGAATAATTTTTTGATTTACTTGTTCAGCACTGAAAAAGAAATTGATGGAGGCGTTTAGTTCAGTAAAGAAGAGATATAATATTGATTGACCCTTTTTGGTCACTACAGAAATTTAAGCCAAATGTGGAGTTATAAGCACTTCATAAATATCAAGCAACAAAATTCACTTTTTACAAAGTAAGTTTAGTGGCCAAACCTGTATAGTAGATATGCCGTTTGTCCTATGCAAGGGAATCCAAGAGCGGCCTGGATTCTGGATTCCACGCCGTGGATTCCAGGTACTGGATTCCAGTCTTTGTCAATAGAATTTGAATTCTGGATTTCCCAATCGTTAGTGGGATTCCGAACTCCTTGAGTTGTATTCCGGATTCGACAATTTTTTGTCCCGGATTCGGGACTGTAGTTCCAGAAGCAAAAATTTCCTGAATCCGGATTCTCTAACATGGGACGAGGAAAAGATAAAGATACACTTTTAAATGTTTCTTCTTGAGAACGACAATAAATTAACTTTCTACTGCACCGGCGAATACTGCACATGTTTTATTAAATAATTATTCCTTTCCATAAAGCACTATCAGAGACCAAACACACACACAAAATATTTATCTTTTCTATCGAATCGTGCTTTCAAGTATTGAATACTCCAATAAAGACCATTTAGATTATTGACTCCAGCTGATGAACTGTGTTAACTTTCAGTTACATATCGTATCACTAGTACTTGAATTGGAAAATACTATGTTCTTGTTTTGTTTTTCGAACTCAGCCAAGAGCAATGAAAACGCCCGTCTTCAAGACAAGGTAGCTGAGGGCATGAAAAAGGAAGATGATTTAACGAGGAAACTTGAAGAGAAGGAGAAACTCATTAAGAGGGCAAAGAAGTGTATTTTTGTGACCAAAGAAAAATTGAACAAAAAAGAAGAAGAACTGCAAGAACTCAACAAGGAGCTGTTATCAGTTAAAGGTAATGATGAGGAAGTCTTCTCTGTTAGGTATTGATTTCAATATGTAATACGGACAAGACTCTCCTTCGATGAAAAAATAAAGTCATTAAACAAAATGACTAAAGTGGTCTTAATTCTCAAACTTGTTCGACTGATACGAATTTCTGTTTGTAGACTCCCTTACAAACCAAAGCAAAGCAAACGAATCACTCGCCAGCCAAATAAAAGACCTGAAATCGGTGTTGGTTAGAAGAGAGGAAAACCATAAAAAGCAACAGCTGTTAATCAGATCGTTAGCTGAGGATGCTAAAAGCAAGTTGGAAACCGCAAACTTCTACAGATCAACGATGAACAATGAGCTTAACCTAAGCAAAGGTGATATGTAGTGTCAGGTTATAGTTCATTTGAAATGAGTGAAGGCATTGCGCCCTATAATTACCGTTAGTGTCAGTTTATGCACCGTAATTTTTAGGGAGTTATTATAACCCCAAACAGAGAGTAAAAATTTTAGGTACAGGATAACCCCTTTTTGGGGGTTATTTTAACTCCTAATTTAACTCCGAATTTGGGGTCATTTTTATCCTGAAAAAGAGTTCTTTTTACTCTTAGTCTGGAGTTAAAATGACTCCGAAATGGGGTTACTTTCACTCCTTACATGGGTTGTTTTTACTCTTTTTGGAGTTAATTTAACTCTGAAAGTGGACTAAAAATTTTAGGTACAGGATAACTCCTTTTTGGGGGTTATTTTAACTCCTCAATATCTGGGGTCACTTTTACTCCTGAAAAAGAGTTCTTTAAACTCCTTCTTGGAGCTAAAACATAACTCCCCAAAACATAACTCCACCGTAAGGAGTTAAATTAGCCCCACTAGAGGAGTTATCATAACCCCTTGAAAATTACTGTGTGGTTCATTTGAAATGAGTGAAGGCATTGCGCGTTCTATAATTTCCTGTAGTGTCAGTTTATAGTTTATTTGAAATGAGTGAAGGCGTTGCGCGCTCATTATACCTTTAGTGTTAGTTTATGGTTCATTTGAAATGAATAAAGGCGTTGCGCGCTCTATAATTACCTTTAGTGTCAGCTTATAGTTCATTTCAAATAAGTGAAGGCATTTTGCGCTCTTTTTCTTTTGAAAAAGCAAACACATTTAATGCTTAAATCAGAAAATGGTGACTATTTTAAACTCATCTTTAGTTCAACTCAGATAATTTGATCCTTTGATTTTTTTGATCTTGTGAGCAGCTTAATGTATTTTTTTAAATACGTTTCTGAAGAGGATATTAAAAGTACTAGCCATTTTTGGAGGTCAATTGAAACGGTGTTTTACGTATTTTAGGCTGGAAAACATGAATGGATCAATAAAAGGGTTGCAAGTTGATTTTTTTTTCAAGTTGTTGTTTATTACTGTCCGAAAAGAAAGCATCTCTTAGATAGAAAACGAAAGAGAAGTGAAAGATGTTTTTGTTATTGCTGGACATGTGACACAAAACTCGTCGTGAAAACGTTTTTATAAAGTAAATAAAAACAAGAAAACGCTGTGGTTATTTTCCGGCATTAATAGCTAAGTTCGTGTTTAATTCTACTTTAGGTCGTGAACGAGATCTTAAAGAAGAGAAAGCATCATTAAAGAAGCATGTCGAAGTCCTAGAAAGGGCGCTTGAGGAGAAAACAAAACAAGGTATTTAGCTAAACATCAGATTTTGGTTCTCTTGTGTAGCTGACTTTTGAGTCATAAAAAAAACGAATTAGAGTCTGTTAGAGTCGTAGATCCTCAAGTACAGGTTACCTTTATAAAGGTGATTTTTATCGACGTATACGTTCAAAAAAGAAACTTAATAACGATTGCTACGTAGCTAATCTTGACACACATCATAAAAGCCAAAACGCAACCTCAGGCTTTCAAAGGAGGAACTGTTCCTACAAAGATATTTCACTGGATAGAATAGAGATAAAAGGAGCCCACTGACGGACAAAGTTCCTCACTCTTAATTGCCACGTCTTTGTTAATAGCCGCTCGTTTTTATCCCATTTCAGATAATGTACGAGATCTCCAGACAACGCAGCTGCAAACGATGACAAACCTGTTGAAGAAGGCAGAAAACATCATAAAAGAGATTAAGGAAAAACATTGTTGTGAGCTGGCTGTAATTAAAAGGGAATTGACCAGCTCTAGAGGTAAGCCTTTTTTCTTCAGTACGGTCAAGGTACGACAAATTTCAGATGTTTATAATTTATCAGTTCTACTGTTTATACACAACTGGGTGAACTTGAATACTTTTATAGAAACATGAAAAGGAACAACGCTTTTGTTTTTTCTGTAACGCCTTATCCCTTGTTTTAAATTTGCCTGTGTTAGCTCATGAACAAAATATTGAGTCTTTCAAGGAAAGCTTCAAAAGATAGCTTAACGACAATTTTCGACTGTTCGGAAACATTTGAGATCTAGAAGAAAAATTTCTCTATTAGGAAAATGAAAACTTTTGAACATCTAAAAATGGTAAATTGCAAACGAAAAAAAAGGTCACCAGAATTTTCGGGAGCCTTTTTTCTGGCTGAAATTTTGTGTTCAGTTTTGATCCCTATAATTTTCGGATCACTAGACTTTCCGAAAAATCCGAACAGATGAAAAATTTTACATAAAAATTGCCTATATCTACCGTTTAAATACGAAAATACGTTTAACAATTCTATGTTTAAGTGGTTTTGAACTATATTCTCGTTGGGTGCCCCTGTTCAAAAGATAGCTTAGACGAACGACAAAAAGCATCTATTAGGGAAGATAAAACGTAAAAGGAGCAATGGTACATTGTGTTCAACTTTGCGAAAAGATCGAAATTATACATAATTTGCGTCCTTTCGTAGATGATCTATACACGTTATAGACGAACGACAAAAACGGATAAAACGTGATGGTTTCTCCTTAAGTTTTCTATAGTTATAGCAATATAACATTTCTCCGCTTTTCACAGTAAGCAGCTGGAAGTGACACCAGGCAATTCTGGCCGGTTACACGAACTGGACGAAAAAATGAATTTGCATCAAATTTGCTCATGTGCAAAAGTGTGCAAACTGCGTGCAAATTCTAAGGGTAAAATCTGCGCAAAGGTGGTAAATGCCGAATTTGCATAAATATTTTAGATAACGAAAAAGATCTAAAGGCGGAGAATATTTCTTTGAAGGAAAAAAACGATGTAGTCCTTTAGAAAAAACTGCTTAACATTGCCTAAGGGTTGTACCATCTACAAAGTTACGAAAAACGCTCTCAACTGGAGGATAATTAACAGGTACCTTTTGTTCTTAGACCGTAAAATAGATCTGCAAACGATGGATGTTTTCGTAAATCAGCAACTTAGAGACCTGAAAGTGGACCTGGAGAGGATGACAAAAGGAACAAATGATGAATCGCACAGTATAACCTTCAGAGGTAAGCATTTGGCTTAAATGAAACAAAGGGCGCCAGGCGGAAATGCTGTAGCGCCGTCTCAACGCTTTCCGTCGCTAGAGACAGGGACGTTTTGCAAGTGAGACGTCTTCTTCCTACGGGCTGAGGGCAATGAAAGGTGGCTGTAGTCGCAGGATAAACAAGGGGACGGTTTCTTTTTCGCTTTTGCTCCTCTTAAGACTGAGAGGTCTCATACAGTATCTAAAAACACCAGCAGTGGGGGTTGGGATTCCAAGACATCACATGGACCAAAACTGAAACAGTTTCGTTGGTGTAAAACAAACCTTAACATTTGATTAGTTTAAATTAAGGGAAGACATTTTTTCTGATTAGCACCTTCATCAGACAAAAGAATGGAAAAAAAGTAAGTGAACAGCCTTAGTTTCGTTTTTAAGAGCGTTACTACATTTTCTGAGGGGGTATGTCCACATATCCCCGCAAGCAGTTCGCGACAAGGAGTTTATCGCCATGCCGTTTTTTCATACTAAAAATGTTGGAGAGTCAGTCCCAGCAAATTGACTAGGCAGTTGTAGGTGTATGATATTCGGTTTCAAGGCAATTTCAGGTACTCGGTATCAAAGATTTCATAATTCTTAGGTATATATTGGAATCTTATGAGGAAAAGGTTGGGTTTATTGTTATCCAACTACTTCCCTCCCTGGCTGGGCATTCGATCAATAATGCTTATCAGAACTACCTACTCCACACTTGAAATATTCCTCATCAGATAATCATTATATTGCCCTTATGATGGGTAATAACAACAGTTACAAAAAAAAAATTCACATTTTTACCGTTTACATGCAGCCGATATAAAACTGTTATATTTGTTTGTTTTTTGTTTGTTTGTTTGTTTGTTGTTGTTGTATTTTTTGCGTTTTTTCCTTTTTTTTCGTATCGTCAGAAAAGTTATTATTACTATCATCATTATTAATATTATTATTTACTTATTTACCTGTCTATTTACTCACTTAGTCAGTAAGTTAGTACAAAATAACATCCGACGAGCCTCATGCAAAATAAATAAAATCACGGACGATACAATATAGGTAGACTTGCTATTTATAATATGTACTATGTGCCTTGTGCCATGTACCATTGGCATGCATAGTTGGCATAATTCCTGCTACATTTTTGGTTACAGCTGTTGTAGTGCACTGGCCTCTTAGGGCCTGTTTACATGGAGGTGGGGGAGCCCAGATAGGTGAGGTAACATGCGGCGTGTCACCCCATCGATCATGTAAACGTGATGAAATTAAAATGAGAGATTATGTAGACAGGCAGGTTACCCACCAAAGCGGGTACCTCACCTACCTGGGGTCCCCCACCTCCATGGAAACAGGCCCTTATATTGTGCGGCATGTGTGAAATTGTCAAAGTTAACAAAATAAAATGAAAGGTAAAAGTGAATGATTAAATGAATTAAATTGACTTTTCATAGCGCCTAAGTTGGTCATTTTAAACACAAAACCCGTAATTCTTAAACGTCCTGGAAACATAATTTGGCTGCTTAGGATAACCATCATAAACATACGACTGTATTTTCAAATTTTCTAAGATTCCTTTCTGTCAATTTGTAGCTGACTCTGACAAAAGTCTTCAGCAGCCCGGACCAGCTGTCATGTCTGCAGCAGAGGAAGCAAAGCCTCTTCCGCGACCATCCTCTCATGTAATTCTTGTTTCAGACCCTCCGGCACCTACAGTGACTCAGACAAACCAGAACCTTAACAACCCACCAAACGTCATCATCAATGTCAATACCTCTTGCGAAAATGGTGGGTGAAAAACTGATTTTCAAAACAACTAAAACTGTAAAAATCTTTGCTTCAGGCCCTGTTAACTCGTAATATTCATTGCCTCAAATTAATCTAACATTTCCATTCTCAAAGAAAGGTTTCTTAGCTTATTTTTTTTCTTAGCAGGCCACACCGACCTCAGTTAGTCGTTGTAATAGCAACACTCAGCAGGTCCACCCTGTTCCTCTAACCCCATCTTAGCTTCCTTCTCATAATCACAACATCACCAATATACACGTTTCCTTTTTGATGTTTTTGTTTCTTATAATTCTATACAGAAAGCCAACTTGAAGGTTTCTTCACCAGCACGATGAGATGGCTTGGATTTTAGTAAGTGCTTTTTTCAGAGAAAACTAGCTTTTATTTAAGCTGATACGTTAGTTCCTAACTATGATCACAACACAATTCTAGCAACTGTCTTCCATATGATCGCTACTGTAGCATGGATCGTCATGACAAAAGTTCAGCCATCTGAACGATTTATAGGAGCGGAAATGATTATGGAAAACCGGCTCTGGAGTAGAACTTAAGACCATCTAAGCATTCGCTGTCGCAACGATCGCTAAACGTGTTTCAATAAAATCGATTGGATCACTTTCAAGTAGCCCTTACTATACAAAGCCTTTTGAAAGGACGGTTTACCTATTGGCCGAACACGTTCTATTCTTCAAGATAAAATATGGCTGGCAAGTTCATAATTGTCCTGGTAAAACTAGAATTCACACGCCTTTTTTTTTCATTTTTTTTCCTCTTTAGGTCTGTTACCGTATGGCAAGAGTTCTTGCAAGAATTGTAAATATGTAGTTGATCGTGACGTTAATTATATTCAAAAAATATTTATAACATTTTTAAGTGACGGTAGAACAACACAGCAGTAGTGTTTTTTAATCATCTTCATTTAATGTTTTTTATATATTGTAAACCGATTATTAGCTTACGTAATTTAATTGTAAATATTTAGTTGTAATATATGTAGGAAGTTAATTAACTGAAAGAAAAATAAAGAGCTCACGTGTCACGCCCTTAGGATTGATGAAATTAACTTATTGAGGTCTAGATGGGTTGAAACCTGAGCTCGCGATGCGGTCTTGTGATACTGATATGCGAATGCCCTGTTTTGACACCTGTCAATACACCATTTTCGATATATTAAAATTCATACTTGGCTGCGAAGCTTGGGGGAATTAAACAAAAGAAATGTTTTTTATATTCATTGCTTAGCCTCGAGATCATTTCTTTTGTTTTATTCCCCCAAGCCTCGCAGCCAAGTATGAATTTCAATATATCGAATTTGGTCTATTGAGACCACAGGTAGCCCATGCTCGAAATATTAGCATTGGCGAACATCGGCATTGTTGCGTAACATTGATTTCGAAATAAAAGGATTTGTATGGGAAAAAAACCTATCGTTTCTGTAACCTACGAATATAAAAGGAGTTCAATAAAAAACAGCTTACCTTACTAAAAATGTGTGTTACGTCTCTCCAGTGTGGTCCATGAGCCGATTTATGGCCATTTTATGGGTTGTACTGTAAAAGGTTTTCTCTAAACCTTTATATAGAGAGAAAACCGTTTACAGTACAACCCATAGAACGGCCATAAATCGGCCCATCGACCACACTGGAGAGATAAGGTAAGGTAAGCTGTTCTTTATTGAATCCTTTCATTTTCGTAGGTTACGAAAACGATAGGTTTTTTTCCATACAAATCCTTATACAGTGTATTTCGAATGATGCAACAATGTCGATGTTCGCCGATACTTATATTTCGAGCATGGGCTACCTGTGTTGAGACATCCTTAATACGCAAATGAGAATGAGACATCCTTATTACGCAACGTGGGCATATGCAAACTGGCCCCTGTTCGAAAGGCTAAAATCTTGAACCCCCCGACAAGAATGAAAGAGACGAACAAATTGCGACATAAGTCATTCCAAAAGGTACTGCCAAACGTACTGAGCCAAAAAACACATAAAGTCCAGTTGATAAAAAAGTAAATTACCACATTTAGAAGAAGCAACCAAAGTATAAAGCTTTGGAAACCTGGCAGACGGAATTCAATATAAGTATACTGTAAGATTTCGAAAATAAGCCCCCAAGAGAGGAACCCAAATTTATAACGCAAAAAAGCCCCCCATGAAGAGCTCCTCACTATACAGAGACATCAGGGAAAATAGACAAACAGGGGTGAATTGTGATATCCTTGCACGCCCTCCACATCACCTGGTGTTTGCATTGCTGATTGAATTCTAAATAGGTAAAGGCGTTAGTGGCATTTCTTTAATTTAGATAAGATCTCACAATTTCTCGGTTATTACTACATCTTTTACTAGCAGCTTAATGTGAATCTTTAAGTGCTTTTTAGTTAATCTCATTGAACTCAGATTAATTGTCATTTACCAAAGTGTCCAAAACATGCATGCACCTCATCATTAAGCTTATTATCCATGATTATCCTGCCTAATTCTCAACAATATAATTTTCTGCGTAAATCGAACTGAATCCGTGCATTGAACCTTGCGTTTCCTGTTCTTATCTCACCTATTGTATGGAATTTGTGTAAAAATCCTCATTAGGAATCGGTGTATTTCGAAAAGCTACACAACCAGCAAGAATACTATTGACCGATAATGGAAAACAGCGGGGGCAGCTACAGTGTCAACTATTACTAGTATACCGTATTTATTCGAATAACCGCCCTGGGCGCTTATTAAATTTTTGGAACTTGAGAGTGGACGCTTATTCGAGGTGGGCGCTTATTCGAGGCTGGGCGCTTATTAAATTTTCACCATTTTCAGCAAGTGAAGTATGTTTATTTTGCAACAAAACAATAAATGCTAATAACAAAACGCGAAGAAGTAGCAAAGCAAGGTTTCTGTAAAATACTCTGAAGAAAACTCCGTCCTCGGGGAAGTCTCTTATTAGAATTTATTCACTTAAGTGGGTGGGGTGGGGGTGAGCGCTTATTTGACTTTGATTGGGAAGAGGAGGGGGTGGGCGCTTATTCGAGGCTGGGCGCTTATTAACTTTTTCTGCCTTTAGGATGGGCGCTTATTCGAGGTGGGCGCTAATTCGAGGTTGGGCGCTTATTCGAATAAATACGGTAATAGCATGGAGGCTCTTCCCTTTAAATCCAGCATAAGCTCAGTAACAGTCAAAACTCAGGAGAAAGACGTTCAGCACCATTTAGGAAATGAATAGTTTAAAAAAAGCGTTTGCCATGGGCCCAAACAAAACAGAAACAGCGACAGTCTTTCACAACACAACCAGGTCAATGTTTTATTGCTCACAAGCACCACACATAATTTGGGATTTACAGGACACTACTTCTCCGTGGGTTTTTGCCACTGTCGCGTTTATAATCTCGCCGCCTGCAGTTCTTTTAAACGCACTGATAATCATAGCAGTAAAGCGAAGGAGATAACTGAAGAGAACTTCCAATATCTTGCTATCAAGTTTGGCCGCTACAGATCTTTTAGTAGGAAGTTTGTGTGTACCGTTATCTGCTGTGGTTGGACTGTTAGTTTCTTATCAAGTACTGACCGACTATTACATTTGCATGCTGGTCTTTGTTGCGCTATCGTCCACGGTCATTCTCACGATTTGTTCGATTTTCCATCTGACAATGATGGCATGGGAAAGGTACGTGGCCATTCGAAAATGGATTAACTACAAAGTGATGGTGACTCAAAGCCTTATGAAAAAGCTCGCGATCATAGCTTGGGTATCAGCACTTGTAACTGAGTCTCCACCACACTTCATTACGGCGTTCGCAGGAATGATGAGGGACAATGAGAGGCTTTTAGCTCTTAAAATTTTCCTCATCGTTGTTTCAATTTTGGTTATGTTTGCCCTGGGTCTTATTGTATATTTTTATGTCATGGTGTACTTTGGAGATCGCAAACGCAAATTAAGTCAAATTCGCCAAGTCAGCGAGTTAGTAAACGCAAAACACGAACGCAGAGTAGCTATGACCATTGCGTTGGTTACGATTGCCGTAATTCTTTCCTTCTTCCTACGTATTCTTAGCGGTATATTACAAGGAATTTATCCAGTCTTTCGTCAACGTTTGGCGATGCGTGTAGAGGACACATTTTTGTATCTAAATTCTGTAGCAAATCCACTCATTTACTGCTACAGAGATCGTCCTTTTAGGAACGCCGTGCTTGAGTTTTTGAGGATTAGAAAACCCAAAGTAGAGCCCGTTGAAATGACTGATGCAGCGAGGTTCCGCGACGTCAGTCGTAACGACGTATTTGGTTTGGGAAAAGATGAGCTACAGATACAAAAAGTGGAAAAACCTTTTCGCGTAACAAGATCAACATCATGTGATTTGGTGTTGTTTTCTGATCAGACTCATTTTGGTTTTCATAACCTTTTGTCAGCAAGAACCTTGTCATGTCCGTCTCTCCCGCCTTATAAATAATAGTTTCTTGCAAAACTGATTGCAATAACTCTCCGGACTTGTGATCGCTACAGCGAACTTGGCTTGTGTGGTCGGAAAATTCATGCATGGTGTTAAATGGTGTTAATAATAATATTGAAAATAATAGTAGTTATGACAATAGTAATACTCAGTACGACAATTATGAGGATTAACCTAAAGGAACTTTTCAAGATCCATGTAAAAGTTAATTTATACAACCGGAAGAATTTTTCACTTCTCTCCCTCGAGGTTCATGTGAAGTGTCTGTTTCTGCTTTCAGGAGGGTTTAGATTTGGTTTCCTCCAAAGATAAACGGGTTTTTTTTTCCCGACAGGCAGCAGACACTCAATCATATATTTAATTACTGATTACACCTGTCTTAAAAGGGAATCCATTAAAAGATTGAGTAATGTTAATTTTCAGTGGACAAAAACCTTGTAACAGAATAATTTTAAGCATACTGCATTCTTTTTTACACTTTTCGAGGGCGATAAATGTAGATATATTCTGTACACTTGGACAAATCAGATAAGTCCACATTCAAGATTCCTCGTTGGAGACATAGGTGCCTTATTCGCTCCCACTGCAATGTATATGTTGTAGTTAATTTTTTTATCTCAGGTAATTTTTGTTTTTCTTTTGTTTTGGCGTATGATAATCTATGCTAATGAAGTTGAAACAAAGGAAAAATAACTAAGATAAAAAATTAACTACAACATTAATATTGGTATGGAGATTTTACATACGGAAGAAGCTGAATACCGCTAAATACTCTTAGCTGAAATGCATATTTTTCCTTCGGAAAATAAGAACCTTTTAAAAACCAAATAGCCTAAATTGCGTAAATTAACATTTATGTAAGAACCTGTTTTGGCGCCTTTTAACGGTATTTCACCAGCATGTAGAGAAAAGTGTCCCGAAAATGTACCAGTTTTAAAGACACATTAACAGTCTTAGTCAGCGGGCGTACAAGTACGTCAGCAGCCTGTTACACAACAGTGGTACGTACCCGAGGGGGGGGCTACTCCCTTCAATAAGTTATATAGGTATGTGTCACCCCATCGGGTAAGGTTTTTGCTCCGTTCTCAGGGTCTGGAAAGAGAGTATGCCTAAAGGCTAAGTCTGGAAACGAGAGTGGATTTTAGAGGTCTGGTCCGTAAACGGGTGTGGAAAATTACATTTTTTTGTCTGAAATAGGGTCAGGATTTGGAGAACCGGGCGGCACACCCACACCAAGAATTCCCATGAGTACCCCCCCCCCGGGGGTAGGTAGTGGGTCAGAGATATACCTCTCAGAGACTGATTTCACAACAGTTCCAACAAACTGATGTCTGGTATAGTTTTACAGAGATTTTTCGATTTTTGTAGAAAACTACACATAAAAAGCTTCCCATCAAACTTAAATGAGAAGTGAGCGACGATGTGCCGACGGAAGTGGAAGATCAGCATTCAATCAGTGAAAAAGCTGAGCTGGTTTTGGTCAGCGGTAGAGAATTTTGGTTGTAATAGGTAGATTTTGCGGCGTCCAGACCATCTGCATCTGTCTCTGTAAATCGGTCGATGAATCTCCGACCGGCTTGATAAATACTTGCGTTTTTCCTGTCACTTTACTCTTTTCAGAGCGCGGACCTGATCCAACTAACGCCGGACGTTATGATCGCCCACACTGGGGAAAAGTCGGTCATTTTTGGTCCACCCTACGTATCCTTTGCATTTTTTTTCATTTCTTGACCAGACCTACCAGGTAGACTTGTTGACCAGACAATTTTAAGTTTTTGTTTGACACAAAAAGTCAAATTAAAACGTCACAAGGGCTGACGTCACCAAATTGAGTTAATCTTTTTTTTTAATTCCAACGTCAAACTTATATTATCTGCAAGAGAATTAGATTGAGAGTAAAAAGCTGAAAACCGTTTCTCGCTAGCTAGGGCACGTAGAAGTCGAGTTATGGGACTTAAAAGATATTTTATTGCACCCCCCAGAACCATATTTCTTCATTAAAATCGAACCCTTTGATAGATTGTGCTGGCATAATTTTCGGCATTATTCGTCATTACAAGCACAATTTTCCATTATTTTCCGAAAAAATTAACGAGCACTTTTGGCTAGTTTTGCAGCACAAAAATATCAATTATTAATCCTAATCATGCAACAATTTGTTTGGCCAGAGATCACTGTTACAGGCAAATTTAAGTGACAAAAAGATTTTTAATCGGATTGACGAGTCCTGGGTCCTAAAGGATATTACCCAGGACTCTTTCTACAGGACCCAACCCATGCGCATAATAATCTTGATTACCCAAGATAGCGTCCGCGTTTTTATCGTGGACACCTTTGTTAAACCAGATACAAGCGACGGTCCCGTAGGTGTCCGTCTTGTATACCGCTTTCACTGATACCTTTTTTTCTTTAACATTCGGGTACTTAACAGAAAATGAGTGTGATCTCGACCAAAGTGCGGCAAGGATCAAAAAATGAGATTTGCTACCCTTTTTGCGTACAGGTTCAATAGTAAAGGGTCCAATCACGGTCAAGTTTGCGCGTGAAACAACCGCGCCAGAAAAAACGACCTTTCCTCAAATTCGTGGTATTACTTATTATAAAATAAATCCTGTGATTTTGTGGGGAATAATGCAAGCTGACTATTTAGAAAATGGCAAAAGCGTGTGGCCGTGTTTTTGCCCTGGCTCTGTAGCGGTGGCGATTTTCACCATGTGCCTTGAAGCACCATTTAGCAACAAAGAATCAGAAAATACCACAGCAAACAATCATTCCAAATAAAAATTTGGGGGAAGTTCAATTCAATTTGTTTTTGGCAATTTTTGGAGAACCACGTAAAAGATGATATCAAATCACGCCATCTTACTTCTCTGTGACCAACAGAAGCTGGCCTCAAACGTCCCTTTGCAAAACTGGCAACCTTGAGGCTTGAGGTCTCACTGTATTATCATCTTTTTGTCTTAAGCATTCAGATGCAAAGGCATTGCTTTATGATGTCCCCAGACCTTTCTCGGTCACCCAATACCAAGAGACTTGGGAACGAAAATTAGGCATTTGAAAAGGATACGGGGAGACCTGGGCGCTTTTGAAATGATGTGACTTCATAACTTAGTAATCTCCAGCCTCGTTTTGATAAAGAGAACAATAACAAGGTTGCATCATTTGTGAGATGAGACCGGTTGACACCTTCACAAAATCTGTCATAATAGGCTCTCTCAGTTAAAGGAAAGGCCCCATGACTTACACAGAGTGGATCAGGTTAAGCATTCAAATTTGGTGAAACGACTTCCTCGCTGAACAACAACACGAAATTCAATCTGTGGACAATTTCGTTGGACTCTACCACTTGTTATTTCCTCGGGGAAGGGTTAACTGTGAATTATTAAAAGTTACCACAATGTTTTATTTATCTGATGGAGTTACTTGCGAAAAGAATTTGGTTTTTTCGAGAGCAAAAGGTTCGTTTCTCTCAACCTTTTATGAAACAAACTTGAAAATATTCCTTAAATCGGCGTTTTTGTAACATTTCTTATCGAAAACTAAATAAATTTGTCACTTTTTTTACTAATGTTCAAGGCTGGTGGTTTTCTTGTGCAATACCCGTCATGACCTGTTCTCATGGTTTGTTTCTATTATATTGACCCTCGAGATACACCAACGCCACGTACTTGATTATCTTTCCTCTTCTTTCCTTATTATTCTTTTAATCGCCAATTTCAAACCGTAAATTTGCCCTTCATGAGAGATCCAACGTTCTAGAACATTTCATCGGATATACAAGTCATGTGGACTGCACTTGGGTGGGTTTAGGTCTTTGAATGCGTATCGCTGTTATTTTGAAGGAACAAGCAGTAGTTCCAACGAATTGATTTGATTTGATGCTATTTGTTTTAATTTTCTCCGTAGTTTATACGCTTTTGGACCAAATTACAAAGATCTCAAAGAGTACAAGAAATTGCGGCGGTAAGTGACGGCTGAAGAATAAGAAACGTTTTAGATTGATCATGTGATTTACGGTTGAGAGGTTTTATTTCCTGCTCCACAGTGAAAAAGAGAGATGACATGAGATCTCACCTTTTTCTTCAAAGATTTTTTTTTTATTGCGAACGTCTTCAAGACTGCAGGTTTAAAACTACGTTCTTACAGCCAAGTAAAAACTACTTGGAAGTAGCGTTGAGAAAACGTGATCGTCATTATACAAATGAGGCAAACGAGGCCCCTAAAATAGTGGTGGTAAATAGCTAGGAAGTCATTCCTTAACATTTGATCAAGAGATCACTCGTTTAAGGTTAAAAAACCACAAGCTCCACGCGGCTTGAGTTTTGGGCTAGTTATAACGACGAGCTCAACGGATTAATCAACCTTAAGACTTAAGCTTCTTGTAGATTTAAAGAATACAAAAACATAAGGCGCTGTTTAGGAAAACAAGGAGCAGGTTCAATAATTTTAAGTCAATGCTTCGTTCAGACCTAAAACCCATTAAAGAGGATACCGTCTAAGCTTTTAAATAACTGATCATATTTATACAACCATGACACAGTGATACCTTTTATGAGCGCATGCACATCTCTAATGCGTCTCCTTAACTGATAAATTCAGGTTTGTTTCTTACGCTAAAACTGACAAAAATGTGTTAGTTTATAACTGTTGTGTCCTCGTAATGTAGAGTGTCCGCTTAATCATGGGGTTTACTGTGTATTCCAGTAATAAAATACGAATTAAACTTGGTGTGTATAAGTAAGCGTTAGCTAAGCGTTACAACGGTTTTGTTTGAAAGTACTAAAATATAATGGGAAGAAATCTTGACGTTAGTATTTTATAGAAGAATTATTATCCATCTACCATTTATCGTTTCAGGAGTACTACTTTTACTACTTTTTCTAGAACTTGGTACAGTAGTTGGGTTGCAAGCAACACAACGACTTAGTTGTTTTCTCAATTACCTTTAATTCGACGAGGTTCTATTCTATCAAGATTATCAACAACAATAACAATTTACCCCTACAGAGGTAAAAAATGTTCTATAACACTCTTCAACATGTTATCACATACACTTAATTTCAGCAACTGTGAGAGTGTCATTATTCTTTTCTTTGATTAGGTAAATCAGTACTACGAAATTAGACTTTTTTGTCTGTGACTCGAACGTTTCCAGTTTATCAAAGATTCTTTTTTTCCTCGATGAGAAGGAAAAGATCAACACTGGCTGGGGAAAGCGCAGCAACTTAAGCATTTGGGATCTCTCGACAGAATCTTTTTCTCTTTATTTCACTGGTTATTGAATGAGAAACTCTGATGTGAGCCCAACATTCCACAATTTCACGGGAAGAATGTCACTAACTACACCTCGGCAGAATTTACATATTCCATGACTTCACACAGTATGTGGGTGAGTTACGTTACGCCCGTGGTGTAAAAGTATTCTCACTTAAGACCATGTTGACATCTACCATGAAAAGAAAGTTGAAGTTCATTTACATATTCCGTATATTTGGCACCTGCTAAAGTTTGCTTACATCTATAAGATACATAAATTTAACGTCTGAATAGCGTAAGTTCGCGTTCCTAATGTGTTCCGCTCCGCTATGGAAACAAGAAAGATAATTTATCTGTTTGTCTGTTATAATTTCCTCGATCTGGATTGACACTGGATTGATCTTTTTCAACCTACGGTAAATAATTTGCTTTTGACTACACTCTTGATATTTGCGTTGCGTAAAATCACAGTGAGGGACAGTCAGTTTCTCACTGAATGTACAACGGAAAAGTTTGAAACAGGTTTGTGTTTTACTTAAGCCTAAATTATGTCACTTCCTAGTTTCAAGACGGCAAACGCAGAACTTAACGAACATATTAACATTGGTTTTTTTATGTATATCCCGGCCTTTTCTAAGCATATTCTTGGATAAGAATATGCCTCTTTATAATTCATAATTTAATTGAAGCTGGCTACGTCATGTGCCCCCTGCAAAGACCCTACAGTTCTATTATCGCAAAGCGAAGAAGAGAGCAAATCGTGACTGAAATACAAGGATACACTTGCAAATTTAAGTCACTCTAGTAACTTAAAGAAAGAATTGAATTTTCTGTTTACCCAGCAACGAACTAAAACTCCATACAAACGAAATGTTTTATTTTCTAAGCTTAACTTGGTAGCATTACAGTTAAAGGATACGATATCATCCAAACAAATTTTCAAGCAATCTACAAAGTTGCGTCTGTGATGCAACATTGGCTTCATGAACCTCGATTGTGAGATAATTTCTATCACTGTTTTATTTTTGTAAATTTGTCGAGACAAATGTTAACTAATCTATCAGGCGGATGTGGCTCAACATGAGCAAAAATCTTGATGCTGACTGGAATTGGTTAAAACTAGGTTTCGACCAGAGATATTTTGACTACAAGAGATGCGGTATAGTCGTTAAAAGAACAGCTAATATGGACTACATTGAAAATTTGCTGGAAAATGTGTCTTTTTGTCTAAATTATGTTAGTTTTTATTTTTGTGTTTACAAATCGTTAACTTGCAGGTCGCATCCATAACAGCATTTTAAGGACTTAGAAAGCAGGGACCGAAACTAATCAATACGTGTCGCATTGTTGCTTAAACAGTGCAGCGCCTATTCAGAGGCAGGGCTCTTTACAGTAAAAAAGGCATAGGAGACAACAAAACACCCTGTAGATGTGCTACTCAATATAATATTGAAGTTTTGAATATATGAAAATCATATATGAGAACTGCGGGGTGAAGAATTATATGAAAGAAGATCATCGCAGTTATAGAGACAACTTTTGCAGTTGCGAAAAGAAAGCCTAAAAAAAATTCAGGCTTTTACGGGATTGGAACCCTTGACCTATGCGATACCGGTGCAGCGCTCTACCAATTGAGCTAAAAAGCCAACTGGGAGCAGTTCTCATATATGATTTTCATATATTCATAACTTCATCATCATCCTTTCACAGGTTAGCCTGCGTGCAGACGATGACTAAACTCTGATTAGTACCGTCTGCGAAGCAGCGCAGAGAGCCTTGTTCTGAACCCCCAACGGACTCAACGAATTACCGGAAGTGCGTTTCGAATTTCCCTTCAACCTGATTGGCGATCACGACAAACAAAACAAAGGCCTTTTTTAACTGGCCAATCGTGGCGCGTACTCAAATCTGGGTACACAGCTGGAAGTCCAGAACAAGGATTTCGGCGCTGTTTCGCAGACGGAGTTAACCAGAGTTTAATTTCGTCTGCGCGCAGGCTATTCACAGGTTTAATATGAACCAACTCAACGACCTGCTCCCAGTTGGCTTGTTAGCTCAATTGATAGAGCGCTGCACCGGTATCTTACTCAGCCTCATTCAATAATTGTTAATTATTGCCATTATTACTATTTTTGTAGGCGTCGCAGAAAGAAAGGTGATAGAAGTGTTATCATTCCAGAACACGCGTTTACCACAGATCAAAAATATCTCCCACATCTGAGTGAAGTCAGGATTCAAGAAGAACCCCTTTTACTTCAAGATGGGTCATCCGTTTCGTACGAGTCAGAATTCACAAACTTTAAATACTCAATGGGAGGAAACGTCAAATTCTACGATGAACATATTGCTTTAAGTAGTCCGCGCAAAAAGATAAAAACTCCATCGCGTTCATCTAAAACCTTAAACCAAACAATGGAGAGCTCGTTGAACGCGTCGCCAGCAAAAAGCGCCATGTCTGAGAATTTTGGTAGCATGGATATGACCCCAAGAGTTTTGAGCACACCAGACAAAAAAGGATTGGAGCTTAACGAATCACATGGAAGTTCTGGCGCAAAGAAAATCAGCAATAATATTGAACATAAAACGTTGGATACCAGTTCGCAAATCCATGCCGCTTTGGAAAGGTTAAGAGTTAACGAGAATGCAACTACGCATGGTAGCAAAGCTAACACAACATCCTCGAGTATCGCTGAAAGCATTGCAAAAGTCGACTCATGGAAAACAGATTTTGATAATTGTAATAGTCCCTCGCTCCTCGCTGAAGAAGGCATAGAAAATGTAAGTAGCAAAACTACGAACAATGTTACAAATATTTATGACGCTCCTGTTTATCAACTACAAATTAGTACCTCTGGGAATGGCGCGAGAGCACGGGATTATTCTCCTATCCGTTCTATCTCTGCGAGTATGGACATTCCGGAGCTAAGGGATGACGAAAAAACTAGTGCGCAGTCTAAACCTTTTAACTATGCTACCGAAATAACTAAGGAGGGTGTTGTAGACGAAAAAGATGCCGTAGTAAATGTCGTGAACTCCAGGACTGATGGCGTAAATAACTCGCACGATACTAAAGCAGGAGATATACCAGATCCCGAAAGAATGAGCCGGTATAACAGAACCTTGCTATACGTTAACGAGCAAAACGAAACACTGCAGAACGGAGATTACAGCGAATTAAACGTGAATTTATCAGACTTAAGTTCGGATGTGTTCACAGATAGTGAGATACCAACATCCGGGTTCTTATCACAATCACGTGACGGAAAGAGTGATTTGGACTTTTACCCAGACTCTCCAACAACCGAGCAAGCATTCTCCAAGACTCCATGTAGTTCGAGGAAGAACAGTTTAGAATCTTACATTTCCGATTATAGCATGTCTGCAGTCGACTTGGATTTTAAAGCAGGAGTAGAGAAAAGTAAGTGTTTTTCGTTTCGAAAGGCTGAAAAACGCTTTTACCAGTGTAGTTAGTATTCTCCTTATTCTTGTCGCCGTATGAAATCCTGTGTGAAAAATGCATGGCTGGCCACGGTGGCGTCCATCGTTTAATTGTGACGGGGTTGGTATTTTAAAAAACTATTTGAAAACAATCGAATACCACGTTAGAATACACCCTATTTTGAAATAAGCTGAAAGAGATCTTCTATTCCAAAAGTGAGTTAGAGTTAGTCAAAACATGTCAAGTTCACCTGTCATTTTTGGTTAATTACTCTAAAAATATGTGACAGGTCCTGAGTCCACTGAATATCTTTAATTTTCTTCGCTATCAAATAATTCTCTCTAAAAATTACAGAAATACACAAGCTTGTTCCTAATGGTGACATGCATTCAACTTCACATACAGCAGAAAACGGAAAAACGAAGGAGGTATGAGTGATGAACATCGCATCTTTTTATTCATTTACTTAAAACGTTTGCCAACAAGTCATATTAATCAAAAGTCTTTCAATTACGTTACGATGTTTTAAAACATGCAAACAGTAGACAACATGTGTCATTCACTGACAGTTGATTGGGTTTTCTTGATACTTTTTGGTTGGACAATAATTTGCCCTTTAAAAACTTTTCAACGGCTAGGATTAATTTAACGCCGTTCCGAACATCTGAACACACCTCAATTCCTCTTAATATGCGAGAAGTGATCGCGCTAGTTTGCATCTTTTCACCAATTCTTAACTTGCTTCGGTTAGCTAACATCAAATTTATTTTACACAAGTGCTTACCTTTTTTCCCTTTTCTTTACCCTTTTCCTTATGTTTTGAAAATAAACTTCTCTTTTCTTTTCCAGCTGAAAGGTAAAAACAGTACGCCAAGTATTAAAGCTAAAGTCCCAGGTAGGTATTGATCAGACAGAAAACGCTGAAAACGAAGAAATCGCAGCCTCCTCACTCTTTTTATATAACTACAATGATTTCAGGTGAAGGTGTGCGGAAATCTGACACAAAGAAAATGGGCCTCAAGACGAAGGCAAAACCTAAAGTGAATTCCTTCAGCAACATTGGACATGTACCTGGGGGAGGACGAGTTAAGGTAAAGACTATTTACTTCTAGAACACGCAATGGTGGCTCATGGATTCAGCTTTCAAGAATTATGCAAATCAAGGGGATGAGAACCTCCTCGATCTACGTTATTTTTTATATTATACCAAAGCTAAATCCAATAAATTTTCAAACACTCGTTTGAAATATTAGGGAACTTAAGAACCTCGACGAATTTCACGACGACGACGTCTGTTGACCGGGAAAAGAGTGGAACGAGAACGTCAGTTTCGGCGGGAAAAAGGAAACTTAAGATGCAGTCGGTCGGTAGGTCGACGACGACGACACTGAATGTAAACACAAATGTAAAACTGTGATGTTCGTTCGCAACAAAGTTTTTCGCAATGGCGTCTTTCAAAACAATGCAAGATCTTATTTGTTCAAGCCGTACGTCTAATGTCATTGACGATGAAGAATTTTTTGTGTTGTCTGAGTGGAAATACACCTAATTTCCGCACGAAATTATTCAACTTTCAACTTGAATGAGACGACCGAGTCCGAGTGTCTGTCAGAGTTTAGATTTCGAAAAACGGACATTCTGATGTGATAGCTGTTTTCCATATAAAGTTTATTTCCTCTATATTAAAGATATATGATTTACCTTACCTAAATACGTACATATAAATTTATCACTGACAATTCACTTACGAGTTCGCTCGCTCGGCCTCCACAGCTGTTGTCATTCTTCGAAAATCAATTCATTAGTCGAATTTTCAATCAACATCGCTTGTTAGGAGAAAAAGGAACGATACCTGGATTTAGGAGGATAAGAAAATGCAGAGGCCTTCAAAAATCGCTTAAAGCAGTGGATTTATACCTGCCGAAGCTTGTGGATTGCAGGACGACGTGATTCTACTTTGTTTGGCGTCGTCGACGACACCACGACGACGGAATTTACTGGTCGCGCTTGCGCAGTACACTGTAACTCACTTCCGGTCGTCGTCGACCAAGCCGTCGTCGTTAGGCTTTTTCACATTCTGCCGGCAGAATTTCGAGCATAATAGGGCCTCGGGAGCAGAATATATGACTGGGGCATAATCCAAGCAGAATAGGCCATTTTTGGCCATTTTGCATATTCTGGGGCCTGGGAACGAGTCTGAGAGGGAGCTGGGCACGAGCATCCGAGAAAAACAAGATGGCGGAACCGAACCCGCAACCGGTAGAAGTCACTGACCTACTAACCTAATCTAGTGTTCAAGTTAGTAATGTTAGCAGCTGTGACAGTGGATGGACAAAGACATTTCTGATATGGTTCATGGTTGTCCCAAACTCTTTTTACAAGTTATTACCCATGTTCGTTTTAAGGATTAAATAATAAATGCGCATATGTTGGGTTAGCCTCACCCTGGAAGGGCGATGTAATGTCTTATTTATCATGTTTGAGTATTTTGAACCCAGGAATATCGATTTTTACAGAAGCATAATTCGAGCATAATAGTACTTTTGGAGCATAATCTCGAGAAGAATAGCCTTTTTTGGAGGCAATTCTTTTGAGCACAATAGCCTTTTTTTCGAGCAGAATGTGTAAAGGCCTAGTCGTCGTGGTTCTTAAGTTCCCTATTTCCAGCACCACAACATGTTTACCTCTATGTAAAATTTCCTCATTCAATTAAACATTTCCCTGTTCTTTGACTGTTTTTACATGTAAAGGAATGTTTCACCGAACAGATTTCCTTATCAAAAGCAACATTCGTCATCTGATTACTAGCGCATCTGATTACTAAGCTATTTCTTTATGTAGCAATTCGGCTATTGGGTCTTAGCATAGCGTCTCAAATCATCTACCATTTTCAGATTTGTATGACCATGACAGCTGAGCCACCGCGCCTTCTACTATCTCTCTTCCTGTCGTTTCCTAGAATTGTATTGATATCGATATTATATTGATATAGGCAAATCAGAAATGGATGATCATCTAATTAATTGCCTAACTATGACCACCTTTTTTCGCTTGTAAATTATGCTATTTTAACTTGCTATCTCTAGGTTCGCACAGATAAACTGAAACCCCCCAAGCATGTTGATCCCAGGACAGACACTCACAATGTCGAGGCTTACAGCCACTTGCCAACAGAATTTCAAGAAATTGCAAAACGTCTTGCTAAACAAGACAGACAGCTAAGAGAGTCAAAAATTAGCGGCAGTAGTTCGAGCGGAAGAGGTCGAACACGCTCGCGACGATCAAGCCGCGGATCCAGCCGAGCGGGTAGCGTCAGTCCTGATCAACGATCGACTTCAAAACCAAACTTTAGGTTAGGAAGCCTTTCCGGTTCATCCATGAATCTGAATACGTCAACTAACAGCCTTGCACAAAATAAAGGTAACCTTTCTTCAACTCGCCGAGCCCCGATCAGCCGGTCGCCCAGCATTCGTTCCAGACCCACAACACCAAGTCTAAGTCGCTCACATCCTGCAACGTTTGCGACGCTATATGATTCCCGCTCACGACCTTCCTCAAGACCATCCTCCCGACCGTCATCCCCCGTTTCACAGTCTCGGAACTCGTCACCCACAAATGGAAGGCGTTCGCGAGGTTCCTCGCCCGCCTCCAACAGGAGGAAATCATCAACTCTGAACCAAACGTCTTCGAGTACAATCCGTTCAAAAGGGAAAATGGCGAATGGAATAAGGGGACGACCGACCAATCTGGTTGGACTATCAAGCGTAGAAATTGGCCTTTGTAAGTACTGTCAACTGACACTTCGGTTCATTTGTAAATTTAATTCAAATTTAAAAAGAGAGAAAAGCTCCTCGCTCTCTTTTTTCCATTTTCTTGATTAATTTTGTTCACCCAAATAGTCGATTTGGCCATAAATCTGTGACACAAAACTAAGTCTCGTCAACGAGAAAACTAAATCTCTTCGTAAAAGCTCTTCTCAGCTGCCTTTACACTATTGAAACAAATGAATCGTTTTTGCCTTAGTGCTTTTTATTTCACTTCGTTTCACGTTTGTACTTCATTGAGAGTTGATTTGTTTCCAGTGATGAGTTTTGATAAGAATGTCTTTCTTAATGCTTTTTTTAAATCGGTAATTAATGAAATTTTTAACCGCCGGTTTGTTTCTTTGCAGCTTCAGGATCAGTTTTTCAAGTGATTCCCATCCACAAGTAGAAGTCCTCTGCAAACCTCCATGATTTCTATTTATTTGAAAGACCTCTTATCCCAGACATTGATTTACGTTTAATGAGGCACACAAACCCTACTAACGGACGTTATTGGAGACACCAAGTCAGTTAGCGCGAAGCGAGAGACCGTTTCAGCGCTTGTTATACAGGCTGAGGGGCACCCTGCAGACAGCTTGCAAATTCTCATTAAAAAAAACCTTTTTTAGAGCATTTGAGATTGAGCTTATCTAACTCAAGTTAGGAATCAGAAACCAATAATGAGGAAAGCCTGCATGAGGAAGAAAAAAACCTCCGCAATAGTTATCACAAGAGGGTGTTTGAGGGAATGATTTCAAATAGTGGACTGTGTGCGTTGTTCGGTCAAGATGGCTGAAGTTTGGCCAGGTTCCTTTTTGTCGAGGTTAATAAGGTCAAGACACAAAAAAAAGTAGAACGAGGCCAATATCCAGTCATCTTGACCGATCAAGCTTGGCCAAAAAAGGATTTTGTATATGGCTATATGGTCCAGCAAAATCGGGACAAAGGGGGAAATCTTGTCCGTCCACGGAACATACGTTAATAAACTTGTTTTTCTCGCAAAGCTCCCATGAATACACAGATGAATTATGCTGGTGTCAGTTGCAGAGACTTCATGTGCACTTACTTGCTTTTGCTAAAAGCTGCTAGGGCTTCGAAATTCGACAGATGACCAAGAAGACTTTTTCAATTCCTCGATCTTTCCTCCATCAGTAAATCAATGTAGTTCTTAAGACGGCCGTCCTCTCTTTCTGCTACCAAAGGTCGGGGTGCGTAACCTCTTCTTTCTTTTAACAGCATTACCGACCCAGGTTATTTTTTTCTTGACATTATTTAATGAGTAAATGCAGGAAGACAGCCGTAAAGGTCTGCGTTACTACTAAGATTGACGTGATGTACTTTGACGTTGAAAGCTGTTGTTAGATTCCTAGCGTAGCAACGATCAAGGTACTTGGCGATCTTAGTTGCGATGGTCGACCGTTCACACCGGCAGCGAAGAGCTTGTTTAACTGTCGCTTGGAACATAGTTAATGGTGGTCCTCTATGCTAACTATGCTTGGAAGAGACTGGTTTTTCCCTCTCTCCCAACTCATCTTCTATTTCCACATTTTCTTCATCTACCTAGTAAAAATATAAAAAGAAACTGGATAAATTTATTAGCCTCTTTATAGCTGCTGCGGGCCAGCTGCGGGAATTTCGCTTGTGATCTCCGGGTCACACTACTTCATCAGATTGATGTAGAAGTCGTAGGATTGTTAGTGTGTGTTTCACTGTTTATTCATTCATTACATTGTAACTTGCCTATGACTTATGAATTAATCGAAAAGGATAAAAAAAAGGCTAACGAGAAGTAACAATTTTGATTGTTACTTCTTCGAAATTTAAGGTCTTTATAAGATTATCCTAAGCACTTGGTTTGGTCGAGAAACTTAGATTCAATTGTTTCTCTCTGTATTTTGTACGAGTAGTATAGATTTACAGAATATATGATCTTGTGTAGATATGTATAGACATGTTTCAGAATTTATTGTCTACAATACGATATTGTCTCTGATAAAGTTCAACTTTGTAATAAATACATTTGGTTAAATACACTTTGAAGTCTTGTCCCTTTCATTCCATGGGAAAAAACCGACATATATCCTTTATTCCAAAAGCGGATTTCGTGTTCCGTCACTAACATCCAAGCAAGAATTTAGTCGATTTTAAAGCCCAATGGCGGAATCACAGTCAACAAGGATATGAAAGCGGATGTGTTTCCTTGAGAGGGATTCAAACAGAGTTATCGCGATCAGCGTCAAAGCCACAAGAAATCGAAAAATAAAATGAAATAAGATAATAACAGAGGAGATCTTCAGGAAATCGAGTGTACACGCGGTCACGATGCCAAAGATGACACTAACTCAAAAATTAGGTTTGTAATCGATATTTATAGTGGCGGATTTAGGGGGAGGGTCCGGGGACTCCGGACCCCCGTATCAGACTTGACGCTTGTTTGAGACTGAAATTCTTACATTGACAGGATCGTATATCATTTTTTAACTGACTGTTCTTTTTAATGAAACGCGCGTTGCATTTTGCCACTAACTAAATTCCAGGGATATTCAAAAATGTAATTGTTTTTGGCAGGAGTTTCAATAAGCACGGACGGCCGATGCAACGCGTCGGCTACTTTGCTCATAGAGGTCGGCTACTTTTTTCTTGAAAGAAGAACAACTAGTTTGAATGACGTAGTCAAAAAATATATAATAAAATCTGAATGAAAACGTAATTATGATGTGTTTTCATAAAGTCCACTTGTTTTAAGTTATGTTTTAGTCGTGTGAACGCTATATTTCAGTCATTTTTTCACAAGTTTTTTTATAGGTTTACGCAGAATTATTTAACGTGCAAAAGTACATGATTAAGTTCTCATCATTTGTTCGTTGCTTGTAGGAATTGATTGTGTGACTGATAAATTGAAAGCTACATTTTCCTGAATGAAAAAGACGCTCTTTTGTCGTCAAGATTAGCCCCAGAATTCTGAAAATCACGTCTTAGGGCTTTGAAGTTTCAAAAATTTCTGGGGCAGAACACACCCAGTGCCCCTTCCCCGCCCTCCCCCTCCCCTCCCCGCACTAGAAAAAGAGGACCAATGATCCCTTGTTGATACAGTCGGCTACTCTATTCGAACCTGCTGGCTACTTCAATTTCAAACCCCTTCATTCAAACCCCTCTTTTGGGTACCCTCCTATGATCTGTTTGCATCTTCTTGCAAGCATTTCCCGCGCCACAGCGACCGACGTTCACAGATTGAGAAATACGTGGTCGTCTCTGTGAGAAGTACTCTGCCACAAAACGTTCAACAGTCTTTTCTGAACCAAAGTTTGGACCCCCATGTCCCATCCAATCAAAAAAGACCGTTCTTTAAGCAATCAGATCTCCTTATGCACTCGCTCACTGAAGTTGGCGCCTTTGCCAACAGCAATGCGGGAAAGGTTTATGGAGAAGTAGGATCGACTCAACTGTATTACTGTCGACTTCAAATTAAAAGTGGCGCGAGAAAAGGTGAGTCACTTCGCAACAGCTGTTTGGTCATATCTTTAAACATAAATGTGCTGTAACTCTACATGTGTCAAATACAAACTTAAATATTGGTCGAAGCCCCCCAAACATTTCGAGGTAATTTGCACAGTAAAGAAATAAAACATACTTTTCAGTAATGTGCTAGTAGTGATTTGAGAGGTAGAATGTCAAAACCTCTTTAATAATTGAGCGGGACGCCCGACAACCTTTGCAAGTTGTTAGTCTTCTTGTAAGAGATTGGTCGGAAGACTTAATAGTCCCTGTTGTTAAGAAAATGGTAAATGTAAGATAGATTTGTGCTTCTAATTTGACTCTATGCTGAATATATTTATCGTTATTTAAATGATCCTAGCAAACACATTACCTCAATCTAGTGCGCAGACAGACATTCAATATACAGGTGACACAATAAACCGGCTTTGTTTTCAACAGTCCGGCCGGCCAGGAGTAAATTCGAAGGGACACTCACGATAATTTCAGATAGAGCTTGATAAAGTTTCAACAGTTTTATTAACTTTCATGTACATGCTGTACGCAAATTATATTAATTCTTGACAATATTTCAATAAATTAAAACCTCTCTTTTCAGGTATCAAAGACATTTTTACTTCTGTTAAAGAATAAATTAGCTTGGCTGTAAGAACAAATCCTGATTGAGCAAGTTTTGTCTTCGAGCACGTTCGATGGCGGACATCAACATACTCTGACACCTCACTTGAGAAAAGTCCATCTGATCATATGGCTGAAAATTAAACAAAAGAAAACAACCTTTGAAAAAGAGATGCCTCTTTCCAGTCAAATACGTTTTGAAATAAATAAAGAAGCTTCTTTTTTCGAATGCTGCCAATAAAAGCTTAAACATTAAAGAGAGCCACCTTTCTTTGGTCTCTCAATATTTAAAACTAAGATGTTCTTACCGTAAGAACCATGTGTAGTTTATGAAGAAATAAGAGCAACATTGCTACACCAAAGAAGTGCAGGTCTCCCAAACTTGATCCTAGACAAATTATTAATATGGTGCATTATTAAACAAGTATGGAAAAGCAAGAATTTCAAAAAGCAAAGGAAAAGCTTGGAAAAACATGACCGAGCCATAAGCGGATGGTTCTCTTTTGGCTTGATTGTGCTGACCAAGAATAGTTATATCGTGTGCATTATAAGGGACTGATTACATGAGCTGGGCTGGGCCGGTTTACTGTTTGTCGATATCTCGTCACATTATTTTTAAAAGTAAATATTACAAAGATCAACTTTGTGATAACATGACGGCTGAGCCGAGACCCGGTTAGATCCCTGAGTATCGTGATGCCGGTATCCAGTCTAACCGGGCTGAGACTGTAATCATGCTCAGTTACCAGGCCAGCTTGGAGAACCAAACCAGCAAAACAACAGCGGGTAACACACAATCTGTCGGCAAACATATGGTGGCTCCGGTCAGGGCTGGCTGTCTTCATGTTTTAATTATCGGGATAAACAGTCGATAACATCGGCAAACTTGGCCAGCCCGTTTTAGGCAATCAGCCACTGACTCGATGAGAAATGCGTAAAGCATGTACTGTATCTGACATAAGTATGCTTACCATTCAAATGCCTCCAGCAGGCAAACAACTGGGAAGTTAGTGACATGCGCAGTGAGGACCAAGTGCAGTTTAGAAGCTCACTGGTCCAATGTGACAAAATAGACAGAGCAGTAGACACTGTAATCAAAAGACATAATTATCAATGAAATAAAGAACTTACGTTTATTTGTTGCTCTTCATAACTCGGTCTTACATAGCTTTCTCCACAGGAACAAACATTGACTGTACAGTGTAATTAAAAATAGACCCTACGCATGAATTATTTCTAAGTATTATAAATATATATTTTTAACCAGGCAATGATCCTTTATACGCCTAGTCTCCTAAAAACGATAGACTCGTTTTTAAGGATTTTGGTAATTTTTATCAGTCTAAACAGGGTGTTATAGATGATGATTTTATTCCTACATTTATGTACACTTCGTATTCCGGCTAGGGATACATTAATTTATTTTGAACTTTATTTTGTAAATGAAATTTTAAGTCGAGTGAATGTAAATACTCACATTTATGCGCGCATAGAAGGGGTGTGGCTCGTATAATGTACCGTATACCCCACTGTACATTCAGTAAAAACTTCCGCAAGGGGGTGGGTTCATTCTCTTCTATCAGCTCTGCCATAACACCTGCCAACCTGAGAAAGAACAAGGTGACAATCAGTTTTATTTTAAACATTATAACAAATATCATCAGCAAGATTATTATTCTAGCTCTCAATAGTGATTCATTTGTTTTGTTTTGTTTTGTCTAACCAAACAATCACCTCATAGGTTATCCTTTTTTCCCTATTAATTTTGTAGTAGTAAGATACTGCGATAGGATGATACAGTTAAGCTACTTTGACATAATAGTTTAACATAAGAGACGAAAGCCTGATATAAAACGCAGTGTTAAGAAACGAACGTTATCACTTAGGTGATTTTAATTTATGATACGGGAAAGACCCTGAACAGTTTCTTTTGTTACGCGGGGCGCAATGCACTTTCCTCACATAGGATTGTTTTCATTTTCACACAGAGAATGCATAAGCCTACGTAGTAAACCTAGGTTGTTTACGAAATAAACGGGTGTTTTTTTGTGTGTGTCAAAAGATTCCGACCAATCATAAGAGTTGCAAACAACAGCCAAGAAAAGTTTACAGTTTTATATGTTCCTCACGTAGGATTTCTGTGTTAGTTGGACGAGATTTTGTTATGAGGCAGTTGCTTAGAAAACAAGGGATTAATATACATGCTGCTTGGGAAAATTTGATGTTTAAACCAATCAGAAGTGTAGTAGAGACAATAGTACAGTAGTACCTTTTTACATTCCGACGTGTTCATTGTGTTTGGTTCTTTCCTTTTTATCTGGACCTTTACTTAATCACTTTGCGTTAACACGTACTTTATCTCCTAGTAGTAGTTAAATACTGGGATGAGATGATACGGTTCTAAAAGCTATGTTGGCATAATACGTTGACATCAGCCTTGTATCAAATGCATTTTCAAGGAACGTTATGGCATGTAATTTGGACATACTTTTTGCAGAAAGCCAAGAGAACCTTTGCGCTTTTAAAAGTATTTCACCGTTGTTACTTTAAGAATACTACAATGGCGGACAGTCCAGGACTCATTGATCCAATATTTTATGTTTCAAAGGCTTAGGTTATTTAGGGACACTTTGGGACTTCAGATATGAAATCGGCTTCGTAAAAATGATAGAGCAAAGATTTTTGCCTTACCTTCCAGCAAACTCTACCCCAAGTCTGGGGTCTTTACTGTTATTAAACCCCTGTACTAATAGTCGGGCAAAAACACGACGTTGCCTGGAATACAAAAGATAGCATTAAAACTTTTCTGTCAAGGAAACACGTTGAGATATACTCTTGAAGAAATTCATCAGGCTAGTGAAGTTGATAAATCGATTTAAATGTTCTTAAAACATAGCCAGTCTTAACGTCTTAATGATGCTGACAGTTTCGATGACTGCCAGCCATCTTTATCAAAACTTGAGAAAAACATTAAAAGTGTCAGAAGCCTTAAATAGGCGTTGAAGCTTCTTAAATAAACTTCTGAGGATGTTGAGATATAACTACCCCAGCAATATGTTTGATTATTCCCAAGGTGACGGCTATAGCGACCGTTAGGGCAAAATATTGGGTTAAAGGGTAGGACAAGAAGACCAGACCGACTAGTATCTTACTTTTATATGCCCTGCTTTACTGACAGCAACTTTAAAAGTGGGAAAAGTACATTTTTAAAAACAATAAGTAGTATGCTCCTTTTACTTAAACAACTTAAACAATACTTAAACATACGTATTAATTAACTGACTTCCTTACTGATTGATTGCTGATTGACTGACTGATTAATTAATTGACTAATTGATAAACTGCCTGGCTGACTCATTTCTTTATATGATTATTTGTTTATTCATTTATCATTTGACTACCTGAACATAGGCGTACGGGCAATTTTTTGCCAGGGGGAGCGGTAATCCATTTGCCCAAAAAATTCTTGCAAGTTGCCCAAATTTTTACAAAACAGTCGAAAGGAAACTAGGGCCATGCAACAAAATAGGCCGTACTGGCATATGAAAGTGGCTCGATACAGTTTTTCAGAGTCAATACCTGCCAAGTTAGAACTACGTCGCCACAAACAAGCATTTGGAAAGAATTGCCACTGTTGTATTAGATAAAGAGGGAAATTTGTCATGATCAGGATTGCACTGACATCGGAGCTGTCATAGCAACGAAATGACGCCATTACCTATTATACTTGCAGCAATATTTGTCACTGGGAACTGTTCTTACAAAATCGTTCAGGGAAGCTCTTTCCTCTAATAGTCGCCTCGATGTTCGTGAAGTTAAAACGGAACTGTAAGAGCGTTATCGAGATATTTTGGGATGAAGTTTTTATTGTTAGAAATAAGGTAAAAAAGGAAAATCTTGATGTTTAGAAAACGGAGTTTCAATCTTATTAAAAACGTGTATGAAAGATCATGGAGATAGCTCCTGCCAATTGCTAATAAGGAAGGATTTGATTAGCGCTCGATCTTGTTAGGAGTTTCGTAAACATTTCGGTCTACTTAAACAAATTAGTGAATAATTTTTAAACCCTCGATAGATTTTTTCAAGAAAATTATGATTCTTCTCGTAATTCAAACTGAAAATTAGTCAGCCACTTCACTTTCAGACCCATTGCTGATGCGTGTTCTGCCACACACTGTTCTAGGAGCGGAGGTGATTCTAGAAAGTTATGCGGAAGTTTATTCTAATCAATTCATGACTGGAAATAGCCCACTCCAGCTAGTACAGTGAAGTACAGTGCCCAACAACAACAAAAAAATTCAGCATATGATACCCTTCCCTTATAACCAGAAACTCATCACGTGCTTGGCAACCACTCTCTCGTGTGAATTATTACGCCAACTTCTGGTTAAAATAGAAAATATTTGTGTCTTCAAAATATATTATAATAAAAAACATGGAAACGTCTTTAAAAATTGGCTTTGCCCAAGTTTTCTCTTGCTGCCCAAAAAATCTGAGTTGCCCAAACTTTGGGCGTTTTGGCCGCCCCCGCGGCCAGTACGCCTATGTGCCTGAATGATTTTGATTAACTGATTCTTTGCTTGAGCGAAGAACGTGGAAAATTTGCATTCTGGTGTTCATTTCTTCCCTGATTCCATTCAATATTATTCCATTCAGAATTAGTTGGTCATCTTATGATAAATTTCATTGATCATGTTCAAATGTTATAAAGTAATGTAAATGCTATCATTAGTGTGATCGCCATCATCATCATTATCATCATCATCATTATTATTTTTACTTATTTATTCATTTGCTAGTTTTTTGCTCTTTATGCTATCGACAAAGTGTCTTTAAATATTCGAAGGGCGTGGGAGTGTTGAATATTATTGATTGTCATTAACGCCTCCTATATTTCAAATATTGCGTATTTTGATGGGTTGTTTTATTGAAAGTTGTTTCAGTTTTAACACAAGAGAATAACTTAATTTCCGTTTAAAAATTGATAATGTGTGCAAGCTGTAAATGAAGGTTAATGGATTAAAAAGTACGAACAAGACTGACTTATAAGAGAGGTCCTGATTATTTGTGCATTTTCTACCCAACATAACAATTAGTTCCTTCCTTTTTATTTGCTTTCTCTTAATTGAATAAGTCAAAATGTTTGGGGTTTTTTTATAGAAAATCGGACGGTATTGTGAAAGCCAGTTTATTGGTATAGTCACCTATTTTAATATGAAGAAAGTTTCCTTTAATTGCAGTTACCCTCTTTGCGCTCTGGTTTTTTAATCAATCGTATTTGCCTGGTACTGAGAAACCTTGTGTATGTCAAACGATATATCACCAGTTTGAACAAAGCAATGAAAATGTTAATTCGCTGCGGCGCTAATTTACATGCCCTACTTTTGGTTGCACTACCACGAAAAAAATGTTTCAACAAGAAAAAAACAAGTTGAGGACTAAGAAACAAATTAAATGACTCGTGTTTTCGGGGAATCGCATGATGTTGAGATGTGTAACCTGTAGAATTCAGAGAATTAAACACTTTTGGTATTGCCATCAAACTGTGCTGCGTCTGTTGTTGACCCATATTTCAGTCAACAGCAACGAAAGATTAGATCGCTTTTGCAGCTGACAGTTCTTTGGGGATATTTGTGCTATTAGGTACTACTAAAATGGTGTTTAGATTTGATATCGCTGTAAAACTTTTAAAGAACAGTTGATAACTTGACACAAACCTGAAAATGTTTGCACAGAAATAACAAGTTTTGCCAAGACATAGTGTGAGTATTCTCATTTTGGTTTAATTTGCACAAATATCGTTTGTTTTTTTTAATTATCCCAATCAATTAAGCTGGCATATGTTGTGCGGAAATATAAATACCGACTTACTGGCAACCACCCCCAAATTAAAAAGATCGATACAAGGTCCTGCTTTCTTCCTCTAAAATGAGTTAGGGTTAGTCCTCTAATATCTCCTAAAAAGTAATATTAATCTTAATGGTTTTGTTAAAAAAGTTCAGTAAAAATTGGATATTGTTTCTCATTTATTGACAGAGATATTTCAGTTTCAAGTAAAGTAAGTGTTTTTAAAACCTTGCCTTATTTAATCAAGAGCAAAGTGAGCACTAACAGTATAAACAAAACAAAAGTAATTATTTTCAGCGCAGTTTAACATTTAATATCTATTCCTCAAAATCCATGTCAAAAAAGCGATCGTTACACAACATTTTAAGTGGTTTCTTGACAACTTAGCAATTCTGAACCGTTCAATTAGAGACAATGTCCAAAATTCGAGTAATTTGACAGCTCTTTGTTCAAAGCGCATGCCAACCGACAATAAAGTATAAAATTGTCAAAAACTACCGGATATTGAGTTTAAGTACAATATGAACATACTGCCTCTGCTCCGAAGTTCCACATTTAAATGCTGTCGAACTTTTTTTTTGTTGTTTTTTAATACAGTATTTTTTTTGGATGATTTTTTAACTGCCAGCCTAAAAGCCACTACTGCAACCGTAGACTTACGAAATCTTTAAGTGTATAATGGGCGTATGTCGAATGGCAAAAACTCAGATCCAAAAAGGCACCGAGAGAGCAAAAAAGTAATAGACTTAGTCCATATGGTTTTAATATTGAACAGGTATCAAAAATTGCCGCAAGCACGTATCCGGGGAATTAAAATATATTTGACCGAACGACTTACCCTCCGATTGTACAACAAAGTATACATCAAACCGAACCAGTCCCTTGTGATTATCATTAATACAGACGCCTTTTGCATCTAATGATTCCCTTGAGACCTTTAAAGTTCTAACCTTATGTATCTCACCTGAAAATATAAATTATGTGACGAGATGTAGCCATGGCCCTATGGATCCAAGGGTTATCTCCTGTAGTCGATGAAAACTCTGCTGGCAGTGGAACAAGGGGATCCCAGCGAAAAGCGCGAAATTCATTGCCAGCCCTAGGAGCGTTCTCAGTTTCCTCATTATAAAAACTTGTTGGTAACGGATCCTTGGATTTTTCGTGCCAATATTCGGTGAAATACTTGCTAGCCAGCGACTCCCTCTCGAACAGTTTATAATGAGTCGCAATCTTTTTCACGTAGCGGTCTTTTTCTTCTATATTCGCAGTACTCAACCAAAATGCATGACCGCACTGTAACCCGTCAAATCGCCTGAAATTTTCGTCTCTCGTCTTAAAAAATTGCAAGCACTCAGTCTTGTTATTTGACCAGCGCCGAGCTTTAAGCTGCAATCCTTGACCTAGAGGAAAATACATAGTAGACAGAAAAATATCAGCCAACGTCGGTGCGCGGACATCTACGAAAATAATCATCGCTGACATGGTGAGTGTTACAGCCAGTGAAACACACACTATCACCAGTCGTAAACTTGGCAGAGGCCATGAAGATGTAGTTGACGGCTTCGCTTTAGGGCTAGAAGTTGACCCGATGCTACTCTTCTTGGCAATCATTTCTTTTTTCTATTTGATGCAAGTTCATTAAAGGTCTGCTTCGCTGTCTCCAACAAAACAGTCTTCTATGCTCTTTAGAATCAATAGTTGACAGAATGTTCGAACGATGAATGAATGGTGACTCACATGCGAGGAAAAAAATACAAGTATTTCTTGGCAGGTCGTAAGAAAACTATTTTTCGTAAATATATTTCAGTTTTAACGATAAAAAATATTTTTTTCCGGCACGTCCGATGAAGGTTGCCGGAATCAACTCCGACGCCTCGAACAAGTGGTTTTCTCGGCGATTTCAGTTCGCTTTCTATTTTACTTTTGTTCCATATTTTCATGAACGTGCATAAATTAGTTAGGCATCAATGCTGCATATCATTGTCTTGAAAAACCGGCGACTACGATTGGCTGAAAGGGTGTAATAATCAGAGTATAAACAATACCCGCTCAATAAATGTGCCTTGGAGCGACAGCACAAAGAAACCAATTTATACGCTCACAACAGCTGTTTCGCGAATAAATAATTTAAAAACACTCACACCAAGGGAAAATACTTGTTACTTGAGCCAGATGACTACGAACGATTCTTTTATTTAATCGCTCTGCTGTTTACCATTCGCAGGTAATAAATTTCTTCGGAACGGATTTTTCTCTTTGAATTCAGAAACGGCAATTTTCAAAATATCTGTTCAAAGACGATTTGAGATCAAAATAAGATTTGAAAATTTTTGCTTGAAAACATCTAGGAAAATTACCCATTTTTAACGGAACCCTAAAAAGGATACTAAATAGAGTTTTTTATCCCAAAATCACTGCATGTCACAAAATGAAAAGGAATAAGATATGCCGTTTGAATACTAAAATACGTTCAACAATGCTATGTTAAACCAGGCAAAATAAGTTTTGAAATTAAGAAGGATACATCAAATTTAAATTTTCTATCTAGCGAACAACAGGAACTCTAGGAAATAAGTAAATATTTATCGAAAATTAGTAATTTAACGTTAGGTTAAAATATGAACTTTCTAAAACAGCGTTAAACATAAATCAAGACTTTGTAATTCGGTTGCAGTTCTTTTTTTCTTTTTTTTTTCAGAGAGCTGCGCTGGATGACAAACAAACAATGTAGAGACTAATACGGTCAATGCCTAGCAAGCACCTGCTGTTCCTAGAATTCAACAGTACAACGCCAATGCAGCGGAAATAAGGCGCTGCGCTTTTTAATGTCAGTCAATCAGATATACATGAATGTATTAATGACAGAGTCATCAAATAAATGAATACAGAAGGAGTTTCAATGCAAAGATGCCAAAGCCAGACGTCACATGTATATAATAAAGATTTCTTAAAAAACTCACTTTAGGACATCAAAAAACACCCTTTCAGCGGCATTATAGTTTAAAGCCACTTTCGAAGAACTTGGGTCTCTGAAGCGGGATTTTTAAAAAAAAGCATCATGAACTACACTAACTGAGCGTAAAAAATTCGAACTGATTCGTGTATGTTGACATATGCTATTTGTAGCCTGAATTTCAAACACTAATTCGAGTCGCTTACTACATCTGAATCGACCGACCGTTAATGCCATCCAGTGACGTCACTACCCGAAAACTGTGTAGTGATTTTGATTGGTTGATTGTCGAAATTTTAGCGGGACTGTCGTTTGACATGCAGCGGATTGCATACTTGGGGTGGAGTTAAAAAATTTCGACAATCTTTATCGTGAACAGCAAAATTGCCCTTGTCTTCGAAACTATGACTTGTTAGATGAACAATACGAATGAAGAATCATGGCGAAGCATCAGTGATCGATTTTTTATGAGATTTATAATTCGAACTTCCTGTCGTGTCCACCGTCAAGTTTAATTGAAATGTATGGAAATCGATAGAGAATTTGTATATGGAGATTTGCGCTATGAAACGGTTAACGGCAACATACGTGCTCGTAGGTGCTACCTAGATTGATTAACTTATCATGGAAGTTCTCATCGAACTCTTCATTTGCATCCTTTCGAATTGTCGATGTGCAGCAATTCGGGTAGACTGCGAGTAGTCCCTCATTTTCTCTGAAGGGATAGTAAAGAAAGCAAAACGCGAGCGCGCTTGAAAATCACCCCACGTGAGGAAGGCGAGATACGGCGGGGAGAGAGAAAAATAAGGGACTACAGACAAGGCCAAAGCTTTTGACCCTTCACGGCCGACTAATTTTGGAGTGTGAAGTTCGTATCGCCTTTCAAATCAGTTACGCGCATCCAATGAGATCCCCTCTCTCATTGAACTGTCATTGCTCTTCAAGTTATCAGCGGTAGACCTCGCGTCATCGATCTTGACTAAAACACCACAGAGTTACATATGGTTAACATCCGAGTAACGCGCAGATTCATGCAGGTACACTCGAATACATCTAATTGAAGTGCTGTTAAACATCGGTAGGTAAAGATCGATCGATAAGTACCCGGATATCTTAAGGGATAGAAGTCACTTTTACGCGTAGGAAGAAACAGAAATTAAAATCCTGGGGGTGCTCCCTTATACAAGCCATATAAGCATGTGCCGCCCCAAAGGGTAGGGTTTTTGCGCCGGTTTGGTCTGAAAACGAGTATACCGTGTTTGCCTATTTTGGTCTGGAATTGGGTATGGTTCTCGAATGTATTTAACATTTCACTCCAAGAGATGAGGAAGAAAGAAAGAGAAATATGCGAATTCGAATGTATTTTAACAAATGTTTTTTGTTGCTGTTCTAATCTAAGTAATAATGACATAATGTCTTAGAGATCAGGTCTTAAAACAGGTATGGATTTTAGAGGCCAGGTCTAAAAACTGAACGGGTGTAAAAAATGACATTCTTTGGTCTGAAACAGGACCAGGATTTGGAGAACCAGGCAGCTCACCCCCCACCAATAATTCTCAGGAGTACCCCCCGGGATTCAAAACAACAAATTTACCATGCGTCAACCGTGTGGCATTCTTCGATGACAAGCAAAGAAATGTTCCGAGTGGGGTTCCGCTGCTTTCAGGATCTCTGCATTAGCAGTCTTCAGCTGAAGCGAAAATCATTTGAAACTTCCCATTCGAGATCCTTACTGCTTGGTGTCCAGAGAACCGGTCTCATCGGCCCAAGTCCGTTTATTTCTCTTGCCTGCTCTTCCACAATGCTGTTGAGTGGAGAAATAACGAGCACGCTCGCATTCGCAGATGTTTGCGCCATGCCAAACACTTGATAAATCAAACTTCAAGTTGGAAATATCGCAAGTTTACATCTTTCCGAGCCAACAGAGCCTCCACCGCTTGAGTCTGTTCTGGTGTCAGCGACGTTACGTTTGGATTTTTTTTCCAGACATTCCTGAAGTTTGTCAGCCATTGACAGAAATTGTGATCATGTCGAGTGTTGATAGCGGCTGGCGCGTTTTTGACAGATGTTGACGGATTGCCATGGAAGAGCTAATCAGAGTTATACGCTCTAAGAGCAACGCGTATAAAGTCAAAAGCTTGGGCTTTGTCTGTAGTCCCTCATTTTTCTCTCTCCCGGCCTCGTCATTTGGAGTTTACGATTCCGATCTCTTAACAAGGCTGAACTTAATTTTTGCAAGCGAACATTTTTAGTCCAAAGTGCAGGGCGAATAATAATTCAAAACAGTAGTACAAATGTAACTGCTTCTTGTAAGCGAACCAACCAAGTGAACAATTAATTTCGGTTTACGGTATGAAATTTTTGTGGCTAAGGACAGTGTAAGAGCGGAAAATAAACGAAATGTAGGGCTTGCATTTGCAGTTTCTTTCGCTCCCTTTTTCAGCTGACAAAAGGGAATTAGAAGGCGTCTGTATCTGATTGAAGGAGAATATGTGTCACAGGCTGAGGATATAACAAACTAGTTTTTGTGCTTTAGAAAAAAAGAGAGAATGAGTGTATATAAAGGCACAAGAAAAAAATTGATTTGATCAGAAAAAGGCAAATTTCCACGCGAAAGGTGGGGCCACCTCCAAAGCTAGGGAAAACGGCCCTGGGGACGAGGTTGGGGAATTTTCACGTTAACGTCCTAGGCCCCATATTGTTTCTGATAGATATTTATGACCTTTCCTACACAATTCAAAACACTGTTGTAAATATATTGCAGTAGAAACCTTAAAATTCGAGAACAAGAATGACTACGAGGGAGAGATTTGACTTAGAGTTTTTTTGGCGTGTTCTCAAAAAATAGACAGTAACCCTGAACAGACGCTCGGCAGCATGGAATCTATTTCTTCATTTCTGGTCCACAGACTAAAAGCCCTACAATATAGCAAACCAGGGTTTCTATGATGAACTCCAGTCGAACTTGGACAGATTACAGAGATGGTCAGACATCAACAAAATGGAAAATGATTCTTAATAAAGCAAAGACTAGTCTCCCATGCAGACTTTTCTTCTGGCTTCGAAGCGGCCCTAAGAACGGCTGCGTGGGAGGCTAAGCAAAGCCCAAAGCAAAGCTCATTACCGGTAAATTGCTTGATGAAAGACTGGCACCCCAGCAGTTGCAAATTAGATTCAATGACACCGAACATGAAAGTAGATTAAAACAACTGTTATCAAACTGTTAGGAGAATCGATAAACTGTGCAGAAAGTTCTCTTTGCCTTAGCGCATCGCTGTGCTGAGTAACATTAAGAGATATCTGCCCTTTAAACAGCGAATAGAATATGACATCACGATGTTCAAGCAAGCAATGCTCCAGTACTACGCATTATAGTTGTCATGTACTGTTTGGGATTCAAAGAGAAACGAGCTGCGCGCCTGGTGCCGACGGGCAAGCAAACAGCGCCGAACATTTAAAGAATTTAATCTGAGTTTCATTTCACATCGAGGGAGAAGTAAACATTTGTACCAATTTCAACAAAAATTGCCGTAAACCTTTTGTACTATATTAATGGTTTAGACGAGCGCGTGGGCCGGCAGCAACGCAGGCTACAACAAAAGGAGCTACAATCAGAGCCCATCCTACATGAAGGAACGTTAGTTAGCGAGTCAAGACATTAAATTAATGATAAAAAACATCGATCCTTAACTTTCTCTGCCCTCATTTAAAGAAATAAAGCTAAGGGGGAGGATCTTTTTGCGTAAAAGCTGAAAGACTTTGAAACTCGTGACCTGATTCAGTTTTGAAATAAAGTGGAAGTGTAAATAATTTTTTAAAGGATTCCTTGATTCTCATATTGCATCTAGTTTTTAAAAAAGCGGTAAAATTTAATTTTTTTAAATGGCCTTATTTGAGTTTTTAAGCATCGGGATTTTAGGATGGTATTTTTTAACTATTTAATTAATTTTGAGGGCTAGACGTTTTAG